AACGACGAGTAAAATACGTGCGCTAGGACGAGAGTGGCTTTCCAAGGAAGTACCTACTGTCCATTACTATCACAGCATCAGTCAACATGGGATGACGTTTCATCCTAGAACTCTTGCTGGTTTGTATTGGATTGTGGGCAACAGGTGTGAACTGAAGATAGCTAAAGATTTTCACCCTCGTAAGATACAAATGATATAATAATCGTGAGGGCATACGGCCCGTCCTCCAAGTGAGCACTGTTCAATTATCCCAGTACGAAACAGATCGGACGTTTGTCTCCAGGAAAGATGACAAAGAAAACTAGGGGGAAAAACCAACGCCGGACACGAAAATAAGATGTCCACGATCGCCAGCCGCAAAAAGGTATAAGATAAAAAGAAAGAGAAAAAAGGGTGAAAAAGACAAGAATATGCACAAGTCGGTAGATCATCCGCCCCATCGACCAGAGAAAAAAAAAAAAAAAAAAGGTCTCCAGGTCGCTTGCCGCCCCGAATGACTTATGGCCTGACCGCTCTCAAAGAAGGCAGATTAGCGGGTTCCGCCAAGGGCACTGATCCGAGCGCCGGATGGGCGGTGGATGAGGCTGTCGGTGTGCTTGCCGACAGCTGGTTGAGGCATCGCCTCGGACTCGCTGCGCTCCTCATCGAAGTCCTCCTCGTCCTCGACGATCTTGGTGGGAATGTCCTGATGGATCATGTACTGCTGGCTCGACCTCTCAGGGGTCGCGGCACTGGAGGCGAAGGACATCGCCGTGCTGCTTCGGTTGGGGACCAGGTCCGGGGTAGGGGGGATGCTGGATATCCGACCGTTGGCGGGGTGCAGAAGGCTGTCGTCGCCTATGTCGGACGTCGCGTTTGACTGGGTCTCGTGGCCGTCGTCGCTGTGAGCGCCCGACAGGTTGCTGCGACGGCGCTGAGCGCGAAGTCTGGCAGCGCTGGCGGCACGCTCGTCGAAGTCTGCGTCCTGGGCGAGCTGCAGGCCTTCGACGGCGGCTTGGCATTGCTCGGCAATGTTTCGGATAATGTGCGCAATGGCATCTGTCTTATCCTTGAGGTGACGGTCGGCCACATCCTTGAAACTCGAGGTAGAGAGTCTCTTGTTTGCCTCAGCGGCAGCGGAGAGGAGACGAGCCTGGTTGGCGTCCGCATCCCTAGGCGCCACGCCATCCTCGCCAACCTCGGGCTCGAAGCCCTCCTCAATCTCACGCTCCAAGTCATCAGGCTTGGTAAGGGACTGGACGAGGTGCTCCATGTGGTGGCTCTGCCCACCGATCAGGCTGCGAAGGTGCAGCACCACGCGACGAGCCTCGTCACGTTGTCTGAGGATAGTCATGTTGGTGTGCTGAAGAGCGGCAAGCTCCTTCTTGTTGCGCTTGCGCTCACGTTCAAGCTCCTCTGCGATCTCCTGCTGAAGGACGAGAGCCTCGAGGGCGTCGTCACGCTGTTTCTCAGTGGCACCCAGACGGACGTTGAGGCGGCCGTTGTCATCCTTCTGTTGGTCAATGAGACTTGCGAGACGTCTGTTCTCCCTCTTGTGCGTCTCAATCTTGGCCTTGAGGTCCTGGGTCTCCTTGGTGAGCTGCTCAGCGAACGCCTGAAACTTGAGAAACTAATCATGACAGTTAGCACATTCCCCACGCCGATCATGTGTACAGAAAACCAACCTGCTGCTTCCAGCTCTCTAGCTCCTCGTTGAGGTAGTTGTTACGCTTTGTAACCTTGTTGAGCTCGGTATCCATGCGGCCCTTGAGGTTGATGAAATCTTGCCAGGCTTCGAGAGCGTCGCGAGAGTACTGATTCCTCTCACGAACAATCTCGTTGAGATGCCTCATTGAGACCTTGGTCATCAAAGGCTTCTTGACAGAGCCACCGAAAACAGCCTTAATGCCGGTGTTACGGCCCATCTTCTCGCAAACATGGTCCATGACGGCCATGACGGAATCCTGGTTCCACCACTCGGGGTCCTGGATGGACTCAACTTCCCCACGCATAACGATGATTTGACCGGCAGGGACAAGCTTGCCGCCGCCATAAGCAGATCGTAGATGGGGGGGGACGCCGGAAGGGGTGACATCGCCGTTGAGGGACTGAGTGAGACGAGTGACAAACTTATTGCGTTGGCTAGGGTTAAGTGCGGTCGGAGGGCTAGAGGTGAGCACGAAGTTACGATCGAGGTCAACAACCAGGGCATCAGTCGGAGCGGTAAAGAGAGAGCGGCACTCGGCGGTGATACCAAGGATATAAGGGCCAGGCTCCTGGACCAAGTCCTTGGCGTGACGAGCGTGAACAACAGGGACATAAAGACCGCTCCACTCATAAACGCGAACGCAGTACCGGATAGTCTCGGCAGCCATTGTAAGCATAGCCGGATAGTGGCTCACGAAGATGATGCGACGAGTCGGCGAGATGGCGGCCTCGACGACGCCGACAATGTTGGGAATAGACAGGCAGCAAAACAGCGGCCACATGGCAAAGTTCTGGAAGCCGGTGGGCGAGGAAGGGAACTGGTAGCAGAGGGCGTAGTCCTTCATGTCAATGCGAACCAGATCGTTGAGTCTTGGAGCCGGGAAGCTGAGGATGCGAGAAACCTCCTCGGCGTGAAACAAATTGGTCGCCTTGTTCCAGTGGATCCACATGCCTCGCAAGTAGTCTCCCAGAAGGTTGTAAAGCGGGTACCGAGACAAAAACGACAAGCAGTAAGGAATCCAATACGTCTCGTCGGGGTTGTCATAGTAATCGGGCTCCGTTCGCTTGCGCAAGTCGCGGATGGTCTCGGCCCTCTTTTCATCGGCTCGCGACCAGACACGGAGACAGATGCCGTACAAGGTGTGAGAGGAATCCTGCTGCAAAACGAAGGCGTGATGAACGCAGTGAGGTTGGCTGCGGCCAGTGCAAATCTCAACATCGTGGGGAAAGCAAGCCTTCAATTTGTAAGCCAAAACTCGGAACAAGGTGGCAAAAAATCAGGTTACTTACGCGCATAGCAGCATGCAGAGACCTCGCGATCTCGTTATCCTGCTCCAGCCTAGGACTGCTTCCGAGAATTTCGGGGAGCCAGAATTGACCAACAGCTCCCTTCATGTGGCCAATCTTGCCCTGGGCGGGCGCAGGAGCCTTGACCCATTGGGAAGGTTCTCTGCCAACACCACATACCATGTAGGCGTGGGTAAGCGTCTTGGGGGTCCGCTGCTGGGGTTTTGAGTTCAGGGTAGAGGGAATCGGCTGGGTGATGCGTGAGTGGAGGGAAGAGGTGCGGCTCGGAATGATCAGGCTGGTGTCGCCTTGATCACGAGTGGTAGGTCGGCCATCGCGGTCGCTAGTCCGGGGGCGAGTAAAGGACGAGTGTGCGTGCAAAGAAGGCGCCATTTCGTCGGGTATTGTTCGTCGTTAAGAAGAAAAGTAGGTCGAAGAGTTGTAGTTGGATCGTAGAGAGTGAGAAGGCGGCCAGGGAGGTATATGTTCCAGGCGGCGCACGAGGTGACCAGCGTGTCGAAGGGAAAGGCGAGGATGGAACCGCCGGTTTCGAACTGAAGGCAAGCTACCCGGAGAGCAAGCTCTCGTCACGGATTTGTCGTCGAGTGCGTTGATCAAAAGGCCGCCATTCGAAAGGAGCCTCTTGACATAGCAAAGTCGATTGTCTCTGGTCTGGTCGTAGCGACAGTTGAGGCTCAGGCACAGACGAGTAGGTTGACTGACTTGACTACTCAGTGACAGGTGGGGTGGAAGAGAAGAAACAAGAGAAGAGGGACGAAGAGGAAGAAATTGGAGACGAGACAAGAAGAAGCAGTCCGGGTTGAGGTAAAAGGAGAAACTGACTGTGCGTGTTAGGGGGGGGGGGGGGGGGGGGGTGGAGGGGGCAGCGGATTAGAGACCGGGGCCTGCGGGAGGGGTGTGGAGAGAAAGAGAGACAGAGAGAAGAAAACAGAGGCAGGTGGCCAGAAACCGAGGGTGTGCCACTGGCGGGCGAGCTAAGATAGAGTGAAAAGGGGGACCAAGCACCGCTGGAAGCGGAAGTGAACGGTCAGGAGCAGCTACAGCAACAGAAGAAACGGCCGGCCGGGGAATGAAAGCCTGCAGCCAACGTGCGGCGCAGCGAGGTACACTAGGTACGGTGCTCCGTGCCTGGCTTGATGCAGGTTCCAATGGATGGTCGCTTTCCAAGCAAGGTACCGGCACACTATGCGCACTCTTTGGGGGAAGCTGAATGCAGTCAGCTCGGATGCAGCCAACTGCAGGTTTTAGCGAGCCAAAGGGTAGCCAAGGAGAAGGGTGAGATAAAATGGTACGTGATATGGAGATACTGTACGAATAGAGATAGAGAGAGTACAGCAAGAGCGGGTTGCAGAAACGGATAGCAATGGGGCAAAAGGACGGAAGTGCAAGGGTCCATGCACCTGCAGAAAGCGTCGCGTTGCCGGTGCCACCACCAGTCGACCAGGGGAGGTGCTAATACGGCATGTAGGTAGGTACTGTATGTATCGCAGGTACAAAGTACGTATACACATGTTACGCGTGGTAAGAGGGAGTGCTCGAATATCCGTACAATTACAGCGATTGACTGGACGGGCCGGGGTTTGATGACAAGAGCTGATGGGCAACCACGACATACCCACCAAGCCAAGAGCGGGCCAGATGGAGACCGGGGCAACGTGGGACTCGATGCTGCTCATGGATGGAATGGGATGGCCCAGTGGGTCCTACGATGAACGGGGGTGAGGGGCCATTCCACAGGGGGGTTGACTCTTGCAGGCTTCGGGGCTTCAGGCCTCGTTTTGGGCGCTGCAAGGCGTTGCAGGTGTTGGACGTCAGACTCCCTCCTTCGGCACTGCACATCGTGCGTGATATTGGGGACTCGGGGAAGCCGCGGGCGCCCAATACGCGTTGTGTGCAAGTGTGGTCTAGAACCTACCAACGTAGACGCTGTAGGTCTCGCGGCCAGGTCGTCGATGTCTAGCAAGATGCTCCTGTCGTCGCCATGGCGGGGAACCGTTTGCCATCCTACCCAACTTTCTTCATTGATTCTTTGTCAAGGGTTGTATTGACAATACGACTTTAAAATAGAATCCCACCGGGGCCGTGACTAAGGCAGGCGATTTGACAAACAAGCTGTTGATAATTAGAGCTAGGGCTAGCTGGTTGGCAGTTCCCCCGGCCTCCTCGAAACTCTTCCGGCCCGATATTTGTCGTCCTCGGTGCTGTGCAAACGGTCAGACGGAAGCGGGAGACGACGGATATGTGTCGTCACGGGGAGACGGGACAGAAGAATGGAAAGGGGCCACCACCAGAGCCAAACAACCAAATCAGGCCAGAAACCAGACAGAAGGACCGCTAGAAGAAGCAGCGAAGCGAGACAAGCCAAGGCAAGACACGGCAAGACAAGTCTAAACAAGTCAAGACAAAACCAGACATGACATATAGTATCCGTATACGGTAGTAGCAGAGTGAGAGGGGGAAACATGGAGCTCGGGCCCCCTTTCCAGGTAGGTAGATGCTAAACTAGGTATGTACGAAAACCGGTTGCCTCATTGCATGCATTGCAGTAAAAAGAGAAGGAAGAAAAAGAAGGGAAAAAAAGAAGGAAAAAAAGAAGGAAAAAAGGAAGGAAAAAAGGGGGGGGGCGCACAAAGCACGAATGCCACAGTCCTGTCCTGCATCAGTAAGCGAAAACCCCAGACTACCTTAGCTAGGTAGGTTCAGAAGCTACTGCAGCTAGCCCAGCCCTTCAAACGATCCGATTGCTCTGGAAAGGGAGCACCATCGAGCGAATGGTCGGTCCGACGAACTGTCTGCCAGTCTTTCTCTGTTTCTCTATTTCCCTCCCCCCCTCTTCTTTGTTTTCTGCCATCACCGTTGGGGCCGGGGCGGACTCACCCCGGCTCTACACTAAGCAGCAGCCGAGCGGGAGATAGGGATGATGAGCCAGCAGTCAGTAGTCGACCGGGAGTGAAGAGGGCAATGCCCCCCCCCCCTCTTGTGGCAGGAAGCCCGTCAAATCCGAGGAGCTAGCGTCGAGTCGTGAAGCTGCTAGTGCCATGCGTCTTGCTCGTCACTTTCCCTTCCTTGTCGTCGTCCTGCTGTGCCGTTCTTGCTGCTTGCTAATTCTGTTTTGTTTTTTCCTTTCCTTTTCTTCTTTCTCGACGCAGGGGCCCCTTTCCGAGGGAGACAAGGCCCACGTGTGATAGAATAGTGTTGTACACTATGTGTGTAATCATGTACCTATGTGGGCAGCACACTGTAAGCCCGCGCCCTCAAGTTGATCTAGACGCAACCAGGCCAGACTTATGGGGCCCCCCCTGCTAAGATTGGGCCCCCACCCTATCCATGGTGGGTTCCGGCTGCTGACGGCCAATAATCGCCGACGCCTCTCAGCACCGGCTGCTTTCGAGGGAAATTGCCCAGTCTCGTTTAGAAATCATGTCGTCTCTTGGTGTCCCCGCCCCTTCGTCACTTTCTGCCCTCGCGTTCGTTTCTTTGGATCATTGGGCCGGAAAGGGGACCTCAGCTCTGCTACGTTTGGGTCACGATTGTCGTCCCAATCCCAAATCAAACTTGGTCCACCGACGCCACCACTCCCGCGGGGCTGCTTTTTTTCCGCCCACAGGAGCAGACGCAGACGACGAGAGCCACCCTGCAAACGGTGGCGCGTCGTCGTGTCGGTGTGGGCAACGGAGATGGTGTTTTGGAACCGGAAAGACACATCAAACTCTTTCGGTGGCCGTATTCAAGTGATTCGTCTTTGATCGGCCATGTGCTGTAGATCAATCGTCACACATTACCCTCGCCCTTTCTTATGCGATACGGCGCCCGACGCATGGGTAGAAGGACCTACAGCGCAACGCACGCTACGTACCTTGCGTCGTGTCGCATATTGGATCATGACTGGCGCCCACGTCGTACTGGACGCTACTCTACTTCCCACCATGCATAACTGACTGCAAAACAGAAAGCGCCTAGTGAAAAGGGCATCCGAGCGGGCACGAAGCAACCTCACATCTCCAAGCCATTGTCCAAAATACGCGCAAACAAGCTATCTTAGTGTACAGGGCCCCTTTCTCCAGACGGATGACGAATTCAAGCCCACGAGATCATCTGCCGATGCGCTCAAGCCCCCCTCCCCCCTCCTTCCCATCTCTGATCCCTCAAGTATTACCCTCGTTAAACGGGCCGTCCCCCAGGTGGCGATTTATTGGTAACGGGCCACGGTGACGGACCTTCTGCGTCGGCAGCTGTCAGCCGTTGTGGTTGGCCGTGGGAGCACCCACGTTCAACGGACCCGGATCGCCGCATCTGCAGCACATGCCACACAACGCGAAGAGGCTTGGGCGTTTGGGGATGGGAGGGGTGTCGGATCCGCATAGGCACGCCAGAGCTTTAACATGGAGCATGCTGGATCATAGGACCACTGCGTGGGCAAACATGAAGCCCTCAGCGAGCCATGATTAGGGTTCCCTGGCACAGCCGTTGAGCTCCAACGCTGGGCCCCGGTGGATCGGGGCGGACTCCGGCGCTCCTCGGGGGCTGGACCTTGGCCCAGAGTCTCTGCTCTACCACCGCGGAGGATTGGTATGCCGCGTTGCGCGATTCACCACCCGTCGGGTGTGGCCGTTCCTTCAAGGGGCGTCCTTGATTCCGCGACGATAATAGAGTATCTGGGATCTAGGCTCGTATCGTGAGTGGGCCACGGGATGATGACGACGGCAATAAACCCCCTCAACAAAAGTAGTGTATCCGCAAGGGAGAAAAAAAGTAGAGAGGGAAGAGGGAAGAGGGAGGGTGACAAAAAACAACCTGCGGGAAATGCATCGCGAAGAGGAGGAAACAGTGCGCAGAGGGTACCGTGAAATAACGCCGTTGGACAGACCCGACCGTCCATCTAGCGAGTGAGTCTGCGAGGTTGTTGATGTCGTCTGGAACCCCTTCCAACCGGTTCCTCAGACATACGGATAAACTACGTGCCAACCCAAGAGAAAACATCATCCAATCTCTGATGGAGAAGGAGGCAGCTCACTACAGGCCAGCCACCCGATTTCAGATAAGGTATTGGATGACCGAAACGTCAGTCGCATCCTTCCAAGCAAGCGGGATAGCCTGACAGGCTCAGTGGCAGCAGCATGCGGCGGCCTACGGGCCGTCTGGCGCCGGTTGGTTTGCTCCCACTTTGACAAATCCCCATGGGTAGGTTTGTTTATCCAGCATGCACAAAAGCTTTCCATGCGTACCCAATTCGAGTCGCGACCACGTCGCCTTCGCTTTCGGTCCAGTCTCGCATTGGCCCACCTCGAGATTGGCCATTCACCGAAGTAAAGAGTATCATCAACGCCATCGTCACCATCGTCGTCGTTGTCCTCCTCCTCTTCGCAAGCATATCCTGTCTTTTTTTTTTTTTTTTTTTTTTTTTTTTGCTTCTCGAGCTCCGCCGTCCTCTCTCGCCGCCGCGGCCCGATTGGCATGGTTCGTACAAAGCATAACTATATATCCCACGCTTTGGCCCGTCGACCATGGAGCACATGCCAGCAGCCATGAACTCAAAGAGCTAGCCTACACTACCTACACTAGAAGTAGACACAGCAGGAATAGCACGCTTAAAACACTTCGATCGTGCATCTGTAATCTGAAGCTCAGAAGCTGGGTTTTCTTCTTCCAACACCTCTAACACCACCACCACCACCACCACCCCACGGGCCGGGGCTGAGATCCTGATTCATAATCACTCCGGCCACCATTAGCCACACAGTGAGGGCCGAAGGATCTTCATCGAAGACAGTCCCGGTTCCAACGGGTGGGTCTGGGGGGTTTTTTTTTTTTCAAATACCCTTCCTCTTTATCTTTCTATCCCGTCCTTTCTACGGAGTATTCGTACTACATTGTGGCCACCCCTAGGCGCAGCTGCCGTAGGTTTCGTCCAAGGCCCACACTTCTTACTTGAATCCTTCGGTGGCCCGCTAGCCCACCTCTCTTTTTCTCTCCCTTCATCAAGCTCCATGCTAGCGGGCTATCAGTTGCCCGTACCAAAGTGAGGGCGCTTGGATGCTGGAATGATCCGAGCACCGGTCCCGAAACCCCTGATCACTATCCATCTTACACACTGATTGGGAGACGGCAAGTGAGCGTGTCCCGACTCCTATCCCTCACCAGCCCCAGCTGCTCGAATTGCGCTGGAGCTCCCCGGCTCTAAACTACACCACCCTAAACTATATCTGAAGTTCCTTCGAATTTGGGTTCGGCATCAATTCTGGAGTGGGGAGGCTACCACCGCTGCCTCCTTGCTTGGTCAACCCAAATATCAAGCCATGGTGGTCCCTCGTAACGTCGTACTGATAACCCACAATAAACCAAAAACACTGTAGGGAAGGCCTCTCTATCTCTCTCGACCAATAGCATCCACCTCATCACCCCAAGTCCCATTACCATTGCTCCTGATACTGACGTCCAACCTCTTGGCACACAACACCTAGCTGAGAGATGCTTGTCATGTCGTGCCTGCCGAAAGATGGTCCGGACGCAAGTCCGCGCCGCATGACAAAGGCACGACGGGGAATTAATGGTGCAAGCACCTGCACCTGCTGCACCTGCAACGCATCATCACCGCTGCGACGATGCGCCGCCCATCACTTGCAGACACGCAAAGTCAATCAGTCTACGGAGTACTAGCCAGGCGAATCGGGAATCGCGCTATCAAAGACGCCCGTATCATCCAAGCTTCTTGGATTGGCGAAATATTGTTTGGAGCACGCCATCTGTCAGAAAAGCCGACGGACAGGATATCGCCAAGCTACCATGTGGCCGGGTCGCCCTGAAAGTCCGGCTTCCGCTCCGATTACGGCTACCCTTCGTGCTTGGGTCTGCTGACTGACAAATTACACGGCCATGAATCGCTAGACACCAGCCTGCTTCAGTTCATGATGGTCGGAGTCGTCGTAGCGCACCAGTAGCAGTCCATCGCATGGTGGCGGACGAACGGTGGCAGATTGCAGCGAAGCCGAGAAACTCATGCAATGTTTTCAGAGTCGGTCTCCCTCCCAGTCTCGCAACCATTCACTCCTCCCGATATGAGATAGACGGAATTCGATACCGCCCTCCGGCTCCGGTGCTACAAGCCCCGTTCCTATCGACGGCCCTCTGTCTGGTTTGAGCAATATACCCTACCTATCGTGCTCGGAGGAATGCCAAATTGGTCGCGACTGACCTCGAGTGGACTCTTGCGTCGTCCACTTTCTGTGACAGGTCACCTGTAAGGGCCCCGACTAGCGTTGCTACGTTGTAATCCCTGGCCCGCCTGCGCTTGTCACCTGGTTGCGTTGCTCGACCCAATGCGGAGCAGTGTAGTCAGTCTCCACTGCTCCGGTTCCCGAAAACGACCCGGCGCTCCGTACGAGACAACGGCCAAATGCGCCAAGCAATCACTGCTGATCGTGCGCTCCGGGGGAGGGCTACGGGAATGCAGCAGCACCTGCTTCGTCACTACACGCTGCCGACCCAGCGACTTCGAGGCTTCATTCAGTGACCTCCTCTCCACAATGATTAACACCCTCCTTCTCAGCCTCGCGCTCGCGCAGGTCGATCCCGGCGATGCCGACGAGCCGAGAAAGTCGTGAGGTACATCAGCCCCCTTATCCAACGCACCACTTCCCCCCCTTGACCGGCCGGCCGCACCTGTGGCGGCGGCGGCGGCGGCGGTGGCGGTGGCGTTGGCGTTGGCGCCCTCTCCATATACACGTGTTGGGCCTGTAGAAGGTCTAGTTTCGAGAACTGAAACGACATGTTCCGCGACGGCGTCTGCACCGCTCATCCGTCGCAGAAGAACGGCATCATTCCACTCCTAACGTCCTGCCTTTTCGATTCCGCTGCGTGGCGCCGCCGGCAGGCACCAGCGAAGGACCGATCCCATGATTGGCCGTCGAAACAGCCCGTCCTCCAGGACACGAGAGACAAAGGTAAGGGGGAAACCTTGGTGCCTTTCAAGAAGTGCGTCAATTTATGTCGTCTGCTAATCTTCTATGTGAAAGCGGCTCTTCGTACAACCCGCAGGGCCTCTCCGACTACGTGGGCATCTCCCTCTTAGCCCCATCCTAACTTCTTTGCTTGAGAGATCCACGGATGGGGAGGGGGAGGGGGGCAGCAAGTCAGTCTGGTCGCCTAACCGGCTTTCTTTGTTGTAAACCAGCTAAATGAAAAGGCTAGCCGCCACGTAAACGACCGAACGGCAACCTCTACCCATCAGCACACGGTGCCATTGTATTGGAGCTGATACGTCTCATACTTGGTACTGCCCGTCTCTAAGGGAAGCCTTTTGGTTCCGAAGGGTGCCTGTCATGACGCGCCAGAGGGTCATCTCGGATTTTCGATGGTATGCGAGACGTAGACCATTCCACTGGCTTGGGGAGTGTTTCGAAGTTCACAATGTTGGGTGGGAATGTACCACGTAGGTCATGGTGAGTAGAAGGACCTTCGTAGATCGCGGGGGTTTTGAACAGCCTAAAGCGTCGTCACAGGGCGGGCGTATCTTTCCAGGCCGAAGACAACTGTACCAATAGCAGAGATTCTGTCGGACCAGCGGGGTGTTCAGAGCTTCTTTGCAATGAATGTAGGTAGTTGTTCCAGACACCCCACATACGATCCAGTCCAGTCCATCCTGTGCCGAGGAAGGGAATCACAACACGAATAATCCAACAAAGTAGCACCTCTAGCTTGGGCGAGGTCTCACCATCCCAATGCTGTTACAAAAATATCCGATAGCATGGTGGTGACTGCTATCTCGACCCCTACTTCAACTGGGGTCTGCGACGGCATCATCCACAAGCTAGGCAACGATGGCCCCGTCGAATTCTATCGAGAGGCCATCAATTGACGAGGTGACGGTGATGCAGTGTCGATCGTTGCCAGCGGGACTCATACAGGAAGGCCACCGGCTTGGCCATATGAAAATGATGCCGTCGATCGAGTCTCGAGGAGATGCCCGCGCAAGCTGACAGTCGAGCGGATTCGTCCTGAGAGGTACACCGGGGTCCTCTATTTATTGTCTCTGCAGCGGCCAGCGTGCCCTACCAACCATTCAGAGTCATCAAGCTCAAACCAGATGGTCGGGAGCCTTTCCACTGAAAGGTATCTTCCCTGTCCTTCATTTGCAGAAGCCCTCATGCGATTGTGCATCTTTCGTCCGGGTTTGACTCACCCTTCCGGAGGGGATTTCCGGTATATTCCGGGCCGGGGCGGAGAAAGAGTGGATACGAAGCACCGGATACCGATTTTGGGGTTCAGACACGGCCCCGCATATCCCGGGTCGCACGGCGCGGGGTAGAAATTACTCATTGCATCCGGCCGGATGCGTCACTGAGCCCCCCAGCCGACGCTGTGACCAAGATCTCGGGCTGTTCGGCTATGGAGAACCAATTGGGTCTAACCAGCGAAGCTCGGAAGCATGCCGTGTTCCCATCCGCCAACGGGTAAGGTAGCGGGCGTGTCTCGGGCTGCAGAATGACAAGGAGAAAGGAGATGGTCGCTTCCAATGCTCCAGCGGGAACCCGCGAGATGGATGGCACACCTCATGTTTTGATGGATCCTCGCGTACAAGATGCAGGGGCATCCACACCCGCACTCTGCTGTTGACCGCGGGAGCGTGTCGTGCTTGACCATTCTCCTTCAAAGGGATGTACCTATGGCGGGGAAGCATTCCCGCCCATTTGATCTGTCTCACCAAAATTCACTAGCTCGTAGATCTCATCACGCCTCACCATCGTCGTCGGTGAAAACCATGACGAAATGCCGCAGAGCTACGGAGGGAAATTGCGGTTGCAGACACGATGTCCAATGACGCAGCGCACTATATCGACGCCTGAGAACGGACAGTCTGGCAGCAGCAGAGGCTTGCAATGAAGACAATGCGCCCGGTGAGGCGGAGAAGTATGCCTTTCCAATCTCTCGCGTGCCATTGATCTCATCAGCGCGTAGCCTGCAGAGAGAAGTGAGGGGGAGGAGGATGCGGAGTCTCAACGTTGAGGACTTCCTTGCAGGTAGAGTGAGACATTGTCTGACATGTGAATGTGGGCGGGTATGTGTGGCTGGTGCAGTGGAGACCTCCGAGACGCCAGAACGCAACCAGGGTAAACACAGGAGAACGCCGATACCACGTCAAATTGCCCGATGGTTATCGTGGGCGGCGGGACCAGGGCGAGCTAGAGCCACTCGATCGCCAGGTTGCAGTTTGGAAGAGACGAGGTCGCGGGTCGCCGCGTGGATGAGTGACCGGCCAGGCAGGGCTAGGAGAGAGTGGCGACGTGTTGTGGGTTTCCCCTCTCGTCAGGCCCTACCCGTTAGCTTGCTTGCCTGCTTGGTTCCCGGGGTGTCAACGATGATTCTCACCGGCCATTATACAAAGACAGGCATCGCGGTCCAGCGAGAGCCGCGGCAGCGGGGGGCAAGGGGGCGAGAGCGCAAGCTCCCATTCCAACAATAAGAGGCTGGCCCAGATGAAGATGGGGCCCAGGGGTCAGGGGAAAGGAGCGCGGTTGACATGAGCATCGTCAAAGGTGAGAAATTAAGTCGAATAGCCTGGCGCATTCGCAGGTCATATTATATCTGGCCGGCGGCAGCCCAGATCCAAGAGAGACAATAGCACTGGCGTCGTGGCCCATCCGCAGAAAAGAATCCGAACCAGGGAGGAAACGCTGAGGCCGCCCCCCCCCTCCTTTCCTCGGGAGCAAACTGGGCTGAAGTTGTGAAGGCTGCACCCGTGTGGTATTGCGTCGCATCGTGTCGCATCAAAGCGCTACGCTACCACAAGGCTCAGCCAAGGAGACAGAACCACCAAGGTTCAGGTGTAGGTGCAGGTACCTTGGCCCTGGCAGTACAATGGCCTCGAGGCGGCTCACAGTCGCCTGGATTAGCGCCATAGTTGGAGCTCTCGATGGCGCAAGCTCGCCCACCGGCATCGCGCTATTTGCTGCGTAGGATACCTAGGCAGTGGCAATCGTTGGCTTGGGATCTTCCCATGATAAGGTTTGAGGGATGATGCGTAGCGATAAGCTCGGGGGCAGGGTATGGGGCCAATTGGGTTACGGCAAGGTACCTCCCTGGCGGTCCTTTCCTACCTAGTGTAATTATAGATGGTCTTCCTCTCATTTCCCCCTGCCTGCCTTTCCTTAGCACAGCTTTTTACCACCGTCACTGCATGTCTACTTAGTATTCTCGTCGAGGCAGCAAACCGGGGTGCGAGGGGGGGGGGGGGGGTGGGGGGGGGGTTCGACAAGGTGGTCGTGGCCAAGGAGCCGGCGGGCTCTGAGCTTTCTTTCCATTCCACATGCGTCCCCCCTATCGATCATCCGTCTAGGACAGGATGCCAATGTACCTGTCCTCTGGGACACGGATCAGCGGCGTACTTACCCAGACAAACTATCAGATAAGGCATGCATACGTGTTGAGCGGCGACTCGACCAGTCCGCAGAGTTCCCTTGTTGCTGTGTGTTGCTCGGTGCGTTGGCTCGCAGGTCATCACATTGGAACGTGCTTGCACCACCCAGCCCACCTCTTCCAATGATGACATAATGACGGCCCGGACAGCATGCAGCCGGGTTTCGGACGTGCTCCTGCGGCCCGGGAGGGAGCAGATTAGTGAAGGTGACAGTGACAGTGACAGTGACAGTGACAGTGACAGTGGCAGTGACAGTGACAGTGGGGGACAGGGGCAGACAAAGGAGAGAGAGAGTGAGAGAGAGGCTTCAATGATCCGATCTTTGGTAGCAACTGCCCGAGCAAGCGAACACAGGGTAGGGAAGGGCCCGTCCCTCCTCTCGATTCCTTTATTGCGCAGTCTCCCGTTCCCGCGCTGACCGCATGCCTCTCTCCATGCCCCCTACGTACCTGTCGTAGACGCAGGCATTGGAGCTGCAGCACATCTTTCTTGCATTCCTCGCCTAGATTCATAGCCAATGACCTCACAACGAGGCCGGCCCGAAGACGGGAGATTGCATCTTCTCTTCTCTGGCATTGAGCATTGGGTATTAGGCATTGGGTAATTGTCGAACAACTGTCACGAGGAACAAGATCATTTGGGAAGCGTGCCCGTTCGTCGTCACAGGGCAAGGGAGGGGGTCCGTCCTTTTTTTTTTTTTTTTTTTTTTTTTTTTTGTTTTTTTTGCCTCGTTCTCTTTCCATACTCCAGTCTCTTTCTCTCATTCCCTCGCTAATTCGAGCATGGAATTCCACCTCGACAGGTACGGCGGGGCCATTGTGCCACTTTCACATGTCAACCGGCCAGGATGACGATAGGGACGCATGCAAGCTACGGCTGCTGCCACCTTTCCCATTTTTTTCCCTTTCTTTTTCTCCCCCCCCCAAGCCCCCAGTTGCTGCAAGCTATGAGCTCCTGATACTACTGGAGCTGGATGAGGCACCTGCTTCTCGACCTTAGCATACATAGTATCTACCTAGGTAATCACTCACCTGTCACGACTTGGCCCCCTCCGTTATTTGCTGATGCTTTTCTTGTCGCCGGTTCACTTCCGAACGTGTCCCGCCCGGTTCGACCAATTGCCTGCCTACACGGTACCAATGCCCACACACGCTTGCTCTTCTCTGCTGACAGTAATGGAGCGGCAGGACAGGGGTGCATGAGGGGAGGAGCTACCATCAGCTACAAACCAAGTAAAAGGGGGAGGGGGGACACGTCCCCGCATTGCTTGTGGCGTGAGCCTCCCTCTTCCTCCTCACAAAGACAGTGATGACGAGACGAGGGCTCAATTTGAGAAAGAACGAGAGAGAAATAGGAGCAATAGGGAGGGGGAAAGACGAACAGAGGAGGGGAGGGGGGTAAGGAAGAAAAGAAATAGACCAGATGATACTAAACGGCAGCAAAAATTATCCATTCGGTGCAGAGGAAGGAAGCAACGAGAGCAGAGGAGCAAGCAGCAGCTCGAGCACAAGCACAAGCACAAACGCCAGAACGACGTCCCTCCCCTCCCCTCCCCTCCATTGGCATGTGGCGCATGTACCTTGTTGGTAGGGGTACATGGGCCGGACCCGCAACCACGGCATTCCTGCGCGTCCCTGTCCGCGCACAGCGACTTGAGAATGTCTGAAGCACATGCTAATCTGATCTGGCCTGGCTACTAACGTAGCTAGGCAGTCGAGTCTCGCGTCCTAAGGGGTTCAGGCAAGCTACCTTACTTAGCCCACCTCTCCTTCTTCTGGTAGATAAATACTTTCGTTTCAGTCCATGCCCGTCTGTGGCGTCAACCTCGTCACCATCGTCCGCATCCATTGCATAACAGCTCTCCTCCGTGCCAGCCGTCTCTTTCCCTCCGACTTGCCCTCCTTCAGTAAGTCTCTTTTCTCTCCCTCCCTTTTAGCTTTGCCTTACCTCGCCCTCCCTCCCGATACATCTCCTCCCCCTTCTCCCTCCCACTCAGTTACTACCTGCCCGCCCCCTCAAGAAACTTTCTTCTCGTCCTTGCGTCTTTCCAACTTTCCCGTCAGAAATACCTACCTCCTTTGCTTTCTCAAACCTCACCTCTCCCTCCAACCACTCACTCATACACCAACCAGACCTGCCTCGACATCGACCTTTCCTGACAAGATCCCACTCCTACAGCTCAGCTCAGCTCCACTGCTTGCTCTGCATCTCTCACAGGCCTTGCTCTCGAGCCTCCAACCGAAGCTCAAGCACCCACGAGCAGCACTTGCCAGTAAATCCCATTCGACTTGACTTCGCCGGGCTACGCGCTTCGACGAATCAATAGCACCAACCTTCTCAATCAAACACCCACCTCTTTCTAAATGCCCAAAATGGCCCAAGTCAACGGCGACCTCCCGAGCGTGAACTCGGTTGCAATCCAGGTAAGCACTTGTGTCTACGGGGGCTTCTCTCCGTCTCTCCCTCACCCTTCACGCGGCTTACGTATCAATGCAGCATTTCCTGGACTACCCGGCTGTGCATGATAGCGTCGTCACTTTCAGGAACAACCCTGTCGGCAAGAAGTCCCTGGCCTTCAGCGAATCTGCTTACAAGGCCTTCGCCGAGCCCCTTCTGCCCCTCTTCGCTCGTCCCTGGAACTACCTCCGCCCGTATGCCGAGAAGGCAGACAACCTCGGCGACCAAGCTCTGTCAGCTGTTGACGAGCGCTTCCCTGTCGTCAAGAAGCCTACCGAGGAGCTCTATGCTGGCGCTAGAGACATTATCGCTCTTCCCTTCCGCACGGGCTTCGAGGCCAAGGACCATGTCCTCAAGACGTACAGCCAAGAGAAGAAGAAGATCGGCAACGACAATGTCGTCGCCCTTGGCAAGGCCGTCGTTAGCACCGTCCTCATCTCTACCAGCGAGATCATCATGTGGGTTGGCGACGTCCTCCACCACAAGAAGGAGGAGACCAAGGAGGTCGCCAACGAGAAGGTCAACAACTAAATAGGCTCGCGGCCCCGTACGTGTACAATCAATTTTGGCTGATCTTCCTCTCTCCTGTCCTCCCCCCCCTTTTCCATATACCCTTCACCCTCTCGCAGCCACTCTTGAACTATCTTTTGGTTCTCGGGCCGCAGTCACGATGGCGGACGCTTCAACGACATACAGCAACGGAATGGACTCTATACCTTGGATAAAGGGTTTTTATGTACTGTTTGCGTGTTGTGTGTTATCTTCTTTGTTTATTGCTATTATCGGTGGTGTACGAGACAAAGGTATCTAGTGCGTCGCTCTAGCCCTCTTCCTCTGGGGTTAAACTGAGTTGGGACTTATGCTGTGGGTGAGACAGAACTCTGTCAAGCTATTCGATGACGCCTCAAGGCCCACCACCTGTGCCGAACAAGGGGAGCATAGCCCCGGGTCACCGGGCGAGTCCCGCTCCTTCCCAGAGGAACGTGTTTGGCATGGAGCTGGATCTAGTATTGAACATCTGCGAGAGAGATCAAAATTTAATAGATACTCGGGTTTGATTTCGGAGCTCATCGTTGCGTGTGACGTAACCATCGTGTGAAACTGATCTATCAAAGGCTCCGCCGTGGGTGCATAGATCATATGGTGCGCCCTGCTTGGTCAGCTGGCACGAATCACTCCTATATCAGAAGACCCTGGCCGAGGCAGTATCGTACAGAACTTCCAGCGAAAGACAGAGGCATCGTGGATCCGGGGGACGGCTTCTTGCCCAGGTGTCCAAACTCAGTCCCCGCGTCTCCTCCCCGCCTTTTTCTTTTCTTCGCGAGGGTGGTTTGGCGCAACTCTATCAGTGTTGTAGATCAGACCAACTTAGCGGGATGAGGATGAGAACGATAAAGAAAGACTAAAGGAAAGAATAAACCCGGGGAAAGAACGCCAGTCGCTGATTGGTGACCCTCTGGCGTGCCACCATTGGTCACTACCACTGTGTGGAACATCCATAAAGTGGTACAGTATCCCGCCCATTACCACTGGTTGTGTCAGCATGGAGACGCTACGAGAAGCCAGAGCGAGCTGTTTGCGGCGTCGTTGGGGCGGCGGGGAGCTTGTTGTTGATGCTGAGGTAATGGGGTCCTCTGACCTTGAGTGGCTGTTGGGGGTGTGGCCCAGCATGGGGCGCGCGGGGGGACGTCGGCAGTTCCTGCTTTGCGGATGCTGATGTAAAATTGACTAATGGAGCATTGCTGACCAGAGGCGCATGAGCAAGCCCTCACGACGATTCGATGTCCCATCAGATCGCCCCTTCTCCCTTGAGTAGGATTTACAATGTGGGGTGCGTAGTAACAACAGTTGGATTTATAGGTGGTCCATTAGTCAATTGGGGGTTCTAGAAACCTCATTCTTCCCCATTCTCTCACTCACTCACTTCACTCGCTGCTGGGACGACTTTCGTACAAATAGTACCCCTGGTCGACGCCCCTCATCAATGAGGTCCCTCTCGCTGCTACTCTCCATCATCGTGGGAATCGCATCCATCGTCTTGTTCAGACAACAGATAGCAGAATTGGTAATCACGACCGCGTACGGCTTCTTCGACTCTGCTAGTGAGATTCAGAGCAACGCCGCTCTCGTAGACAAGCCGCAACAGAATCAAGCAGACAATCATCTGTACGCCACCGACATGTCCGTCCCCCGCGCAATCCGCAAGGTCTTCTTGGCCATCGAACAGGCCGAGGGCGCTGGGGCTCGCGTCCGCCGCTCCGTCGGAACCCCTCAACTCAGGAACTTTTCGCCCTTTTTGATGCTTGGTGAGTTACCCCTTGGGCTCGTCAATGTCACCAAAAGCCTCCAGGGATTGCTAACGCGCCCCCACAGACCACTTCAGAATCTCTCCCGGCTCGGGTTTCCCCGATCACCCGCACAGGGGCCAGGAGACTATCACCTACCTCCTGCACGGCGGCGTGGACCACGAGGACTTTGCTGGCAACAAGGGCACCATTGAAGCCGGTGACCTGCAGTTCATGACGGCGGGCCGCGGCATCATGCACGCCGAGATGCCCAAGCAGAACCCGGACGGCAGTGCCAACGTCGGCCTTCAGCTCTGGGTCGACCTGCCCAAGCACCTCAAGTCCTGCGAGCCGCGGTACCGTGACCTGCGTGCCAAGGAGATCCCCTCGGTTGACGTCGACGGCGGCAAGGTTCACGTCAAAGTCATCTCAGGCCAGAGCCATGGCGTTGACTCGGTGCGCGATTTGGCATACACACCTGTCTGGATCCTGGACATTCAGATCAGGCCCGGCGGCAAGATCGCGCAGCCGGTGCCCAAGGGATGGAATGCATTCGCGTACACGCTCGAGGGCCAGGCCATCTTCGGCACGGGGGCGCAGCAGCGGGTCGTGGACGAGTTCCACAACGTTGTGTTTGAACAAGATGGCGAGATTGTCAATATTGAGGTCGATGCTGGCGCGGAGAAGGACGCCCGTCTCGTGCTTATCGCCGGTACGCCGCTCGACCAAGAGATTGTGCAGTACGGCCCATTCGTCCTGAGTTCCAAAGCCGAGGTGTACCAGGCCCTGATGGACTACCAGACCCACTCGAACGGATTCGAGAGGGCTAAGGGCTGGGAGAGTGAGATTGGAAAGACCATGGTTGAGTGATGTAGCTTTGGTCGGGTTGGTTCGGCTATACGTATTTTGTTTTGTACCCTGTATCAACTGGCATTGAGCAGCGGATGAGCATTTTCTTTGAGTTAAGATGAGGGCATATAGACCATGTCAATGAGATACCATGAAATCTGCTCACTTAAACTTAAAAGCAAACTTTCAACGTGGAAATTACCATATCGGGACTAATGGAAAGGAAGTCAGTGGCCTTTGTTACTCGGGCCGCAAGACCCTGTAGAATTTAGGAGGCGTGCACTGGCCTAACACCTCGCTCCCTGCACCCTCCCTCACTGACCCTATCAATTCAAACCCCGCCCCAGCTCTCCTTTTCTCGCCCTGCACTTTTCCCATTAAGCATGCAAGCAAGGTACACGAAACCTATGTAGTCGCGGCACGCATTGCGATGACCTTCGAGCCCAACATCCACTTATCCACGATATGATTGACGACACCGCCACCGCCGCAAAGACACTACACGCTCACTCCCACACGTGCAACTGGTTCATTACCAACTGACAGACCGATCATCCTTACGACTGACGACACCCCGAATTGAATCTAACGACAGCTGGCCAGCCAGCGAACCCGCCATGGATGCGCCCGTGCCTAAGCTTGCGGAGCTACTCCGCCATCCTGACGACCTCGACAAGATTGCCGGTCTGAAGCAGGAGTTTTCCCGCAAGAAGATGGCAGTCGACTCCCAGCTTCGCAGCGGCCTGCGTGAGCAGCTCGAGACGACCCAGTCGGGCATGACGGGACTGACGGACGGCCAGAAGACGGTCCAGCAGATCAAGGAGGAGATGATCAAGATCGACCGCCTATGCTCCGAGTCGCAGAACATGATCAAGGACTTCAACAGCATCAATATCGTCTCGCAGGCGCACCGCAATTTCGGGGCCGTCGAGGCCATGCGAAAGAACCTCGAGACCTTCAACGAGCGCCTGGCCATTGTCGAGCGGATGCTGGCCGAGGACGAGGAGGACAAGGAGAACATGCCCAACCTACTGCCGATACACTACGAGCTGACGCAGCTGAGGAACATCCGGGACGACGCCATGGAGCAGATCCAGAGGGCCGAGGACCCCAGCCTCGAGTCGACACTCGAGGACTATTTCCAGAGACTGGACACCATGATCGACTGGTTCGACGAGCACATTGGCATCCTGGCGCTGAACCTGATCAACCTGGTGGTTAACGACAATAACGGCCTGGTGGTGCGCTTCGCCGTCGTCATCGAAGCCGAGGAGAAGAGCGACCAGAGGGTGCTGGCGCTACAGGAGGCACTCAAGGACCACAAGGAGATGGCGACGCGGTTTCAGAGCATCACAGACGGCGCGAAGAAGGTGCGAGGGTACAAGGATAAGTTCACCCAGGCCATCAAGATCAGCGTCGAGGGCCAGTTCGCCGAAGCCAGAGGGGAATTCCTCGACGATCCATCGGCGTTGGACAAGATTCTGAAGTGGTATTTCAACGACTTGAACGCCGTCAAGATGGGCATGACCCCCCTGATGCCCAAGAAATGGAAGATTCTCAAGACGTACGGTGACATATACCACCAGACGATGCATGACTTCCTCATCGGCATGATCGACGACCCCGACTCGGCCTCTGCCAACACGTTGGAGATCATTAACTGGCCGGAAAGGTATTACAAGAAGATGAAGAAGCTGGGCTTCAAGCAGGAGGACCTCACTCCTCACGTCATCGACTCGCGTGAGACGGAGCTGGTCCGCGACTTCCGGCAGCTCATCATCAAGTTCCTCGACGAATGGATCGAGCGTATTTTCAACGCCGAGCAAAAGGACTTTGCGGAGCGCAACGTCGAAGGCTCCAACCTGGACCAGGACGAGTACGGGTACTTCCGGTCCAGGAACCTCGTCGACATGTGGCGGATGATGCGCGAACAGATCGACGCTGCCGCCAACTCAAAGCGCATCGATGTGATTGAGGGCGTCATCGACGCCATGTTCCTGAGGCTGCGCGGCAGGCAACAGTCGTGGCAGAGGATGCTCGACGAGGAGGCCGCCAAGTTTGAGTCCGGAAAAGTCCCGGAGCTCGAGGGGTTCCAGCCGCTGCAGGATTGGCTCGTTGCCACGGCCAACGACCAAATCGCCTGCGTCGACGACAACGAGGACGAGAACAGATTCGGGTACCTGTCCAACTTCAAGCAAAAGTTCGAGCCGCTCGTCTCGCCAGCGTACATGGAGCGGGCCGAGGGCGAGGTGGAGCTGCTGCGCGACGCCTACATCGACTTCAGTACGTGGTGCATCACCAAGTTTGTGCAGCTCATCTTCTCGGTCGACTTCAAGGCAGTCATGCCCGAGTTCTTCACGCCCAAGTGGTACACGAGCACAGCCATGAAGCAGATGGTGGTGACGTTTGAGGAGTACGTCGGCGACTACCGCCAGGTCCTACACCACTCGCTCGTTGACATCTTCACCGAGATCTTCGCCGACGAGCTGCTCATTCGCTACCTCTCGTCTGTGCGTAACAAGGGCGCAAAGTTCCGCCGTGCCGATCCCATCCAGGACAAGCTCTTCAATGACATCTCAACGGCGTTCGAGTACTTTGGCGCCCTGCCGAACCCGGACGTTGGCAACGCGGTCAAGCAGACGTGGCGCGTCACCGAGTACTTTTTGCAGCTGCTCACCGTCGACAAGGACGCCATCCCCGACACGTTCGAGGGCTTCAAGACGGCGTACTGGGACCTGCAGATCAGCTGGGTCGAGGCGGTGCTGCGGTCGCGCGACGACTTTGAGAGGAGCATGCTCAACGCCGTCAAGGCACGAGCCGCGTCACTCGACGTCGTCCGGGGACCCGAGACCATCATGGGCAAGGTCAAGTGATCGGGCTGAGGGCACCAAGAGTCGAGCAAGGGAGCATTCTTTCACTTGGCCGCCGGCATTCGTGGAGCTTGCGTCAGGGAAACATGAGCCGCCGAGCGTGAGACAAAAAGAGAGGAGGAGAAAATGGGAGGCTCTCCGCGCGTTGGATACCTGAAATGACCTCATGGGAACAGGTATCAAGGTTTTATTTTTCAGGGGGGTTAATGTATAGGCGCGATCCAGATACCCAATTCACAAGAAGGGACCGCGATTTCGAGACGTAGGGGAAAGGATGGGTAATCCCCCCCCTCTGGATGCAAGAAGAGAGACTGAGCCGCGATGGTGCAGAGCTTGGAAGGGCAGGTGAACCGAAAATGGCAGCAGATCTAGGACACACACACGCGCGCGCGCGCGCGCTCTATATGAGAGCGGTAATGAGGAAGGTGAATTTTGTTGGGATAGATAGTACGGAGTACCTCGCCTTGTCTTAGAGTAGAGTTTTTTTTTTGGGGGGGGGGGGGGGGCATAGTAACGCACTTGGGGATCCAGACCCTCAGCATTGAGAAGCAAAATGGCCAACGTTATAAGCTCAGATATCACGGTGGCATTTGGGCGGCAGCCCTCCCAGATTTGCAATACTTTTTACTCGTTTTTGTTTTTTCTTTGCTTTTTGACTACCATTCCATCCCGCCCTCCTGTGCGGTCCAGTCCCTTGGCCGCCGCACCTATCTTCCCTTCCCCTCATAAAAGGGGCGAAGACTCGGGTGGCCGATCGGCCAGGGACGTTCCCCCGTCTATAAACAAAAATAGCACGCGAAAACCAGGGTTTACTTTAGCTGTGATTTCTCTTTGTCATTGCCATTCTCGAAAGCCCAATCCGTTGCGTTTGCCCTCCCCATACCGTTCGTTCACAGTCATCAACCCCCAAGGCCTTTTGATATGCCCGAAGGAGCGGTGTCGGAAAAGGGGTGGGGTTGGCGGGTTACCAAATAGTCCAACATGCTGAGAGAGAAAACCCAAATGGTGGCGATTTCCCAAGAAAGAGAGAAAGAAAAGAAAAAAGGGAGAAAAAGAAAAATGTCGTTACAGTCTCCTGCGTCCAGGTCTCGCTGACTGGGAAACTCCAGTTGAAGTGGTTCTGCACTGGCTGGTAACGCCACCGCTCTCTGTTGATGGAGAGAACTTGGACTGTTGGTGGCACTGATCTCGTGTTGCGAGAGAAATCATGCCGGTAAAAAATGGAAGGAAAAGCAACTTCTGCAAATTCGTTCGAACCCCATGCTATCGTGAATTCGTCATGATACATCTCGTTATTGGGTTCATCCCAGAGTGTCCGCGCCCTCGTTGTATAGAGAGAAGTGGCGAAGTGGGCAAAAGCAAGATTCCTGTCAGAAAAACAGCTCGATGCCAAACCCACCAACTACTTCATGCAGATGACGTGGGCGCTGGTGATGGAAGCCACCGAGATCGAAGAACCCGTATCGTTGCGAACGGTAATGACGGGGGTGACGACCAGCTGCACACGCCAGTGCTCGGCCTGCAAAAGGTGAGGGCCAATGTTGGGCGCGATGCCGACCATGGTCTGGGTGTTGAAGCGTGCGCCGGTGTCCGGGAAACGGAACTCAAAGGTCCAGCGCGAGGTGAGCATCTTTGCCGAGATGGACCAGGCCTTCTCGCACATCCGACGAAGATCCTCGTCGGCCTTCTCCAGATTGGGGCCGCCAGAGGACTCGGGGATGAGGAGAGGCGAGAGCATCTCGCGGAGCTCGGCCTGGAAGTACTCAATGCGGTGATCGCGGTAGGCGTCGTAGCGCTCGTGGTTGATGCATGAGTTGACAATGGCGGCGACGCGGTCGATGCAGACTTGAAGCGCACCACCTTGGCCAGCTGCTCGAGTCAAGCGAGTTAGCGAGGATTCTAGGCGATGAGGTGAAATATAGAGGCAAACTTACCGGGGAGATTGTTCATCTCGTGGCGGATCTCGCGGAGTTGGCGATCAGCATCAACCGAGAAGCCCTCCCAGGCCTCAAGAGCGAAGATGCGGTTGACCAACAGGTCGATTATGGCGCGTGATATCAGACAGGCGCGGCTCATGGGGTCGTTCATGTGCTGGCGGATGTAAGACCAGGCCTGCTGCTCGCTGAAGGGGGCGTATAACTTCGTCATGTAGCGCAGGAGCGGAACCTCGTTGAGGCGCGACATGATGGTGAGGTCAACCTCCGAGGCGAACTGGAGCACCTAGCCCCGGGCAAGACCCCAGACTCCCTCAAAGGCCCGAGCATAGCGCTCGTTTTCGCCACCCTCATCCTCGCTGAAGCCATGATCGGGGGCGAAGGGGCTGGTGACGGCGCGACTGGGGCCGTTGCCGCCCTGGCCGAAACGACCGGGACTGAAGCCCCCCTGCTGAGGGTAGTTGGCCGTATGGTAGCTGTGGCCAGACGAGCTGGGAGCGCGAGTACGGCTGTTTTGATGGGCCATGACGTATTCGTTCTTGTTGTGGACCATGTGATTCGGGCCTGTATTGTAACGAGGGTCCTGGGGTGGTATCATAAACTGAGGAGGGCCACGATAGCGGCTGCAGTAAGGACCCTCAAAGTTACCGAATGTACTGCGGGTAGCAGAACGAGGAGTCGGACTGGTGTAAGGACCGCTGCCGCCGTTGAAGTCACGGCGAGAACCAGCGTTGGATCCAGTGCTGTAACCAAGGTTGTACGATGAATCGACACTGTCGAAGCCATGATCTATACCGCCATTCATGCCAGGATGAAACTCGGGAGCGTTGGGACGGAATGAAGTGTGTTGGTTGGCGGCGCCGCGGTTGCCCATGGAAGTACCGGGGCGAGACGGGATCATGTCAAACCGGCTACCAAAACCGCCAGGTGCGTCAAAGTCATTGAACTGATCGTATCCGCCAGTGAAATAATTGCGAGTATCTCCGGATCGTGAGTAGGAACCCGGAGGGGGTATGTTGTGCTGAGTACGGGCACCGCTAGATGCGCGAGTCCAGCCAGCAGATGACATAGTGCGGTTGTCAGCAGGACGGCGAGCGTTGCCGAACATTCCCGGGTAGGAAGAGGGCGGACCATTCTGAGCAGGCACATGAACCAGAGCGGAGTGCTTCTCCGCGTTCTGCTGGTAGTTGAACGGCTGCAAAGCGTTGTTCGCCGAGGGCATGACCTCGCGAGACTCAGACATCTGAGAAGCATGAGCATCATAGGGTTGCTGGTGAGCCTGACCCGGCTGAGTCTGCTTCTCAAGAGCAGCAATGCTGGCAGAGCTAAGGGCAGTGATGGCTTTGGATGAGTCGTCATTGCGCTCACCATGCATCCAGCGGGAGCTGGGGCGGTTCATGAAGTCTTTCAGAATCTGCAACGTGATAGTCAGCGCAGCCCATTGTCCAAAAGGCCTACGGAAACAAACCTGTAGCAGCTCAGAAATGGTTTGGTTATGGGCCTCCTCATCGTTACCATTTCGAGGGTCAAGACGGGCCAGAAACTCGAGCACGGTGTTTTTGTGGTTCTCTTGCTCGACGTGGTAACGGGCAAGACGATCCTCCAGATCTTCATACTTGCGATGATACTCGGCGATATCTCGCTTGAGCTGCTCACGCTCCTCCGTGATAATGCTGGCCTCTAGCTTGCTGGAACAGAGTACCTTATCGTTGTACTCGAGGTCGATTTTGATATCGGCGACCTCATTTACCGCTTGACGAAGAACGTTGTTGACCTGCTGAGCGTATTTCTGGAGGCCTTCACAAAGATCGTTGGCGATCTTGCTGGGAATACCAGGAGTCCGACGGATCGCCTGCTGGGTAGTCATGATACCAGCTTGGACCTGGCGAGCAGGGACCCACGCAGGCTTCCATCCTGAAGTCAGTACATGGGTCGGATGGAAAGCGCATTGAAAAAAAAAAAAGGGGGGGGGGGGGGGGGGGGGGAGGAATTGGTAAGCAGATGAGACTCAACAACAGAGGAGAGAAGCAAAAGGAAACAAAACATCTGACCATGAATCAAGGGTACAGAGAGCATGGTAGAACGAAGTGAGTGTGACTTACGTGGTTTCGGGCAAGCTCAGAACGCCGGCTTTCTCGAAGAGGCCCAACCAAAGGACCGTCAATTTGGCAGTGGGTAGCCATCTCTGCAATGATCTTCTTCGTCTGGCCACGCTCGGTTGTATGAGTGGACTTGTTTTTCTCTTCCGAAATGGTAGCGAGGCCTGAGCCAGACTGGTTGCGTCGAATGCTGTTGTTCAACGAGCCGGGAGTGGGTTGACCCGGAGTCTTGACGTCGGGGGTAATGGGTCCGAACTCGCGGTAGGGAGTGATGGAAGGAGGCGGGCCAGACCGATAGCCAGAAGCAGTGGGCTCGATGACAGAACGGCCAACAGGAGTCGCAAAGACAGTTCCTTCAGAACGGACAGACGCCTTTCCAGCGGAGAAATTGCCGGGAATCTGAACGTTCGAGACGTGCTGAGAACCTTCCCGACCGTCGTTGAAAGTGAACTTTGCCTGCTGGAACTTGGGAGGCTGAGGTAGCTGGTAGTCTCCGGGGTGAAGCTGCGAATTCTGGTTAGAAAGATCGGCGGTGAAGACGTCAGACGACGACTTGGAGTCGCGGGCAGTGCCATCCGTTGAGGACGGGGTCGATTCGAACGACTGGCGAGTAGCAGCGAACAGGGGAGAGTGCTCCGAGAGACAGACGCCTCCACGGTGGCCTTCTCCAGAGCCGGAGCTCGCGTTGCCTGAGTCGGCCATTATAGCCACTCAGGTCTTGTCAATGCTTGGGGTAAAGGATGCTTGTAGGGGATGACGAGGCTTTGATACTCTCGATGGAAATGGAAATATCGAGAAAATAATTCCAAGATGATGAGAATTAGAAAGGGAAGGGGGAAACACTAGGATGTAGGCTCCTGGTAAGGGCTGGTGTGAGAAGAAACTGGGAGGAGTGAAAGAGTTGTTGATAGTTGGGAAAAGGTAGATTGTTGTCTGCGCAGGAGGCAGGAGCAAACTGCGCTAACCTTTTAAGGAGAGGCACCCAGATGATCTTGGAGGATGAATACACAATATGATGGGGTGGTGGTGCAGGTAAGCTGTGCATTTCCTGAGCTCATCAGGTGAGCCAAGGTGAGCCAAGGTGAACACCCAGGACCAACGAACCTCATAACCCCCTATCCCGTGATTCAGGTTACACCCCCCTCAAACCAATTACAAGCAGATGTTTTTACAAGGATAAAGAAGAAGAACAATGGAAACCATCATGCTTGATCAGTGTTGACTCATCTCTCAGACACTTGCTATGACAAGAATACCAGTAGGGAGAGAGAGAGTGATCAGCATGTTTGTCATTGACATTACCCAGCAGGGAATGCTGAGGATTACCAGGCATTGAATGAGAGAGGGGAGGAGGAAAGCAGACGCGAAAAATATGCAGAGAGTTCTCACATACCGACACAAATGACCAAGGCTACCAACGCGACTTGATAAATGGCCAGAGAAGTCGTTTGTTCTGCCCTGGGACGATGTAGTCCAATGTCTGGAGCGAATTGCTATGGCGGAAGGCAAGTACTCTGCCGATGGAGCCAACTGAACCCGGTGCTGTCTGTTCCATCGTCAACTGAAGTTCGATGGCGTTCAACGCTTGATGTGACTTGCCTATCGAGGACTCGGCCGAGAACAAGAAGCTCTTCAATTCTTGACCAATGTTGCCAGACTCTCGTGTCAAGAGCAAATACTGCCCCCAAGCAAAAGCACAAAAGTCGACAAGCTGTTCTTCTTGTATATTGTCAAAAGCACGTGATACCGTGTATGATCTATACTAGAGAACGAGAACGAGTGTCAGCGATTTCATTTGAGACAATGGAGAGCGAGCGAGGTATTGGCAAAGTGGCGAAGTGGGGGAGAATGTGGGAGAAGAGAACGAGGTCTTACATTGATGTCGATCTACGGCTTTCTTCCAAAGCAATATTCAGCCGTAACCCTAAGAAATGGTTCCGGGTAGCAGACTGTGGGAGCTTGACGTGGAACGTCGAGAGGTTTTGAAGAACCGAGATCCAAAAAGAGGATTAAAAGATGGTGGAAAGCCCAAGGATGGCGTTTTTGGAGTGGTTAGGACGATTTAGTGTAAATGGCGAGATTGAGAGAGGAGAAGAGATGGGAATGAACCAGATGGGTATGGAGAGAGTTTGTGGTGAATAGAAAAACGAGGAAGAACAACAAGGTTGTGAGATGTGGAGTGAAAACAGAGAGAGGAGTTTTATCCTATCTTCCACTTGAAAGGGTGGGACCTCGCGAGAGCCATGAAGAGTTCCTGTTCGAGAATAGTCTATCGACCTCAAGGGGCGAGAGAAGAGAATGGTAGTTCTCGCCCAAACTGATCAAGGCGGGCCTTGGTGATGTTGAAGTCGTGATGCTGGCCAGGGCGCTCTTTACAGTAGTGTGGAGGACTAGTTATCGACTCGGCTTCTTGGCTCAACATCAAGTCTAGGGCTCATGGACCAACGCCTTTGAGCAATATGTAAAGAACTCGTAAGTAGGAACAATACAGTATATTGGGTCAATGGTGTGTATATCATATGCCCTGTGGCTGGAGGAAAACTGTGTTCTGACAGTAACCACAGTCACACATGATGGAAGAGAAATAACGGCTTATTACTAGAGTGAAAGTAGTGGTGAGGAGTTTAGAGAAGGAAAGTAAGTCTAAGCAAAGAACGGCAAGAAAGAAAGGGCGGCAGGAAAAGAATTCCTTATAGGGCATCGTAAATCACTGAGAGCTGTTTGAGCTTGATTCCGGAAGCAATACACGTTGTGACCAAGACGCACACCAGGGCTTGCATGCCTCAGCCAAGACAACTAAAGCTGCTCTTGCGCTCCATCCCCATTAGGGTGAAATATGAGTGAATTAAAGGGCTTCCGAAACAATGGGCTACGTTGAGGCAGCACTTAGACAAGGGGAGCCGGCATGCCCAAGGTGCTTCTATAACTTCATTTTTAAATAGTAAGATTACCTTGGGGCTATTTTACACAAAGAGACTTGTCTCTAACTAGGCAACTGTGCGCAGAAAGCAGTAATTTGGGGAAGAGAAGAACCCATGTGTGTTGTGGGTTTCGGACTCGAGGTGCTTGCTGCATATAAGAATTTGAAAGGGCCCATGTTCCGGACCATGGTGAAGAGGGAGGTGATAGCAACTTTGAGTCAACCGTTGGGATGGAGAGGTTAGACTTTCCAAGCTTGAGCATGACAGCAGGAACACACTGGTGCCTGAAACCGAGATAGCCTTCATCTGGCCAACCAAGTCAGTACAAGATGGCGCACTTATGGTTATGAGCCAAAATATGCCAAGGGAGCAGAATGGATACATCATAGTGAGAGAAAATACAGCGAAACCAGGCAGGCCGGTAAGCATGTCAGTCCACCCGGGGTACAGCAATTATACTAAAAACAGATTTAGTACCTAAGTGGACTTCGTAGCTATAGCTTCCTTGTTCCTTACCCAGACGCCGTTCTTGGCAACATGCCATACAGGCTCCGCATGTAACAGGAGCGCATTTTAACGAAACAACCTAAGGTACAAATATCAGCCAAAAAATGGTTGGCGATCGAAGGTGCAATCAAGTATGCTTTCTGCAGAGAATCAGTGCGGAGTCGATCTGCTCTCCAATGTTGCTGGGTTAAACCTTTTGCTCCGAGGCGACACAAACTTGGCTGGACACAACTGACGACTAGAGAACAGGGGACCAAAAGTCGTTGTTCCGCGGTCTCCGTTTTTTTCGGGTGGAATGGATATCAGGGACATCGACTCGCTACTGATGTCAGAGAAGACTTTTGTTTGATGGATAAGATTTAACCTACTATGTGGATCCTAGACGATGCTTTGCGAGGCCATATATTAGCTTTCAGATCGCTCTTGTGCGAGAGAACAAACTGCTGTAGACGGCATCTACAACAGGTGACGCGTCGATCATCCTGCCTCCGAAGTATCGGCCGTTGAGACCTCTGATAGCATTCTCGCCACCCTGGACCTTGTCGAACTTCAGGTAAATGTCACCCTTCGAGTTCGGGTCGACGGAGATGTGGACGACACGGCCGTATTTGGTTTCTGCCTCCTGCCGGACGTCATCCTCCAACTCCTTGACCCAATCGTCGCCCTCTTCCCTATATTGAGGTTAGCATGCGAAGGTAATGAATGCTTCAGTACATGATTGACTTACTCTTCGGGATCAAACATGTTGTGCAAGACGACGCATCGGCTGGCCATGTTGACGTTGACAGGCAGAGGCTTGGTCTCGGTCTTGGGCTTCAGCACCTGTCGCTCATCTACTCCGTTGGAAGCATCGTCAGTCCTGGCAAGCTTTCTCATCAGGGCATCACGGCTGTAATTGTTAAAATTGACGCCGGCGACATCAGTGTCGTCGAGGGCGCTAGCGCCGCCAGACTTCTCGCTATCTCTGCCACCCGCACGATCGAACGCCGATGTCTGAGGGCCGCGACCGCCCGCGCCAGAGAATGCAGAACCCTGATACTGCGGGTTTTGGCCAGGAAATCTCTGCAATATGTTGGCAGTGCTCTCAGGGGTAAACTTATCGTTTCCGAGGCCAACGCGAATCGGGCGACCAGCAAGATCGAATCCGTTCATCTTCTCAAGGGCCTCTCTGGCTTGGCTGGCTTCGCGGTATCTGGGGTTGGTCAGCAGGCCTGTCCAAAGCCGGAGGTGGGAAGGAAACATACTGTACGAAGCCATAGCCTCGGCTGCGTCCGTTATCGTCCTTCTGGAGCTGGACGAACTCAAGCTCGCCGAAGGGTTCAAAGACGGCCTGTAAGTCCTGCTCGGTGACGTTGAAGTGAATGTTGCCAACATAAAGTCGGTGGAAGGGGATGGAGTTTGGGTGAGCGGCTGTGGTTTCGGTGGTGCGAACCTGTCGGTTCTTCTCGGCCTCCGTCATCTGAACAATGATAGGGATACCTAGCAATTTCTGTCCAGTAAGTTGAAGAGCTTGGGTGACAGAGTCCTCGTTCTTGAATTCAACGTAACCGACTCTGTGGAGCATGGTTAGCATTGGATCATATAACGGCCTGGATTCAAACACACATACCCCTTGGATCTCTGGCTGATACGGTCCTTGACAATCTGGGCCTCGGTGACAGGGCCGACCTTTTCAAAAAACGCCTTCAGGTCGCGTGTGCGAAGGCGGGCGGCGAGCTGCTGGACAAAAACAGTGCGGCGATCCCGTTCATCTTCAGTAAGTTGTGGTGTGGCCTCACGCTTAGAAGAGGCCTCTGGGCGATCATCATCCTTTGCCCGGCGATGGTCCCCAGAGTAGCGATCGGATCGATCGCGGCGTTCGCGGTAGTCGTCGCGGGATGAGCGGTAAGAGCGGTGGGGCGAGCGAGAGCGGGAGCGGGCTCGTCCGCCTCTGTAGTAATCACCATCTCCTCTGTGACGACGTGAGTGACGGCGGTCATCATCGCGGCTTCTGCTTCTCCGCCTACTCTTGTGGCTGCCCGCGTCGCTTCGAGGGGTAGATGCCTTGATGTCGTCCGGAGTCCCGCGACGGCTTCGTGTCGTGCTCCGGTCGCGGCGGTCGCGGTCTCGGCGACGACGGTCGTAGTCCCGATCACGGCTTCCATCGCGGGCACGATCGCGCTCCCTGCGCTCAGGACGGTCGCCGTTGGGACGTTCGTCAACATCGTGTGTCTTGTTCTCGGTTGAGCTTTTCGCGGTGGCGTCAAGCAACGCCTCTACGTCGAGGCCCGACATCTTGTTCTTTGCGTCAACTTGGTGAGCAGTAGCAAATTTGAATGGTGTTTCTGCGCTTTTGCGCACTGCTTCTACCTGGAAAGCAGAATTTGCTGTGGCGTTGTTGGAGGGAAAGCGTGTGCGTGAGATGGGGAGAGGCTGGCGTGGTCTCGGAAACAACCAATGCAGTAGCAGACGGGCGATTTCTTGGTTGGGAGGCCCGCAAGTAGGGACCATAGCCAAGCATGTCTAGAATGTGACCGCGGAAAGAGAGTGTCTTACCTAATACGAAACAAGGGCGGAGCTGACTCAGAAAGACAAGTTCCAGGCACGCCGCGGTTGCACTGCACTTTCCCACGATTGAACCTTCGATACCTACCTACTTGGCTGGAACTTACTCAAGGTACCCTTAGTGCGGATTCCAGAAATCCAACAGATCAGATAATCACGTGACCAAAGATTTGTGATCCCAAGGGCAGGGGCGAAAGATGCAGCATTACAACATGCAAAAACTGACTTCCAACTGAAGGCCCGACCAGACCCCCCCCCTTTGCGACTGCCCGTGAACAGCGTCTTCAGATGTGCCCATGGCGTCAACGAATATACTCTATTCGTTCCCTAGCAATCCGTAAGAATCGAGGCCAAGCTATGATCCTCTCGCCATGTACACACCAAACTCGTCACCTGCAAGGGTCACGGGCAAGCGGAATGAACGTGCAGTCTATTTGCTTTATGGCATAATCTCGATGTGTGTGGTATCATTCAAAATACTCTGTACTAAAACAGCCTGCCATGAGACCATGGCGGCTCTTCCTAGCCGCATCACAGTCGGCTGGGGCGCTGTAAGACGTAAAGCTCATCTTGAGCTATTTCCTAAGACTGCCCTTGAAACGAACACATTACAGCGTTAAAGTAATCCTAAAAAACGTATATACAAGGGGGCAAAGTGATCACGAGGACAGATGCTGCTCCGTCAGGCATTAGAAATAGGCCCCGAAATTTGTCGTTATGACAAGACGTATGTAATAGTAGCGGTGGTGATGGTAAAGTGGTTTTGGTAGTTTGGGATTAGTTAGCCTTCACAATGGGAGGCAACTCCGTGCCAAAGACGCTGTCCCAGAACCGGCTGGTGACGCCGAAACCGAGTTCGTAATCGAGAAAGTGGTGCTGAAGGTGGTACTTCTTGAGCTCCTTGTACCAAAGAGGTAGGTTCTGGTGGTGGAGGAAGTAATGGGTCAGGTCGTAGCAGACGTAGCCGAAGATGCCTCCACAAAAGACAGCCGTGGCGGCGTGCCAGCTGTACGAGAACACACAGTGTGCAAGCTTGTAGAATGGCGTAGCAAGGACAACGAACAACGTCGGGGGCATGACCAGGCGGTACTTGTCCATGGGGAGGTAGTGGTGAATACCGTGGAGGAGGAAGTGGGCGGTGATGCCAACTCGGTTGTCGGGAAGCCACCTAAAGGTATTGTTAGCTTTGCAACTCTTCTTCCAACCGACCACAGAAAGCGCCGAGAATGACTTACTGGTCAAGATGGAACAGGAAGCGGTGCAAGATGTACTCGATCAGAGTCCAAAGGAAAAGTCCGAGGCCAAAGTAAAGCGATTCCTCCATGGTGCTTTTCATGCCGTCCCTAGCAAGGTAAAGACTGTATGCCACGGGAGGAAGCCACGCCAGCGGAACAACCCACCAGGGCGTCTTGGACAGAGGCTCCAAAAAATTGCCAAACAAGGGCGCAGACTCGCCACCCTTGTAGTGCCTGGGTCGGTGAACTTGATCGAGATAGAACTCCTTGCTGAAGCCGCCGTACCAGATCTGGGGGAAGAGAGGGCGACTCAAGTCGAGGAACTTGTGCTTCTTGTAGTCGTTGGTGTAATCCGTCTCCTTACTCAGATCCTCTTCGCTGGCCATGCCGGTTCGGGGGTGAACCCACCGCTCGCCGTCCCAGAGCTCGCCGCGTTCGTTCATTTTGACTCCCTCGTTTTCGGATTTGGACACGCCGTTGTCGTTGCCGTTTCCGTTGGCATGCCCGTTCACTTTACCGTTCGCTGTTCCGTTGGCCCTGCTCACTGATCCATTGACCGTCTTCTGGTTGATGACAAATCCGACCAACGAGTCGTCGAGAACCTCGTAAGCTGCCTCGGAGTGGGGATGGGAGGTGGGATCGCGCAGTATCGCCTCGACGTCCTTGCCGGCATATTCAAAGACCAAGTCGGCGCCGCCAGGGTGATCATGGGCGAAGTCAGTCACGTCGTAGACGTTTGCGCCAATGGTGACATAGCAAGACTTCTTGTTGTTGTGGGCCTCGACCTCGGCACGAGTGAAGGTAGGCAGAGTTCGCGACGGCATGGTGCTAAGTATTCGGCGGGTTCTCCGCTGAATAGAGATGGTCGAAAGGGGAAACGAGTAGGACAGGCCGTATCGGTGCGTAGTCGCTTCGAGTGTTTGGTGATCAAGTCTCAAGTGGGCAAGACGCGAAGGTTGAATAGCAAACAACAAAGGGAGTGGACGGGTAGTGTCGCAGCAGAAATCGCAGTAGCAGTTGCAGTTGCAGGCCCTATCAATAGGGACAGAGACAGTGGTCGATGCGAGGAGGGGCAAGGAGAAAGAAGTATTAAGATATGGTAAAGGAGGCAAAAAGCAGGCGATCTACCCATGAGAGAGGGAAGAGGAGCCAAGAGCCGGGAGGGCCGGGAGGGAAAATGGGAGGAGGCCGGGGCGATGTGACTGAGGCTCAGTGGGACGGTGAAGGGTGGTGAGAGAATCGAGGAATTAATCGGAGGGGGGGTTGATTTGGGGATGGGGCTGGAGGGTATCGGTAGGAGAGCTTCCCCCTTGGCCTCCTACCATAGGCCGTACCTTTACGCGACGAGATAGTCTAATCTCGAGGACAAAAAAATTACAGCACGGTGGCGTTACTTTGGCACATTATGGGACCTGGCGGAAGCTTGGACAGCCCATGTGTGGTTCCACTAGCCGACCACCCTCACCCGGTTTTCCCCCCCCTTCAGGGTTTACACTGTGAACACTGTGTGATTTTTTGCAGGATGGATATCCGTACAAACCCCGAGATTACGTCTGCCTCAGCTCAGTACAGTACAGTAGAACAGCAGAGTTGGGCAAATTCACAAGGCGAACATAACAAAGCTGCATGGCAGTTTGAGACAGAAGGGAAATGGGAGGCAGGGATAGCGACGCTACATGGACGCCCACTATCCCCATGGAAAGTCCGCGACAATCACCGAGCCAAAGCATCCCAGGCCCAAGAGAATTACTGTGTACAGATATGCCAGGCAAATTCAAACGAGGCCGGCTAGCGGCCCAGTTGGATCGTCTCCCGCCTGCGAGGTCTGTGCAGAGGGGTCCCTGGCCCCCTCGCTGGTGGTGTGATGAATCCATTCTAGTGAGGTGGCTGTTTCTATCGCGTTGATAGACAACAGCGAACACTTGTTGTTTCTCACCATCTATCTAACTGGCTTTCCGTGGTCTGGAAACGAGGGGCATGTCTTGGAACACTTTAGATAAGGTGGTGCGAGGGTGCGAGGCCATTCCTCATCTGAGTACTTTCTGGCAAATGGCCCGTGAACTCCCATTGACCCAGACACCAAAAAGAATGACTGGCAAAGTGGCATCTGCTGGCAGCAGCGGCGGTCTGTGACAGCGAGCATTGTTGGGGTCAAGTAAAGGGGGTGTGTCTTTGCACTGCAGATTTGCATGAACCATGTCAAACCAGCTTTGAGGTACGTACTCGCTCAAGTCAATTTATTTAGTACTTACACCCACGATTTGTCTCGATCGACCCCGCGACGCGACGACCGGGGACTAAGAGATGGTGGCTTTGCATAGCGTGGCTGATGAGCCGCGCATTGAATTCGTCCGTCTTTCGGAAACAGCGAAAAGTGCCTTTTGATTGCTTAGTAGGCGCACATAATTAATTACACATGGAAGAAGAAGAAGCAGAAGGAGAAGAAGAAAAAGCATCGACTTGCAGGGGCTCTACCCAGCCGACCACCCAGTACCTATATCTAGGTATCACAGTATCACCTCATTCTTGCGCGCAGCTGTCAAACCGTAAAGTTAATTCGCGCCCAGCTTTGGACAATCGAACAACAATGGATGAGGAAACGAACACGGCGGCTCGAGCAACCTTATGGTATAAACATGTATGATCATCTCGTTGGACTGGCGATGGTGCTGGGGACAGGCCTGAAGTTGGCCAGGGACGCATGGCCTTTGGGTCAAGTACCGTCTACAGCTTTGGCCAACGGCGGGGCTCTGCTTATTCGCGCCTAGGGCAAAAGAAAGCCTGGGCGCTTTCGGATGGAGGGGCATATTGGGTGCTCAGTGCTAAGAGGGGGTTGCTTTGGGGGGCCATTCGCTAGGCGCTGTTGTGCTGAGCTCAGCGCATAGAGAGGAGGGGCAGGGGACCGGGCTGCTAGTTTAGGTGCCAATTGAAGGTTATTCAACTTTTCCTTTCGGATCTGATGTCGCCAGGGCAAAGTACTCTCTACCTCCCTTGCCACCAAATGCTGTTTTCAGATAGCTTGAGAAACTTTGCAGCTAGGGAAGTAGGTAGGTTGGTAGTTCCGGTACGTTTGCAGCTTCCATGAACCAAACAGACAGCTCTACTGTCATGCCCTCTGTTCGAGCTTGCTTTGGGCCAATTAACGGCCAACCTCACGTAGATGAGGGAAGTCAACCAGGCCACCAACGCGACCCTGCCGGGCACATTCCAGTAACGGAACTGTTTCTATCCAACCTCTACTGGTGGTCTGCCCTCCAGTGTATGCTACGTGGTATATACGGAGTAGAAAGATAGCATACTCGCGTACTACGTACGTACGTACGTATGTGTGTGTGTATATCCGTATATGTGCGCGCGCGTGCGTGGGCGCGCATCCCACAGCAGTTGTGCGTTGGCACACACGTGACGCAATGCAACAGTTAAGAAATTATCCTGTTAACAGCCAAGCTGACGGCTTTCTGGGGTTTCCCTTGATAAGGCAGGAAAGTATTTCCCTGCCATCGGGCATGAGAGCGCAGAGGTGTCGTCAGCATGTGTAGGGGCAGCCGGCCAGTATTCCACGATAGCATGCTTGCCCCGCACATGCCTGGCGTATTATCTAAGAATACTCTCAAGGCCCCAGGTTTGCGACCCAAGCCGTCAAAAGTCTTTGCGCGGCATGTCTTTGCCGTCCAAGTCCTACGTAAGGTGGATGTAAGGACAGGATTGCACTATGTAGTTCCTAAGTTTGCGCAAGCATCTAGGTCATCCAGCTCGTCCATTCCAGCTCTGGCTCCCTCTCTGCCTCTCACTCAACCCCCCCCAATCATCCTGTTTTGCCCTACCTTATCCTGCGTGTCTTGCATCACCCGAGGCAACTGCTTTTGAAAGCTTACCTCGTCTTGCCGAACCTGAACCTTTCCGCTCACCTAAACGCACCTCACTCACCTTTTACCCCTCCAAGGCTGATTCTTGACCTCGTGGACCCGACCGTTTTGCGTGACCCCTCCATCGCCCAGAACCTCTGACGCAACAGTGCGACTGAACTTTACACGCAGTCTTTACCGATTTTTGGACTAAACTTCCGAGCCTCCCTGACCCTGAATCATGGCGTCTTCCGGTCTCGGGAGAGGTTCCATCCTCCTTGCCTTCTGTCTACTCCTGGTGCTCCTACCAGGTCGCGCTGCCGCCTTTGGCGCCGGCAACATCCCCTCCATTGCTCAGGTAATTCGACACCACAAGGTCTTCGATACAACACCACTTCGTTTTGCATACTAACGGATTGTGATCGCCAGGTCGAGGGTCACAACTGGCGTCATGGAGGTGAGTGATCTGCTGTTCCCCCACTTACGCTCAACGGCTTGCTGACATGTTTACTCACAGATATCGAGGATATGCTCAAGACTATCGCCTTCTTGCACGGCAAAAAATGGACCTCCATGCTGGTGTCTCGTGTCTACTTTGGAAATTGGCTTCGCGACTACTCCCAGGCCGTCGATGTAGGCAGCTTGAAAGGAGTGAACGCTCCCACAATCAGAATTTTGGTCTGTATCATCCCCATGGCAAAAGTTGCTGCGTCGCGCTTTGTCCTGACTCTTTATCTTATTATTCCAACAGATTTGGGTTCTGTCATTCATGGCCTTCGGCTACGCGACGGAAGAGTTCGAGGTAACTGAAGAGCGTCTGGGCGTCTACCGTCCAGAGGAACATATCGACAACCCCCTGGGCTATGCCGATGGCATGGACGCGCGCAAGTTCGACCCTCGCCTTCGTGGTCCCGTCGACCCTATCGAAACTCAGATCGATTCCCGCACCGGCATGAAAAACTACATCGCCAACGAATCTGGGGGTTGGGCGACCAGCGCTGGCTACCTGCGCTTTAGCTTCGCCCGCAGCATCCACTTCGGCCGGGTCTACACAAGCGGATCACATGGCTCCGGAAAGGAGGCCGACCTTTGCGAGGCATTGCGTTGTCTCGGACAGGCACTTCACTGCATGGAGGACTTCAGCGCGCACAGCAATTACTGTGAGCTTGCTCTGCGAGAGCTGGGCTACCACGAGGTGTATCCCCACTGCGGTACTGCCACCGAGATTAATCTTAATGGCCGCAGGGTCTTCCCTCTTGTCACCGGGACCTTTGGCGCTGTTGATTTCCTACACTCTGTTCTCGGCGAAGCTACGGACCACTTCACCCAGTCTGAGGTGGATGAAATGAATGTTGCCCTCAAGAATGCTGAAGGCATGACTTCGAACATGACTGGCGGCAGCACTGGGTCTCGTGGCTTTCTGGGACTTGGCTCCTCGAAGCCGACCGACTTCATTTCTCTTATCAGCCAGCTCCCAGGCATTGGCGGCGACCTTGCTGGCCAGGCCCGCAATTTGCAAGCTCAATCAACCGCTCAAGAGCAGCAGAACACCCGCTCGGGCAGTGATCTTAGCCGTGGGGACCTCAGCCGCGATAGCGCAAACCAAGTACCCGGCATGAGCACCAACTTCGACCCTGTCGAGACGGCCCGGAAGATTTACCCGATCCTGCAGTTCCGAGATAAGATTGTCAAGTCTATCAGCAACATGATCTCCAAGATCCCCGGCTTGGAAAAGCTCTTGGACCACATCAGTGAGACGCTCACTGCCTTCATTCTGGGGCTGTTGGCGCCGTTTGTCAGGCCCATCATCACGCAGGTCTCCAAGGTCCTCAAGGACGGTTCCTCAACTGTCATTGATGCCAGCTCCAACTCTCAGCTGGAGCCCTGGAAAAACCCTAGCTGCGATAATCCTACCCACTCCATGCTATCCAAGGATCACTTCACCAACATCCTGAACTCCTGCGCGGGCAGAGTTGCTGCTACCATTTTGCAATATGTTGTCCCGTAAGTCACCAGACTGCGATCTTTGCCTTTTAAGGCCAAGCTGACAATGTTGTAGGCGTATTCTTTACGCTTGGGAGAATCCCGGAGTACCTGTCGATGAAGTCGTCAATGACGTCCTTCGTGCTTTCCACCACCCGGCAGCCCGCGATGACAGAATCCAGATTCAAAAGGACATGTTCGAGACGGTCCGCAAGTGGGCAAACGAGAGTTCCTACAAGCACGAGCTGTCTCACCTGCTCTCGTCCGAGTCAGTCAAGGCTGGAAGGAACCATGTTCTCACCGGCGGTGACGGAACGAAGAGTGTCGGAGGTCCGGGTCATACTCACTCCCATGGAGCTTTCGACAGCTTCGGTGAGCTGGGACATGGCAAGGTACAGGGTTCGCTATGGAACCAGATTCGCACGCGCGATCTGAGCTCCATGGAGGGCGATGACACGAAGCCCTTGTCGAGCTCTCCCCTCCCTCCGTCGCGACCAGATTACGGATACCACGAGAGCCAGGGAGGAAGCAGTCACCACTACTCGGCTTCCCAGTCATCCCAAGGTCAGGCCTCAAGCTACTACAGCCAGCCTGGACCGCAAGGCTATGACCAACAGCCTCCTCCGCCCACCGGTCAGTGGGGTCCTCCGCAACCCCCGCAAGGTTACGGCGGTCCGCCTGGGTATGGTGGTCCTGGATACGGTGGACACCCTCAACCCCCGTATCCCCCTCACCACCAGCAACCGCCTCCTCATCATCAGCAAGGCGGCTGGAACCAGTATCCGGGCCAGTACGGCGGCTACTAGGTGAGTGCGGGATATCGAAATGAACAGTGCCAAGAGTTGGCGATCCGGGTCGAGGGATACGGGCTGGGAGTCCTTGGGGAAACACGGAAACGGGCCGGGCCGGCAAGAAAATATTCATTTGAATCCATTTGGACTCACGAGACTAGGACGATTCCCTGCGTCAGTGCGTAGAAGAGTTGCACAAAGCACGAAGCGCATGATTAATATCTGCTTTGACGGTATTCCTTAGTATATCACGTCTATTTTTTTGTTACTTGATCCAGTGAATATGATCCGTCCCACCGGTGTATTTACATGGACCAGAGCGTGCTTGGAAACCCCGCTTAGCTCCCAAAGAGGTAGCAGTTGTGGTGATAAATGGCCCTTTCCCCTCTACCTTCCTCTCTCCCCATCCTTTGAAACCCACAACCATGTATTACCCCGTCGCGGGGTTACTGCTTACCTCGCCGGGGATCCAACGCCTCGGCCCTCCTCTTGTCGCGAATCTCCCTGGTCCCGAGACTACCGACGCCGCCCTCGGACCGGCGCTCCCAGCCACCCAGCCTGACGACCAGACACGTAGCGTTGTCGCCGTCGTAGGAGACCTCGGTGGCATAGTTGACCACGTCCTTGGCACCCTCCTCGGGCGTCCTGGCCTCCTTGATCACGTCGACAATCTCCTGGTCGCTGAGCGTGCCCGAGATGCCGTCGCTCATGAGAACCAGGAACGAGTACTCGGCCGGGCCGATCTCGACGCGGGTGATTTCCGGCTCGGCCGACACGCCGATGCGCTTGCTCCGCATGTCGCCGAACGCCCGACTGTTAGCGAGTCCCGCGATGCGGTCTTCGCCGAAGCTGTCCGCCGAAACCATGGATCCAGCCGGCGCGTATCGCCGAAGGCGGCGGCTTTCGGTGGGCGTGGTTGGATGGTGGTCCGATGTAAGAGGCTGCGCAAGACCGGTGGTTGTTTGGCAGAGGAGGATGCGTGTGTCACCGACATGCGCAACTATCAAGGTCGATTGCGCATTGGGATGCCAGAAGGGCGCCGGGGTGGGCGTCGAGATGAGCGCGATGGACGCCGTCGATCCACCCTTGAAGCGTGAAAGACCCCCGATGCCATGCCCTGATGGTGGTTTATGCGGCACCCCGAGGATTTCGTCGCTGTTTACAGGACGGTCGCCCGCGTGCGGGTCGTCGGGGTCGGGCTTGCGAGCCTGGGCGGAAACGAAGTCCAAGTCTGCTCTCAGAAAGGCGTACATGAGAACCGACTCCACCGTGACTCGAGGCTCGTCATTGTTGCCCTCTTTGTCTTCCAAGAGCTTGAAGTACTCGGGATTGAAACGCCTAAAGTACCCACCAACGGTCTGCCGGTACTCATCCACCAGGTCTCTCGTCAGCTTGACAGCCTTGGGGATGTCATCTACCCTCGCCGAGACTGGATCGACTCCTTTGAGAGGCTCCTTTCTCTCGGGGTTTTTCAAAACGCCATGTTTGTCTTGCTTGGGCACCAGTATCTCATCCTTGACATCCTCTTTAGTTTTCATGAAGAGCTCTTCGGATCTTCCAAGATCCTCGTCTTTGCGACCAGTCTCTTGTTGGCCCGTCTTCAGGCTGCTCTGAAGCCCAAAGTCTGCAGAGGCTTGCTCGATGTAACCATGCAATTCGTCCCGCAGGAACTCGGCACACTGGGTCCCGCCATGGCCGTCAAAGATGCCAAAGTAGAAAACCTGAGGGTCGCCGAGTGCGCTGTCGGCGGATGTTGCCTCGTTGGGTTTCTGAATCGGCCTTCTCTGAAGACTGATGGGAGCCCGCTTGGCAAAAGCTGGCATGCTGATGGTGCCAGCCTGATTTGTGTCCTCGTTGTACGAGCGTTGGCCTCTCAACGAGGCAACTCCGAAATGATGCTTGGCTCTTTTGAGTGGGATTCGGACCACGGTGAGATCCCGACTGGGCATGTTCAGGCCGGCAGCGGCTGGCGAAGACCCCGGTGTCTGGGTGTGGGGGGTTGAGGCATCACGGGGCAGCTTGTGTCCAGGCCCAGCTGATGTCCGAGAATCCGGGTGTAACGAGGACGACGGAAGGTGGGTGACAAAGTAGTTGTGAAAGAATCGCCGGTTCCGGAAGGACGGCACTTCATTGTCGCCCAGCAAACATCGCCGCTGACTCTTGGGCCTTGGAAGCCAGTCAGCAGGCCGTCCAATTCCAGGACTCTCGGAGTAGTCTCGCCGCGATGCATGTATCGGAACCGTAAGAGAGGCAGGTTTGTCGTTAGGTTCTCGGGTGTGTGTGCTTAAGCACGGACGAATCGGCTGGACGGCTGGGGTTGCAAAGGCTCGGATGGCTCCATGGTGTTGCGCTACTTGTCGCGTTGAGCAGCGTGTGAAAGCCGGCATTGTTTTGGGGAATGACGAGGTTCGGACAGAGACGTCAGGAGCGTCACTGGCACTGCAGCAGCTCAGATAGGACGGCCTTCCTGCTGGCGAAAGCCATGGGCTTCAGCTCGTCAAGCTGAGGCGGCGGTAGCTTGTGAGGGGTCGAAGGTGGAATCTCGCGGCTGGTCCTCTTCAGGGGTGCGAAAGGAGGGGGGTCGTCAGCTATTGCGTCGACGACGTCGAGGCATTGGCATGAAGCTCCCGCAATGCTGTTAGGTATCGTGGCGCCGGGGAAAGGTAATCGGCCGAGGGAATAGGCAAATGGATCGCAGTTAGCGCTGGGCAGTGTTTGTATTTGCTTCTGGCCAATTGTTTGGGTATGACACAGTGGTAGGAGGAGGATTGAGTTCGACCAAGGCACACACGGTTGGCCTCGGTTGGACCATGGATGGGCCCGGCGACGTAATGAGACGGACCTGCAAAGGAAGTACGGGAGGGATAGGCGCTGGTCGTGGAGGTTTCTGCTCCGTACCCTGCCGCCAGCTGCTCACCGTGTCCGTCTTTAGGGTCTTTAGGGGGAATTACCACATCTAGCTGCAGCCAATCCCGCAGGTCACCACCCTTGGATTCTGGTAAAGCCGACTGTACTTTACACTAGTGGCGTGGCCGATACCTGCCATCCAACGACGGATTCGGGCTCACTTATCTAATCAGCTACCAAAGCAAGGACTGTGTCAAAACCGGCTTCCAGGAACAAACACACACAGTGCTGGACCCACTACCTTGGAATCAGGCAGAGGCAGATGCACCAGCACTGGGCTTTCGAGAGCCGAGTGGCATGTGGGCATTCACTTATATCAGTTGCGACATTTCATGGTCCAAGATTCTCGCCCTTGGTTTGACCTCGACGCCGAGTGATGGAAAACTGTCTCTTCACCCTTCATGACACTCTTTGAGTTGCGGCAGAGACCCCAAACCCCTGCGGTGCTGTCTGACGATGGAAGACCCGGTACCAGTTCAGGATGACACATCGGATCCGTCCTCGGGCCAGGCTTTCCCCGTCGTGCTCATAAGCGACGACGGAGATGTCGTTCTCGACGTTACATTCGAGACGTCCAGAGAGACCATAGCCGCCGCTCGGAAAACTTGGCAGGCTGCCAGCAAGAAAATCGGCGCCCCCTGTATACCGCAGCCTAACCTGCGCCCGGTCATCAGAGTCGCCTATCGCGTCAAGCTCTCTGCTCTGAAGAAGCATTCCCGGTATTTTGATAACCTTCTCGGCAACAAGCAGTTCTCCGAGGCGAGCAACGTCGAGGAGACGCTTGCCCGCCTGGCTGCCGAGAGGCTCAAGCTCGCTGAAGTGGACCCTCGGGAACTGCCCTGGATCACCATCGTTGATGATGACGAAGCTACGAGGTCCATCGGTCGGGAGAAGGTCTTCGAGGACTTGATGAGGATCATGCACGGGAAGCCGATACAATCTACGACTGTCAATATGCTCCATGTGACAACCCTGGCCATCTTGGCCGATCGCTTCGATTGTCGGTCCTTGGTCTCAAGATACCTTAGTATCGAACTCAAGTTCAAGTGGCCCCTGACGAGTGCTAAAACAGCTCGAGCAGGGGCACAGAAGAAAACCCTGGACATCGAGAATTTGCTTAGACAGAAGATTCTGGTCGCCTGGTTGTTGGAGCAGCCGCCCAGGCTCCACAACTACACTCGAGAACTGATTCTCCGTGGCTCTGTCCGCTGGAGTGCCTTGTTCCCCGACGAGTTCTCACGTACTGAGCTGTGGTGGCACCTGCCGGACGGCTTGGAGCGTGAGTGACTGAGCCTTCACTGAACCCCAAATATGTGCTGACCTCAACTAGGAGAACTACAGCACCGCCGAGAGTGTGTGTTGAATACCATTGCCTCAGTCCATCGCCACTTCATTGCCCTGTATTCCTCCCGCGAGAGGCAATGTAAACTTGGATACGATTCAAGCTCCGCCTGTGACTTATTCCAGCTGGGCCAGATGCTCAAGTTCTTCACGAGCAAAGAGCTGATGGGTGTCGTCGACTTCGGGCCAAGCTCGTATGACAACATCCCAGACTCTTCAGTCATTGACGTTGAGGAAATCTTGGCTATGTTGAAGCAGGTACCGGGCTATCAGATCGACAAGAACCACACCAACTGTGGCATTCGAACACGTCTTGAACCCATAGTGGAATACATAAGGTCTATGCTGTCGTCAACCGTCCTGTCAATATCCCAGGTTGATTGGAAGAACAACAAAGCGTCGGCCTCCTGGGTACCCGATGCCGACGGAGTTATGAGATTGGACAATGAGGAGAATAAGTTTGAATTCACTAGAGGCTTAGCGAGCGATCAGCGTCTTCGGTATGAGGGCAACATGTATGCCGACAAGATGGCGCGGAGGCTATTCACCGCTGACAAGTGGGATTGGACGCCCGAATATTGATAGAGTTTTATGGCACCATTACTTGGATACCGGTATTCTCAAAGCTCATCGGCTACTATTTGCGCCCTAGCGTACTTTGTATGTCGAGAATGCTGAAATAATACGTGGCAGCCGGAGAGCCCTCCTTTGCAGCGGTAGAAACCCTATGCCATAAAAACGTCGCTTGCCACACCATACTTCGTGACTTCTACGACAATTCGCAGCCTACTCGCCTTCACTCAATGGCTTCCACTGGTTGTTCCAAACTACCCATTTACCCTGCATGTGGGGCAATGTTGGGGGGAGGGGCATGAATGGATGCTTTGCTTCGGCCCTCCCCTTTTAAGAGGTAGTGATGGTCTTTGTAGTGGCTGTACCCTTACCCTTCTCGGACGTTCTAGACTGTTCCTCGCCCCCGCTGAGGTCGTCAGAAACACGTTTGTCGCCATTTTGAAAGGGTTTGGGCTTCGTCAGCGGCCAACGTCCCTTGGTCTCGCGGAATCTCATGAGAAGGAAACATGCGATGACAAAGATCCAGTACACATTATAGGCGATGACGGACCCATACGTCGCAGAGTTCGTCCAACCGAAGACGGCGTTGAAGATGCCCCAACCGCCGCCGCCGTTCAGCTCGGGGCTACAACACTTGCAGCAAATCAGTACATGAGCACACGGTACTTCAAGTCAGGAGACTCACGTTGACGTGCCAGACGCTCTTGTCGATGTCGTATGAGCCTGGGCCGCTTCCAAGCTCTGCAGCGTCGCCGCCGACAACGTTGTTCCACTCCTGCTGCTCGAAATCCCAAACTGCTCTGGAGAAGAGGCCGGCTGCGACAAGGTACAGAAGGCAAGTAGATACGACGAGGAAGACTTGTAGCTTGGCCGTAGACCCACCCCTTTACGAGGATCAGCAGGACAATCGCATGTCGCTGGACGCAGGGCACTTACTTATACAAGACATAGCCGACCAGGGCGCCTACTGCCAACCCGACCACTGCCGGGAGCGGCACGGCAGTGGCAGGGGCGGAAAAGGAAACACCGGCGACGAAAACGATGGCCTCGATGCCTTCCCGGAGAACGGTGATGAAGGGAAGGAAGAACATGGCATACTTCTCGGCGAAGTGCTTCAACCACCCCCGGCCGGCACCGGTCTTGATGGGGGTCTCCATGGCCTTTGCGAGCTTGACACGCCACTTCTCCTGCATCTTGCCGATGCGGAGCAGGGCGGCCCCCATGATTGTGATGATGATGGCGGCAACGAGTGAGAAGGCGCCCTCGTAGTAAAGTTCATTGGCATCCCAGCTGTTACGACCGAGCTTGTAGAAGACGCCGATGACGGCGCCCGCTGTAACCAGGCATATCAGGAAGCCAATGCCCGTACCGAGCCAGACCTGCGGCAGGCGCATCAGCAACAAATCCCGGCGTGAGGATGAGGTGAGGGCTCGTTACCTGTTTACGCAGGGACTTGTACACAGCCAAATCTCTGTTTGGCCCGTCGAGGGTCTGCTTGAGGAAAGCGAGCAGGACCGAGACAATGATGACAGTCTCCAGAGACTCTCTAAAGACCACGAGGAACACCGGTACTGAGAAGACGTCGACAGCCATTGCGGAGTGAGGGAAGAAGACGAGAGAAAGGCGATGAGCGTCACGGTTCGAGGACAGAGACAAAGAGGAGCAAGCAAGTGGGAAATTTTTGATCACTTCGGATGGGGAGAACCGCTTGATCTGATAAATTGAATCAGATAATCCTTAGGTCAGGGTGTATGTCTAGCTCGGTACTAAGAGCGGCCCCGATGGTGGAACGCTAGCAGTCCAGAACAAATCAGGGAAAGCGGGCATATCTAGATAATCAGCAGACCATGTTCAGAGGTAACAAAGGAGCGAGCAGCAGCCGAGATGGGAAAGATGACGCGAGGACAGGAGGGGTATAGCTGATGTAAGTTCAAGGGGTGACCAATGAGACCGCGGTCGACCAGAAAGGCTCGAGGTTTCATTTGATCACGACAAGCTTGTCTCAAAAAATATGATCTTAATCGGCGCCGGTTGCTGTAGTGGTACCGGTAGCTCGCTTCGTGTTGAGCTGGCCCGCATGCATGGGAGATGCTAGTTTACATTTCCAAGCTGGCTTAACCTGCCCAGTGCGGACCAATGGGGTCTCGGGGCGAAACAAGGATACGGGCGAGGCATTTCGACGTTGAGTATGCTGCATGTCCCGTCCAGAGGCCCGTGGTCTCTGAACCTGAGATGACACAGTCGGCCGTGGGAATAGGTAGCACCGGAGCTGGGGCCCGCCGTTTGCGATGGAGTTTTGACCGAAGCCTGTAGATCGGCAAAGGACGATCCTCATTCGCCGTTGGCGCAGCTGTTGAAGGTTTAGCTCGATATTGACGAGCAAGCCTCCGGCGGATTCTAGTTTTTGAAGAGGTCTGACTAAGGTGTCAGTAGACCTGTGCGGGTCCCATCATGCCATCGAACCACTTTGTACAACTCGTTGGGAATATTAATCGTAACACCATTACCTACTTGCTTCTCGGCGAATGGCGGAGTCCCCTCGGTAGTACTGCTATCGCCGCTGAACCATCCCCGTGATAGTGGGTTGAGGGATTTGGAAGCAATTTTTACGAGGAACCAAACATTGTCTTCTCTTGGTTCCCAAGACTCTGGGGGCATGACAAATTTCGACCACACACTGGACATCTCTACAGCCAGAGTTCGGTCCTCAAATCGTATGTTTCGGTTCTGTCATGTCAGTCAGCTCGTTCAGCAATCATAGGTGGTAGAAATCCAGGGAACAAACATTGCAGAACAGGGGGCTACTGCGTAGGCCAGACCAAGATTGCACTAGCGCGGAGAGACAAGCTTTTTCCTGAGTGGAGCGGGACCCCAGTATCACCAATGCCAAGAGCCCGGCGAGCCAATGGGTCTGGCACACTACTTGACTTTTGTTTTTCTCTATTCTGTTCGAAGGTGGGAGGACTAACATAACGGGCGCGCGAGAGGGGGGGCGCTAGTGGCAGCACGCGGTTTGACTTGATTGCATCTGATATGATGATTTGCCTTGCACTAACCCAATCTACCCACCACCTCCTCCGGCTCCAGGACCTGGAACGAGTGGCGTGTCGGGGCCATGAGATCAGATTGATAAGATGCATTTGGAGGGGGAGGTTACCCTGGCGGGCATGCCCCCCCCCTCTCGCTAGAAGTTGCCGTTTGATCACGTCAACCAGCGGTAGTGAGTAGATGTCCATTTTTCTCAACTGTAGTCACCGCTGGGACACTTCTTGTCCCGTGGGACGATATCTGACAGGATACACAAAGACGTGACCGTGCCGTCCTTCCAGATACCCTTCATCCTCTGGTCGTCTTCTCGAATTCCCCAGGGACCGCGCAACGATGACAGGCACTACAGTATTGACTCTCATCTCTGCTCTCGCGGGGACCGCGTGTGCCGCCATAGTCTCGCACGACTTCAATATCGGTTGGGTAACGGCAAACCCGGACGGCGCCTTCGACCGCCCGACAATCGGCATCAATGGCCAGTGGCCGATTCCTCGCATTGATGCGAACGTCGGGGACACAATCCTCATCAACGTTCATAATGGTCTGGGGAACCAGTCGACATCCCTTCACTTCCACGGCTTGTTCATGAATGGCTCAACTCACATGGACGGGCCGGCCCAAGTCAGCCAGTGCGCCATCCCGCCGGGCTCGTCATTCACGTACAACTTCACCGTGAGCTGCACCCCGGCAAAACAGTGACGCGAAGCTTGCCTGACATTGTATAGATCAACCAGCCGGGCACGTACTGGTACCACTCCCACACCAAAGGCCAGTATCCAGACGGTCTCAGGGCGCCTCTCATCGTCCACGACCCCAACTCCCCGTTCATTGGCAAATACGACGAAGAAGTCGTCGTGTCCCTGTCCGACTGGTACCACGACCAGATGGCCAACCTCATCCCCGCCTTCATGAGCAAGGGTAACCCCACCGGCGCCGAGCCCGTTCCGCAGGCCGCCCTCATGAACGACACGCAGAACCTCACGGTGGCCGTCCAGCCCGGCAAGACTTACCTCTTCCGCTTGGTCAACATGGCCGCCTTCGCCGGCCAGTACGTCTGGATCGAGGGTCACAACATCTCCATCGTCGAGGTGGATGGCGTCTACACGGAGCCGGCGGAAGCGAGCATGATTTACGTGTCCGCCGCCCAGAGGTATAGCTTCCTAGTCAAGACCCGGAACAATACCACGTCCAACTTTGCCATTGTCGGCAGCATGGACACCGTAAGCTGCACCCGAGCAAAAGCCCTCAGTGCTTTGCCACCGAACTGACGAGCGCAGTCCCTCTTCGACACGATCCCCGCAGGCCTCAACTACAACGTCACGGGCTGGCTCGTCTACGACACCTCGAAGCCCCTCGGCCCGCCAGCGACAGTCGACACCTTCGCCCCCTTCGACGACATGACCCTAACTCCCCACGACAGGCAGCCTCTCCTTCCAGAGCCCTCGAGGACCGTTGAACTGGACGTCATCATGGACAACCTCGGCGATGGCGCCAACTACGCCTTCTTCAACAACATCACCTACAAGGCTCCCAAGGTTCCGACCCTCTACACCGCCCTCTCCGCCGGCAGCGCCGCCGCTACGAACCCCGAGGTCTACGGCACTTACACGCACAGCTTCGTCCTCGAGCGCGGCGATGTCGTCCAGATCGTCGTTAACAACCTCGACTCGGGCCGCCACCCCTTTCACCTGCACGGCCACGAATTCCAGGCCTTGTACCGCGCGCCCGAGGAGGGCGGCACCTTCGCCAGCGCCAACGTCACCGAGGCGGACTTCCCCGCCACGCCCATGCGTCGCGACACGCTTGTCGTGTGGCCTAATGGGAACATTGTTCTTCGCTTTCGGGCGAATAACCCTGGTGAGTTTTGGCCCCCCTCCCTCTCTTCCGGAAACTCGAGGCCAACACTCGGAATCTAGGCGTCTGGCTTTTCCACTGCCACATAGAGTGGCATGTGACATCAGGCCTGTTGGCCACCTTCGTCGAGGCGCCCCTGGACCTCCAGAAGACCCTGTCCATCCCCCAGAACCACCTTGACGTCTGCGCGGCAGCCAACGTCCCGACCGCCGGCAACGCCGCAGGAAACACCAAGGACTTTCTAGACCTGACCGGGCAGAACACGCCCCCCGCTCGGCTTCCCGATGGGTACGTCGCCCCCAAACTAACTAGCCCCACGGACGCTCCCCAGCTTTCCTTTTGATAAACGTAGGCTGACACGCGAGCAACTAGCTTCACCGCTCGAGGAATTGTGGCCCTCGTCTTCAGCTGCATAACGGGCATCCTCGGCGTCCTAGTCGTGGGATGGTACGGCCTGGCCAAGACAGAGGACGGTCCTTCCCGGGCCGGACACGCCGGCCCGGCGTCGGTGGCGCACATCGGCGACGGCCAGAAGGAAGAAACAGTTATAGTCGGCGCCGTGTCCGGCGGAGCGGGAGCCGGTCGAACTTGACGGGCGTCGTCTGCCTAACGTTCGAGAAGGTGAAACCGAGGAAGCCACGTGCACCCAAACGTGATTTAAAACAGTTTGCTTCTGCTCCGGATGAAAAAACCTGTCGGCTTGGGTTTTCTGAGCCACCAGACGATGTTTAGCACAGACGCAGGGCGACGCCCCGTCGGACTGCTCAGCAACATGCTCCCGCTACCCAGCCCGACGTCTTGAATAGATAAACCATCAATTAGTCTAATGTGTGAAATAAATCGAGTTAATAAATGGACAAAACTCCTGACTCCTGATTCTGACACTTGGCCGATCATTTCCTTCCCCCATAGCTGGCCTCAGCTGTCCTGGCTGGGCAAGTGCCAATACCGCAGCAACTGGTGTCATTATATCTACCGTAGAGTCTTCTTGAGTCCTCCGGGTCCGAGAAAGAAAGGTTGCTTCTCCAGTCTCGCCATCCTGGGCACTTCCGCAGCAGTAATGTGTCTGCTTGGAGTCATACGCGTACTGGATCTTTCTCCTCGTGTGGCCTTTTACACATCTTCCCTAACAACGGCAGCAGGCACCGCAATCGCCGGCTTGACGCTGTTGCCAGGTCGTCTGGCCTCCTAACTCGCACCGCTGCGTTGCAGATTACGTCTCGTCCAAGGAAAGTCATGGGCGACAGACGTGGTACGCCGCGGTCACCTATGCGCTCGCATCCAACACTGTTAACTGTTGATTCTAGGTGCTCTTGGTCTTCTTTCTAGGCAAGCCCTTCGCCCGTCTCGCGGCAACATCGCCCTCGGCCAGCCACTTGCTCGCATTGACAAGCTGGATGACGTTGATGCCTTGCTTGATCAACATGACAGGGCAGCTGATGGAGGCAAGGATCCACGGCCAAGTCGAGTCCATCTTGTTTGCCCGAGCAAGCTCAAGAGCGGCAGCGCTATAGGGGTTCGGGAAAATTTGGCTCAGCAGCGATGTGTTGACTTCCGCGCCCGCCTGGATCTGCATGGCTTCTTTGTTGGATACGGAGCTCAGCAGAGACGGCGACAGCAGCGGGGACGAGAAGCTCAGCAGGTAAAGGGCGATAAAGAAGAGCTCGTTCAGGGCGCAGAAGACAAAGAGGACGGTCTGGGAAGTATTGTCAGCAACCGTGTCGCGGAACGGCATTCTGTAGCGAAGCGAACCTTGTTGGTGTAGTACAAGTGGAGGATCTTGCTGCGGCTCTCGTCGATGTTCTTGTGGCTGCTGTCAGAGCCCGCCATAGAGAGTGTGGTGTACATGTGGATGTAGTGACTGGAGAAGTCAAGCGAGAGAAGCATCTGAAAAACGATGGTCCAACGAGGGAATGCGCAGGACAAGAAAACCAGCAAGCACGAAGTTGTGCACCTATCCGTAACCATGTCCAGCACGGCGCCAAAACGAGTGGATTGCTCAAATGCGCGCGCAGCGTATCCGTCGAGAGCATCCAAAAGGCACGACACGCTGTATAACAGAGAGCAGGTTCGCGGATGGAGGGGCATGTAGTAGAGGGAGGCGATGGCAAGAACGATGCGGAAGTAGCCTGTGATGACATGCTAATTAGCGGCATGTTGGGAATCTCTGGGGCCGGCAGGCAACCATACCGATGATGTTGGGCCAGAACAGAAAGATGTTCTCCTTGGGGCCATGTTCCGAAGCTTCCGCTACAGCAGCTTCGTTGCCATTTCCGTTCATTGCGACTTGTCGGACAGGTTCATCGCCAGCGACCGCTCCCTCGGGCAGCTCGCCAGCAGCGGCTTGGGCGGCCTGGGCGGCTTGGCGCCTCGTCTGTCGTACCGACATGGTGATGGGATGTGTAGACGACGAAGCTCGGCAGATGGGTGACGTTGAAGTGTCAGGTATGGGGCGTGAAGAGCTTTCAAAGCGTGGGCGAGGCGACCAAGGCAGCCGTTTGTCGTAGTGGAGGTTGCACGGATGATTGATAAGTGGCTCCTCTAGTGACAGTACCCGTTTCCGAAAGTGAGGGATGAAGATGGGAAGAGGATTGCCAGCTTCTAGCAGATGGTTTATCGGTGACGAAAGCCCTTTTGGCGCAAAAGACTGCAGATAGGTTGAGGGGTAGACGACGCGCGTTGGATGACTTGGTAGATGGTGCCCAACAAAGAAGTGCGAGCAGCAGCAGTTGATACATAGAGAGGATGCCAGTGCTGATGTGGGATCGGACGGGACGGAAGTGGTCGGTTGAAAATGTTGGAGCACCTCCCCTAACCTACCTAGGTAGGTAGGTAGGTAAGTAAGTACATAGTAGATACCTTGGTTTAACGGGAGCGATGTTGTACCTATGTACGTACTTGGGCGTTATAGGGCAGGTAGATTGCTTGGCTTTTCTGCCTTTTGTAATAACTTGTAAGGTGTCTTATTCTCTTTGGTTCTGCGAGGGTACAAAGCGACCGCGATAGGTACATACCCAGTACATACTGAACAGTTGTGCCCTGCCCGATCCTATGTAGTACCCGCAGCACTTCGCTAGCTATTCGGCCATTCTTACGTACCTCATCTGCGGTCCGGATCTGCAGTGGGTACAGGCGCTTTCGAAATCGACCTTTTAGTGGACTTTTGACAGGGGGTAGGCGGCGCTGGGCTCCTGATGCCAGCTTCGACCTACCTACCTAGGTACCTAGACGAGACAGGGCCCAGGAAGCGGGTTGTTGGGTACCTACCTTAAGCAATGATAAGGGACAAAAGAGGACGTTCCATCGCCCGTGAGACTGGCACCTCTCACGTCTGGCGTCATCACGACGCCATATCAAGGTTTGTAGGCAGGCAACCACGCACTGCTGCTCAGTTATGGATCAATTGATTATTGGGATGCGACGATGGCCAAACCCAAGGCTCTCTCTTATATGCTCGTCCCTACGCTCCTCCGCCCATGCCTTTCCGATATCAATGGCAAAGTACGAGACGAACTCGAGACCACCACTACCTCGGACGTTATCCACGCGCGTACACAGCGCTTCTGCACGCCGGTGCGAAGGGGAAAGTAGGCATGTCTTACATTGCCTATCTCAGCATGTTGCGTTTGTGCGCTCGAGGTAGCCTGTTCCCTGTCTAGTCAATATGGTGGCTCCAACTTATCTCGAGGACCTTCTCGTCTTGCGATAAGCTGACAGACCGCCAACACCCCGTTTTCGCACCTCCTGAACGGTACCCCGCACTCGGTTCTGTCCATCGCTTGATGCTCGACAAATGCTCGATCAAAATCCCCAGCAGCATACACGGACGCGCTGCGCGCACAAATCACTAAAACTACGTTCGAGCTGATGGACGTATGTTTTATCGAGGACCGACAGTTTGTTTGCGTACGAGACTGGTGCGCTTGCCCCTAGTCCCGCTGTACCCTGATTCGAGCCATATGGAAAGGTACTCTTGGCCTCTCGAGTTGAGATCAGACTTTGATTGTCAGTTGCGAACTCGGTCAACTGTAAGAAATAGAACTGTGGAAACGAGCTGTCACGTAGGGTTGTTTAAGGTAGAAGTCAGGATAGAGGTTAGGATTAGGGTTAGAATGTGGATTTGTTTGGATTCATGTGTTTGCGAGTGATTAGCCAGAGCTGGCGGCGGGACATACTCACGTACCTGAGCGACCCGACGAGGGACCGCCTCGGCTAAGTATCCCAGACAAACTTCTGAAGACACGGCTGTCGATGTTGATTCCGCTTGGGGTGGATCATGGGCCGCGGGCTCACCTAGACGACTTCACAAAGCCCAGGAACCAACAGAAGTTTAATGCAAGTAACCTTGGGCTAGTGTCTTGACTACCAATGGCTCTGGTACACACCCTCTCAACCCTTCAGTTCATGATCGCCTTCGCCAGCACTCGGTAACAGAAGCCCGAACGTGTCGCTTCCTCGGGTGTGACTGGCGTCGCTTATCGAATCTCACAGATAACCACGATGCTGCTTCGATCACGACCGATGCTCAGGTTGGTCTACACAGTAAGACTATCCTGGGGATAACTTGGAGACCTCGGCTTGTCTCACGACCCCTTCGGCCATCCTACGCTACTGTCGGTGGAAGCCGTTGGAAAGGAAACGAGGCCAGGCAGGGCCTGACAAAGGGTAGCATGGCTGCGGGGGCAGGCAAGCACACACCGTTCTTTAGTTCATCGGGCGTCCCGTCACTTCCGCGCAAAACGGCACGAGGCCGCCATACTTGGCGGAACTAAGACCCAGGGAGATGGTACGATATTCCCCAACCGCTCCGAATTGATAGGCCAACAGAGTCATGGATTGCTTGACGTCTATAGCATCCGGCCAGCAGCCCTCGGGGGCAGCGGCCACACCGCGCACGACACATTGCTTCCAAATGCGGCGTTGAGTCTTCACGGCTACGGTCAAGCCCAGGAACGGAGCCAGTTGCCCAGTTTATGGAGCACGGCAACTGATTTGGCTGGCCTCTGTCTCCAAACCTCGAGTCACCAATGGAGGCGGCAAAATCTTTCATATATTTTTATCCGACATTTATCAGCTTCTTGGCGTCGGGGCTGGACCCCTCCGCCCTCTGCAATGAACCGAATGTGCGATTCGTCATGTCCCTTAGCAATACAAAGCAAGACGCGTAGCTCCGGAGTCGGTGCACTCGCTCCGCCTTGCCGGCGTTCCAACGGCAATTGTACACCGAGATCACACGTCACATTATTGCAGGGGTCTCGTGGGCGGGAGGGAAAAGAAAATTACTTTCGCTGGGCGTCTGGTCTGGTTCCAGAACGTGCAGAAGGGTGGGTTTAGTCTATCTCATCTGGTTGTCCAGGTCCCTTCTGCCCTTCTGCCTTCTGCCTTGGAAGATCGACTCAGGCATTCTGCATTCTACCGCCACAAGGGATAGAAGCCGTGACTCGAGCCTTACTGGTTTACTTTCCCATGGTTCGCTTCGGGTTGGGATCTGTTGCCCAGCTGCCTCTCAACTGGCGCCAAGGTCGCCGTGAAGCAATGTGAGCCGAGGTTGGTTATCAATCGAATCATTCACTTGAACACCTTCCTGGCGCGCGCGCTAGAGAGGGAGACAGAGAAAAAAAGAGTGCGTCCGCCTGCCTGGAAGAAGTCAGTCTCTTAGTTTGGCACTGGTGCCGGCATGGACTGGTGTTATCTTGGCCGGGATACTACATAGAAGGTCGGCATGCATCCTATTCGTACACTACCATAGTGGTCAGACCACACACCATCTGTTGTGGTCCGACCAGGGGTGCTTTAGATCGAATTGAAAAATGTCGGGATCGTCAAGCTTGGCCCCTGGCTAACCCAACCCGGATTACGTAGTATAAAATGCCCCCCCCTTTCGACAGGAAAGCCGGTGACTGGGGCGACAATTTTGAGTACCAGGACTTCCTCCACAATTCAAGAATTGAGCAATGTCAGGAGAAGCAAGAGAATGAACCGCGGTGTGGGAACGAGAGGAAAAGTGACCGAGAAGGGAGAATGGTAATCCAACATCTCTCTGACGCACAATCAATCCATTAAGCTATTTCCAAGCCAAAGAGACAACATCTCCCCCCTCTTTCTCTCTCTGTCTCTCGGGGCTCTCGGGGTTCTCTTGTCTCCTTCCACTTGAGCCGTGCGTCGTGCTCATCAATAAGCCTCTCTCTCTCTTTACAACCAACAGATGATTTGATCCATGCACAAACTTGTTGGTTTCTCCTGTTCTTTTGCCCCCAAACAGGCCCCCTCCCTCTCCCCTCTCCTTTCTCTTTCCCCCCTCCAATCCCGTTGTAGAACGAGGCATGAAGAGCGAGAACCCCTCTTTCCCCCCCTCGTCATTTTTTTTTTATATTATTAGTCGGCTGCCCTTAGTACTCCGTACCTCTCTGTCTAATCTTAGCCGCACCCCCACAGCCCATGGCCTCATTAATAACTTATTATTTTCTGTTTATTCTTCACTAAAAAAGTCCAGCCCACCACCTGTCTTTCCGTTTCTACTCTCCCTTTCGTTCTTTTTCCCTCATCCTGCCTCCATCTACTTACCTAGACGCGTCTTGTCTTGCCTCCGAAACCCGCCTCACCTCTACGTTGATTCAGCCAAACTCGGACCCAGGCTTAGGCCACTGCAACGTGCGTGCTTGTACAAAAACCTTGTTCCAAGCGCCGTCTCGTCACAGACCGCCCCATCCGTTTTGCCAGCCCCCCTCCTTCATCAGCCTCGCCTCGCTCTAGCCAAACAGCCAGACATTTCGCAATCTTCCAGGCCGAGCCTTCAGTGTTGGGCCTTTTAGTGACTTGATCACTTTTTCACGTGAACTACTACCGCCTTACGCTTACAGTCGGCAGGCGTGCTCCAGGACTGGAGACATATGCTAGGATGACCTCTCACGGCACCGTAAAGGCGACTTTCGCCAGCCGCGCCGAATCGGCAAGCCACCCACTTACAGCCTACCTACTCCGCTTGATGGATCTGAAGGCTTCCAATCTATGCCTCAGCGCCGATGTCCCGACCGCAAGAGAACTGCTCTACCTGGCCGACAAGATCGGACCATCCATCGTTGTACTGAAGACGCACCATGACATTGTCGCCGGGTGGGACTACAACCCGCAGACGGGCACTGGTGCCAAGCTTGCCGCGATAGCTCGCAAACACGGCTTCCTCATCTTCGAGGACCGCAAGTTTGGCGACATTGGTAACACGGTCCAGATGCAGTACGTTGCTGGTTCGGCGCGGATCATCGAATGGGCCCACATCATCAACGTCAACATGGTACCGGGCAAGGCTGCCGTCACGGCCCTCGCCGAAGCTGCGGCACGCTGGCGCGAACGGTACCCCTACGAGGTGAAGACGTCGGTCACGGTCGGAACGCCAAGGTCGGAGAGCTTCGACGACTACGAAGAGGACAATGGAGACGGTCACGAACATACGGTCGGCACGCCGCGACCGGCCGACATCAACGGACGCAAGGGTAGCATCGTCTCCATCACAACACTGACCCAGCACTTCGAGCCGGCGCCGTCTCCTCGCTTTCCGAGAAACGAGTCCCACAACTCCGACGAGGTCTTGTACGCAGGTATCGAAGAGGCCCCCATGGACCGTGGCCTTCTCATCCTGGCCCAGATGTCGAGCGCCGGCAACTTCATGAACAAGGAGTACACACAGGCTTGTGTCGAGGCCGCGAGGGAGAACAAGAATTTCGTCATGGGTTTCGTGTCCCAGGAGAATCTCAACACCGACACTGACGATTCTTTCATCCACATGACGCCGGGATGCCAGCTGCCACCGGAGGGTGACGAGGATAACGAGGGCGGCGTCGCGGGAGACGGCAAAGGACAACAGTACAACACGCCCGAGAAGCTCATCGAGCTCTGCGGTACTGATATTGTCATTGTCGGACGTGGTATCTTGAAGGCCGGTGATCCCCAGTCGGAAGCGGAGAGATATCGCCGGAAGGCCTGGAAGGCGTATCTCTCCCGAGTTGCCTAAGCAACTCTTCCATCTCACGCCCGCATACACACACACACACACACACACACACACACACACACACACACACACACACACACACACACACACACAAATACTCACAAATACTCACAAACACACACCCAAATCAAATACCCAGGCGTGTTTATTCTTGTTATTTCCCCCCTCGGCCGCACCGTTGTCGGGGGCTCTTTAGGGTGGCTGTTTCCTGCAATGGCGAGTACTGTCCGTGGGTTTACGCATTTCGGGTCTGCAACGACATTCATGTTGTAGAAGAAACGGGAATCATTCGGCACTGAATCGGATTTTTAGACGGGGACTCGGTGACCCGGGATGGGCACAAAACGAAAAGAAAAAAAAGGGGGACCGGCGTTGAGATTGACCAAGTCACGAATGGAAGCTATCAAGTGGACAGTCACAATTCATATATCACTGAATTGACCATGTATTGCCCATGTCTCGATCTTTGGCTCTGCTGTATGCTCTCTGGATCGTGAGCACACGGCCTTCCGTGTGTCCATTAGGAGGCGATCCATCGAGGCATTGACATTAGGTGTTAGCCCGGTCTTAGTCAGTCAGTGTCGGCGGCAATCGGCAATTGACAAGATGGAGCATAATTTGCATTTGCCGTTGACCTTCGCAACTTACTCGGGAGCACACCACCACGGTATGAAGGCAAAGGTTTACTGACATCAAGGTGTGCGACGGGCGAGGGACCGGGCAGAGCAAGGTAGCACAGGGATGGGAGCTGCGGAGTGTTCAGGAAACAAAAGGGGCCAAATCTCGATCGCACCTAGGCAATACACAAGCTTTGGCGGAGAAGGTTCCCGATGTGTGGCATATTCAACCCCTCAGAATCCCGACCTTGGGCATTCTCGAAAGTACCTAGGTAAAAGTGAGATCTGCGAAAACCCGAGAGAGCTACTTACCCTCTCCCCAAAAGATGGTGAATTTATAGTCCAGCATTACATCGTTGCCACGCGCTCGAGGAGAGGGTCTGGTGATGGGAGGGGTTAGTTACGCAGTACCGTATGCAAGTAGGGGGAGGAGGATAAGGCTATAGCGGAACAGGTCTAGCAGCACACGCACAAACTTCGTCCTAGCTTTGTCAGACGACCTACCTCCGAAGGCTGCAAAGGCAGTGGTGGAGGAGCGATGGATATGCGGTAACATGGTCGTTGCATTTCTCGTTCGGGCCGTACTCACTGTCGGCAGGATGCCGGTCCTAACCCCCCGCGGCCGTCCGAGTTGCTCTTATATTTACTTTCCTCCAGTATTCTTGGAAAAGAGCACCTTCCAGCAATGGATTCCTCCGGGCCAGACCAGCACGAAGCGGTGCGGGCACTTGCGACAGGCATCCCGCTTTGACCCGCAGCCGCTGCTTGTCGCCCTGTGCAAAGCGTGACGCAGTAGGAAATGGAAGCGTGTTCTGTAGATGCAAAGGCTTGGTTGCGGTGGGAAGCTGCAAGTAGGCGAAGCATAAACGGCAGCTAGCTTAGGTTGGATGTGTCGCGAACTTGCTGTCAATGATATTAGAGAAGGCCAGGTCCTGATGTCGACCGTCCTGCTTTCAGAAGCCCGATCAAATGTGACGCTCCTTACCCGCTTAACAGCTTACCCATAACTTGGGTATTAGCTATCGGTAATACGAGATTGGAACAAGAGTCCTCGACAACGTGCCTTGACTTCCAGATTTTCACATACAAGCACCTGCAGACCAACAACTCAAACCCCTCCCGGCCCCACCGTTGATCTCGGACACATGCTCTGCCGCGACGAGGCGCAACGTCCGGTGTAGAAAGGTGACGTGAGAGTGTGGGAAAGCACCTCCCTACCTATACCTACCTAGGTACGGAGTACCTCACCTTGCCATAGGAATCCGGAACCCCGGTTGCATATCCGCGCCTCACACCTCAGTCTTCCCACCGTTGGGGCGTTCCTTGCACAGTGCAATGTGAAGCTGGCACCTACGTACCTATCTAGTGTACATACCTAGCCTACGGGACGATCGTGGGTCCTCGTTTCCTGCTTTGGTAATCATCTGTTTGTGCCGCTCAACCCCACGACGAATTGCGACGCTGCTGGTTTTCACCTTTCCCTCCCTTCGCATTCTCTTCTCGGCGTTGCGCCGCGTGATCACCCAGAGTACACGCCTCGATCAAGAACGTGCCGAGCCTGTGGAGGGGATTCGACCACCACGTACCCACAGATCGAGTATTTGACGATTCATCCCGCGCTACCAACCTCGAGTCGGCGGCGCCGACGACCCGAGAAAGTGTCGACACTACGACCCCTCCACATCCACGACAACCGTCCTCACTACTACCACTACTACCACCCCCCGTCCCTACAGAGAGTTCGTCGTACAAGCGCGGCCGATCATGGCCGACGACCGGCGCGACGGCTCCGAGAAACCGCCCTCGGCGCGCGAGAGCCTGAACTCGAACTCGAACCCGAGCCCGACGCCAACACAAAACCAGCCACAGGACGCCCGTCCGCCGCCAAAGAAGCGCAGGCGCGTCGTGATATCTTGCACGGAATGCCATCGTCGGAAACAGAAAGTGGGTGGCTCCTACTCTCCCTCTCTCAACAACACTTCCCGCCGACGTCGCCATTGGTAACTGACGTGCTCTCGCGCAGTGCGATCGAGATTTGCCATGTGCCAACTGCAAGTCGCGTAATAAACAAGATGCCTGCAAATACGAGACGGGCGCGCCTACGGCCAAGGAGCATCGCAAGGCCGAGGCCGAAGGCGCAAAGCCGACTCCGACCCAGAGCCTCTCCAATGCCGCCGCGAACTGGGGCTACTCCCACGCCGGTGCTTCCACGCTCGGGCTGATGCGGAAGATTGAAAGCGCAAACGACGATGGAGCTCTGTCGCATCTCGGCGGCTCGGCGCACGTCGAGGACCAGTTCGCCACCAAGGAGCGGTACAAGTCTCTGATCAGACAGCTGCCCGCCAAGGGCTACATCGAGAAGCTCATCGATGTGTACTTCCGCGAGTTCAACCACCAGTACTACGCCCTCGAGGAGGACCTCTTCAAGGAGCAGTTTGCCGAGTGGAACAACATACCCTTTAACGTACTCTCCAACTCTGGGCCGCAGGGCCTCTCACCCGACCTGAGGGTGTTTCCCGCATTGCTCTTCCAGGTTCTCGCGACGGCGTTACTGACCCTGCCAGAAGGATCTCACGAATTCTACGAGCATCTCAAGTATGCGGGCAACATGACGTTTGAGGATCTCGCGGCGGACTACAGCGAGTCCGGCGTCGGCATTCTGTCACTGCTGGGCAAACGGCAAATTACTCTCACGACGGTCCAGGCCGACTTTCTCCGGGCGGCATTCCTCAAGTACATGGCCAAAGTCACGGAGTCGGTAGGTTACCCCTTGCACAACCCAATGGTCCCCGAAATTAACAGTATCGGCAGTGGCATGCCATTGGCAACGCCATCCGAGACGCCCAGGAGATTGGCATGCACCGGGACAGCCTTGACCCCTCCCCGAATAGTGATGATACCGGGGACATACTCGAAAACATGTGGCTGATCCAGCGACGAAGAAAGTTGTACATGGTTCTCATGACATGGTAAGAACCTGCCAGGAAGCAAGGATGGCAAGACATGGCGCGGCTGACAAGAGCTAGGGACATCCACTGTGCGCTCGTGCTAGGACGCCCTGGCAGCATCGACTGGCGCATTTGTCCACCAAGCCTACCGGTAGACACGCCTCCGCCAAAGGACCGCCGCAAGACTCCCGTTGCGCCCCGGGACGACGAGAGAGACCCCCCGACGCCGCTGACGAGGGTCATCTGGGCGTTTAGGCTCGTGGCTCCGATGCGTGAGATTCTCGAGTTGGAACAGGATGGTCCGTGTCCGAAAGACTATTCCAAGGTCGATCGAGTACACCAGATGTGTTTGGACTTGGACGAGGCGACGCCTGCGTACTTCCGCTTGGAGAACCCGGATATGAAGTGGGATAACGATCCATCGTGCTACTGGCTGCAGTCTGTACGGTTTTATTTACCGCAAATGAACCTTTTCAACTTGATGGCGCTGCACCGGCCTTACATCTTTAACCGACAGAAGAGCAGGACAGAAGCGCTCAAGGCCAGCATCGAGATGCTTCACCGTCAGATGCTCACGTTCCAAGGCCTCGATGCTGGGTCTTGGCGAAAGTAGGTCTTGTCAACGACGCACTTGGGCTAGCTAATGCTGACCGCGTTACCCAGCTTCACGCTGTTCTTTGGCAGTTTTGATGCCGTGGTGCTCATGGCGTCGATATACATCCTGTTTCCCAAAGAGAACTTGGAGATGGCCGGCAGCGCCATGCAGCACTTCCACTGGACGACGGAGAGATTTGAGGCGATGCAGGAGAGGAACCTCCTGGCGAAGGCAGCGAAAGGTGTCCTGCAGGCGATTTTTGCCAAGTTCAAGAAAGCGGTAGGAAACCCAGCGCCACCGCCAAGCCTATCGAGCGTGGCATCCCAGACACCGGCATCGACGTCGGACAGCGGCAGCAGTTTGTCTGCTCGCGGATCAGTCTCGGCGGCCACTGCGGCGACGACCGACACGCCAGCGAGCAAAGGCAGCACAGCGGCGACGCCGACATCGCTGCCGACGGTCCCCGACACATCTTCATCATATCCGCTGCCGTCGGCACACTCGGAATGGACCATGCCAAACAGCTGGGACTTCACGTCAATTGCGCCGTTATTTCCCATGGGAGACCTAATCTACAACGATCTCAACGGAATACCAGAGGACGGGTCTCTACCGGCATGGGGGGCAACAACACCGCCCCTTCCCGCCGCCGGGACGACGACGTTTGAGGGGGATTTTGGGAACGACAGCGTATGGAATTTGCTAAACCAGTACGACCCGACATCCGTTTGAACACCCCTATACTATATATATATATATGTGTGTGTATATATATATGCGAGACTGGGAAAAACATTTGAACCGGGTAGAGACAAAAGCCGACTCAGGACATTTGAGTCTGGCTCGTTCGCTTGACGCTGAGAATAGCACGGAAAGGCAGGGAAAGAAGGGCAAGGGAACGGCAAACAGGAGGGCGGGCTTGCAGAAGTCGCAGGCGAGTGAGATGGGCGTTGCTGCGAAAGCGGGTGGTAAGTCATGGTTGTGGTGACGGCTGAGTACATGAATTTAAAGTCGTGTTATTGGCTGCTGCATCTATTGGCTGTTTGAAGTTGGAGTAGTTCCCACGGATGATTAACCGCTGGAGGGCACCCTGATCGCGATCCCGGCCAATCATGGGTCGACGACGGCATGGATTTTAGCGCCAGCGGGCAAGGAGAAAGGTGCATCTCTACCAGTTCTACGGTGTGGCGGCGCACGCTGGGAAAGGAAGGGGGAAAAAAAAACATGTTGCGACGTACCTGACGTACAGACATACAGACATACCTACTCAGTAAAAAGTTGAGTGAAGTGCGCATAAGAACTAGGTGTAGACATACGTTGTAGACGGCCAGACAGCACAGCGCAGCCATGGCCAAATATTAACTTCATACCCCTGGACGTGCCCGATTTCCCCAGAGCCCTAAATGTCGTTCAGTCATGTACGCACCTAGTACAGGTATCTCGCTGTGTGTATGTGTGTGCCTGAACCGAAATTGATGTTGTATCCAGCGGCGCAGTCGATCGGAACTCCTGAGACGACTAAACGGTGGATGATTTTTTTTGTTTATTTTTTTAGTTTTTGTCTTAAAGGGTACTGGTCTCAGTTGACAGTGCTGATGGGAAAGGGTAAGTAGGTAAGTAAGGGAAGGGGGGAAAACCAATCTGCGCCAGCCAACGCGTCGCAGTGTGTGCCAAACATCTTTCTTGTTGGGCGCTTGCTTTTTTCCCATCTTCTATCCGTACCCCGTCTGCAATTTTCCCCGGCCTTTCTGTTTTTGTTTTTTTCCCCTTCTTTCTCTCTCTGTCTCTCTCGTTCTTCATTTCTTTCCTTCTCTCTGGACCAAAGTAGAGACTGAGTCAAAACAAAAGCTCTACTCTTTACTCCCTCGTCATCACTGTTTTCCATCACCGGGCCCCGGCAGACGAGAGATAGAAATCCCGCTTCACCGCTTTCTATCCTTTCGGATTTCTCAGTATCAGGAAAGACGAACCAGACAGACAAGGCGCCAGACAACGGACATCATTAAACCATAACCAAGACCAGACCCAAATGCTGTTTGCTGCTGCGTTGGTCCGCTGTGCAGATCTCCGGTGGCTACCTACCTACGCTTTGCTCTTGGCTAGCCTGCCACGTATAAACCGGGAAAGACAGGCACTCCTTTTTTTCTTTTTCTTTTCTTCCTCTCTTCTTCTTCTTTGGGAGAGAACGCCAAAGTCAAGGAATTCCAGACCAACGGGCCATTCCCATCCAGAGCTGCTCTTAATCCCCCCCGGCATCCACCGTTTTATTGACTCTCCCATCCCGATCTCAGACAGGCAGAGAGGTAGACTTATTCCTCCCACCTCACCCCGTCACACCTCGTCCACACATCGCCAATCATCGCTCTAGTCTATCCTGAACTACTCTATCTTGCCCTGTTTTAACTTGTCCCACCAGATTTCCAGCATCACATTGCATCTTCCCACCTCCCTGCTCTACCTTTGCTCAGGTACATTGCAACACCTCCTGACTATCTTGAGCCTCGTTTTTGGCCCCGGACCCAGCTCTGCACAGCTATCGACTCCTTACTCATTGCCGATCGAGAGAAAAGAGTGACACTTGGTCGGGTGCTGTCCCATTATCGGCACGCAGAGTTGCATTGGTAAAGAGGCCAGCCACAGACTTTCCCCAACTTCACACTTCGCACCTACCTTGCCTGCGCAATCCCTCTACCTCCCACTTGCGCGAGCCTGATTGATACCTCCTACCTCTGCACCTCTGGTCAACTGTTACTTTTCGGCAAGAGAGAAGGAAAGAAAGAAACGATCTAGTCTATTTGGACAAACACACTATCGACAGCAACATCTGCAGCAGCTGCAGCTGTAGGGCTCACTCTGGTCGTGCACAACTCAAAAGACGGCACACTAAGCATAATCGCAGGCATAAACAAGCACAAGACGCAGGCCCGGTACTTTCGCATACCTTCTTTGATCCTCATTACGCCGTGCATCCCTTGTCACTCTTGTTCTCTATCACCCACCTGCAGCTTGGCGCCAATAGAGACTGCAGCCATCCAGTCTCCCACCGACTTCCCATACATACATCGACTCTCTCTCGATACCACACAAGGAGAAGACGTGTGCGTCCGCCTTGCCTTTCTTCCCCTCCCAATCCCCTCTCTCTCGCTCTCTCTCTCTCTCCCTCTCTTCCTCTCCCTCTCTCTACCTATCATTTATTTTACCTGAGGTAGTAAAAAGCTTGATCCAGTCAGCCTTGGAAAAAAAAAATGCCTACTACAACCCATACAACGACCAGGGTCAGCTCTGGTTCCAACAGCAGCTACCTGGACAACATTAACGCCAACACAAACGCGGCCCCTGTTCTGCCTTCTTACCTTCGCACCAGCAGTCAGTCCCCGTTGAGCTCGTTCCCATTTTCTCCCAGCAACGCCTTCCCCTCCGCCATCGGAACTGGTATACCAAAAGATAGGACAGGAACGACTAGGATGTCCTTGCATGAGACCGAAATCATGGACTTTGTTACTCGATATCAGACGTTACAGGGCTACCAAAATGCCACCGACCAGCTGATTAAGGTGCGTCCCGCTTTCCCTTCGCTTGTTCGCCTTCTACCATGAGTTGTCCCCTTTAAACATCGGCCTCTCTGCAGAGGCCAAAGCTCCGTTTCCCTATCATGCTGCCCCCACAGTCCCGGTTTCCCGTCCAAGCCCATCCTGCTGTTGTCGTTGTGCCTGGTGCATCGATGGGTTGGCATTTGGCATTTGGCATTTGGCATTTGGCATTTGGCATTTGGTGTTGGTGTTGGTGTTGCCGCCTAGCTGAAATGCGCCGCGGCTGCATCTCCTATTCCTACCCCGCCAAGTTGTGTCCGTCCCATATACCTATGCAAGAGACGCGACGAACGCTCCTGTCCCCGTCAACTCGACACGACCCTCTGAGCAAGGTTATAACCCTTGTGATCAAAGCCGCATCAGACTAACTCTATTTTTTTTTTCTACTTTGCAGGACCTTTTGATGTACTGCAAAGAAGTCCAGGGCCACTATGGCGAGGAAAATCATATGCTCAAGCAAGAGTTACACAATGCAAAGCTCGACCTCGAGCACGCCACAACCCATAGGAGAGAGATGCAGCAGGCGCTGCAGGGGCTTGATTTTGATAACAAATACATAAAGGTAGACGCCTGCTGCGCAGTAGCTCGTTTTTATGTGTTCGGAGTAACTGAACTTGGCAGAACCGCAATCCATACGTCTTGATTCTGATTGATGGCGACGGCCTCCTCGTATGCGCCATCCTAATTCCCCTCTACACTGGAATCAACATACAGGTTGCTGACTCAAGGCTTCCCTCCGCAGTTCCAAGAAAGATTTATTAGACAGGGAATCGAGGGCGGCAAGCAGGCAGCTTACGCTCTCCGGACCGCCGTCGCCGAGTACGTGGGCAGCCAGTCGGGTGAAGTCGAGATTGTCGCCAAAGTTTGCGCCAACCTTTCGGGCCTTGGACGCGCCATGCGCAGAGACGGCTGCTTGGACAGCGAGTCTGAGCTCAAGGACTTCTCTCTAGGATTTACTCAGGCCAAATCCTCGTTTGATTTTATTGACGTTGGCTACGGTAAGGAGCGTGCCGACTCGAAAATCAAAGGTAAGCCGTCTTACACAGGGGGGGGCGGGCACCGAAGCTCTGTTGTCGCGCAACTAGCAGAGTTGTATCAAACGACTCCAGGCGCCACACGAAATGTCCACTGACTTGACCTTGATTTAGAGGCCACCCGTTGGCATTTGCGGAACTACAACTGCAGGCAGATATTGCTGGGCATTTCCCACGATGCGGGCTATGCCCCTTTTCTCGACGAGATCCTCCAAGATGAGCAGATCCGCTCAAAAGTCAGCATCATAGAGGGTGTCTCAACGGTCAGAGAGCTCAAAAACACCAACGTCCATATTCTCGACCCGCTGCCCGGCCTCTTCAGAAACCAAAAGCTCGTAGACCGTAGCGGCGATCGCGCTGCCGAAGCAAACCACCCCAGACCGTTGACCGTGGTGACTAACCACACATCGCCGACAGTGTCAGTCGCCTCGCCGGTGACCTCGTCAGCTGCAACGCCGGCCCCGTCATCCTGGGCCGGCGTCACCGCCAAAGCGAGCCCCCCACCAGTCATCACCACGCCGTTAGCCAATAGAAATATCAACGTCCCGACTCGACAGGCCTCGCAACCCAAGCCGGCGGCCTTGCAGTCGAAACCGCAGAGCCCGGCATGGAGCCCCGGAGAGCGTGGCCTCGATCCTCCCATTCCCATCAACCCGACGGCTCTCGATAACATTAAGAAGCGTACTGGTAGGGACAAGCTTTGCAACAACCATTACCTCCGCGGGCCTTGTGCCAAGGGCGATGAGTGCTGCTTCGAGCACAAATACAAACCAAACCCCGACGAGGTCAACGCCATTGCCTTGTTGACTCGTCTCAACCCGTGCACCAACGGCCAGGATTGCGACGTAGAGAACTGTATATATGGACATCACGTAGGTTTGGCCCTTTGAAGAGCACGATAACTCGACGCTGACCAGCTACGCAGTGCCCTAGCGTCACGGGCAACACATGCACGCATCCGTTTTGCAAGTTCCGGGTTGCGGACCATCCCCCTGGCACGAAGTTTAAGAACGCCAAAATCCACGAGAATTGAGAAGAGTTTGAAAGCCCTTTTGCGCATACGAGCGACAGACAGAGTAGACCCGCAGGACAAAGTCCTGCAGATGGTTCAGGCTGCACGGCCAAACACACAGGAGGAATCAATCAGGAACCGGATTTTCAGGAAAGGGGGTCGTGTAAATGTAGGCTACGTACTGCCCATACAAAAAGGAACGTGTCATTGTCGGATTAGCCCTGTAGATATTCAAATTGTTGGGGTTCCTCTTTCAACCCGGTCTTCCTGAGCATTTCAGCGCATCTCGCCAAACGGTTTGATAGGGTGATTGCTTGTCTCGCTGTCTGTGACGTGACAGATGTCTTCTCGAAACGCTGAGGAGCTATCGCCGTAAGCTTCCCACGGCCAGGCAAGCTATGTATGAGCTCAAGCCGACATGCCTGTGCTGAATGAACCCTGGCGGGGCCCAGTGCGGACCCCACCCCCCCGACGGGCCAGTCGGCAACCCCCACCACGAAGGTGAACGAACCTTGGTTTGCTAACCCCACACACGTCTGCCAAAATCCCAGAGTGGACTAGTAGAGCCTCCTCTCAATCGACAACTGTATCCTCACCTCACTTCAACCACCACCACCACCACCAACATCAACGACGTCGAGCGTGCCCGCAGACGACGACATCCACGACGAGCGAACCCCCAACGCCCCACACGCGCGGTTCAGTTCATCCCATAGACTCCGTCCGTCGTCGCCCTCGCTCACCCCCATCCGAATCCCTCCCCCATCAAGACATACAAACACATATACACACACACACGGCCCACGATGTCGCACCCCCGCATAGAAGAGGTCGAGGACAGCGACCTGGAGGCCTCGGACCCCTCCGAGGGCGACATTGACGACTTCAGCGACAACGATATCATGCGCCGCGTCGAACCAAAGTCCTCGGCGGCGTCGCAGATCAGACCGGCCAACATGCCACCCGCGGCCGCGCCGCGCCCCGGAGCCCCGGGCTCCGAGTTCCAGACGACCAACGACGCGAAGCAGTACGCCGACTTCCAGTGCCTGTACCCGGTGTACTTTGACGCGCGCCGCACTCGCGCCGAGGGCCGCCGCGTGCCCAAGTCGCTCGCCGTCGCGAACCCCATCGCCCGTGAGATCGTCAACGCCTGCGCGGCCCTCCGGCTGCCGACCCTCTTCGAGCCCGCAAAGTTCCACCCCAAGGACTGGGCGAACCCCGGCCGCGTCAAGATCCGCATCCGCTTCGGCGGCGAGTCCGGCCGCGGCCGCGACGGCGGCGCCGCCGCCCCGGGCCACCGCCCCCCCGGCATGCCAGATATCAAGAACAAGCACCACCTGTTCGTCCTCGTCGCGCGCCACCTGCAGGCGAACCCGACGACGGAGCAGAGCGCCGCCCTCCGCGCCCGCGTCCAGGGCGCCCCGGCCCCCGACCCGAGCAAGCCCTGGCCGAGGCCCGCCGTGCCCCGCGGCTGGAAGATGGGCGAGCTGCTGCCGTACATCAGCCCCGCCATGACCGGCGGCGGCGTCAGCGAGAACCTGTTCAAGGACATGATGAAGGAGATGCAGGGCGGCGGGGACCCGATGGCCGCGCTCATGCAGCAGGCTGGCGGCGGCGGCGGCGGCGCCGCCGCCGCCGAGGAGAAGGCGGGCAAGAAGAAGAAGGGCAAGGGCAAGGCATGATCCGGAACTTCGGCGTCACAAAGGGACTGAGCTTTCTAGTTGGCGGCGGAGGGTGGGGACTTGCAGCATATCTGAACCTCGGGGTTTACTTTTTCCTCAACTCGTTGGAGAGAGAGAGAGAGAGAGAGAGAGAAAAGAAAGGTAAAACAACACTGGCATGCCGCAAAGGCTAACCCGGACGAGCGGGACCGGCCAGCGTCACGGAGGCACAAGAAGACGTAAAAAGATCAATAGAACGAGAGCCGTACAAAAAAAAGACGTATGAAACCCGAGTCAGCATAGGAGGGATAGGGAAAGGATTCCTGGAATAAGGATAAGAATTTGGGTGGGTGGGTGGAGGGGTATCTAGCAGCCAAACTAGTCCTACTACTACGGAAGCATCGTCCCGTATCGCATGAGAATCATATAGCGGCCGCCAGGCGGCCCTGCATCCCCTCCCACTCGCGCGATCCCACAATCTGCACGTCCCGCCCGCCCCCAGGAACCGTCTTGCCGTCCGCGTCCGGCAGACGGATCTGCAACCTCGCCGCCACGCTCTTCATCATCTGCCGCTTCTCCGCCGCCGCGTCCTTGCGGCCCAGCACCACCTCCGACTTCTTGAGCACCGAGTCCCGCCAGCTCGTCCACGCCGCGAGGTCCTCCCTCTGCTTGGCCGCGTGGTACTGTGGCGTGCTGCGGGCGGGCCTCCACGCGAGCTTGTCCTCGGGCAGCCCCGCGAGGTCGTACACCCGCGCCGACGTCGCGAACTTGACCAGCTCGCTGAGCGCGTCCTTGCCCTCGGCGACGACGAGAGCGCGGCGCTGCTCGACGACTGACGGCGGCTTCGTGAGCGGCTCCGCCAGCCAGTCGTAGCTGTGCTGCTCCGTCGTCCTCGCGCGCCGGTTGTCCTCGCGCAAATACCGCACGGCCGCCTGCAGGCTCGCGATCTCGCTCTTGAGAGCGTCCATCTCGCGCGCCGTGGCCACGGCCCGCTCCTGGCCGGCCTTGGCGCCCGCCGCGCCCGCACCGTCGGCGAACACCTTGCTGTCGCCCGCAATCTTCTTCCACTTGTCGCGGTCCGTCTCCAGCGTCTTGAGCTCGCGGTCCTGCTTGTCAATGTCTTCTTGGAGGCTGGCGGCCTTCTGCTTGGCGGCCTCGATTTGCGCCTCGAGGTCCTCGATGCGGGAAGCCTTGGCATTAGCGTCCTTCATCCGCGACTCGAGCGTCTCGATCTTGAGGTTGGCCGTGCTTAGGTTCTCGTCGCGCTGCGCAATCGCCCGGCGGGCCTCGTTGTGCTCCTCCTTAAGGCGGCGCAACTCCTCCTCCGCGTCGACAGGAATCGTCTTGGTCGCCTTGAGCTCCTGGGCGCGGAGCTTCCAGGGCGCGGGGCTGACCTCGAACTCTTGTGTCTGGGACAGGTCCGCGCTGAGCGCGGCCAGGTCCGAGATCTGGCTGGTGAGGGTGCGAAGCTTTGACAAGTACGTGGAGAATAAGTCAGACTCGCTCGACATGGTGACCTTGGTGGTGGCCTTTGAAATGGTGTCCTGGACCTCGCGGTACGTGTAGGGCTCGGTGCGGCCCTCCTCGTGCAGAAGCGCGTGCAGGTCGAAACCAATCTCCCTGGCCAGAGCAGCAAGCTGGCGGGTAGCGTCTTGGCATTGCTCGAAAGACTCCTTGGTCTCCTGCGGCAGGGCCAGGGACCTGGACTTGAGGTCCTGCAGGGCTCGTACAGCCTTGCCGGCGATGACCTTGGCGCTCCGGGTCTGGTTGACGACAAACTCCGACTTTTTGCTGAAGTGCTGCGCCATCTCGTCCTCCTCGGACTCGGCAGGAATGACCCTCTGGACCATGGCTCTCAGGGTGGCAAAAGTCGAGCCAGCAGATTCCAAGTGGCTCTGCATGATAACAGTCTGCATGTAAGTGTCCTCGGCGAAATCGGGCAGCTCGTTGGTGAGGTGCACCTCGGCGAGATGAGACATCAGGGCAATCGTGCGCTGTAGTTCGTCCGCGCACTTTTGCTCCTTGAGTTCGTCCCGGCGCAGGCCGTCGATCCATCCGTTCAATGCCCGCTCCACCGGCTCCAGCTCGAACAGGGCGTTCTGGAACCGCTGGAATTGCTCAATCGAGCAGTGGCTGATGGAGTTGGTAAACCGCTCGCACATGGACGCGACCCATGTGAGCTTGTCGATGGCGTCGCAACCGGCAAAGATGTCGTCCTCGTGACCGGAGTGAGGTTGCCCGTTGACGCGCTCCTTAATGAACGACTGCAGGAGCTGCGCCTTGAAGGCGAGTCTTCTGAACCTCAGCAGAGCGAGCACGGAATCTTGGTCCTCCTTGTAGGTGTCGGGAAGGAACATCTTTACAATCTCCAGGTGCTGCTCGGCTTCTTGGGCCTCCAGGCGCCGCAACTCCAGGTCGATGGTCTTGACTTGGGCCTTGGAAGCGGAGATCTGGAGCTTCATGTTCAGGTCCATCATGGCGCGGGACTTGCTGTTGAGCTGCTCGGACTCGGTCTCGGTGACGGCGTGCGACGCCCGCATATCCTCGAGGTCGCTCTGCAGGCTGGTGACCAGGCCTCTGAAGCGGGACAAAGTGTACTCCATATCTTCCAGGGCTTCTTCCTGCTCGGCTGCCCGTCGGGCCTGCTCCGTGATGACGCTGTCCTTGAAGTCGAGCTCCTCCTGCATCTCCTTTTCGTTCTGGACGTGGTTGATCTCCAGTTCGTCGTTGATCTCCTTGAGATTCTCGAGGTCCTCGATAACGGCCTTGAGTTCCTCAATCTGCTCAGACATGCTCATGTTCCGCTCAGTAAGCTCTTCAATCATGTCCTCGGCACCCAGAGCGTTGTCCAGCTGCTGTCGGAGGTCCTCGACGGCTGCCTCGGACTGGGCCAGCTTATCCTTCGCTGTGGCAAACTGCTCCTTGACGGTGCCAAACTCCTTCAGGTCGTCCTCCAGAGTCTTGATCTGGTCCCTCAGCTCCTCCTCTTGCTGCTGTGTCAGGTCGCGCAGCCGCAGCAACGCTTCGCGGAGCCGCTCGTTGGTCCTCTCCATTTGCAGCCAGCCGGTGCTGGCACGCTCTTCCGACGACATGCCTTGTTCAAACTCTGCGTTCTCCTCACGAAGAATCTCAACCTCGAGCTCCAGCTCTTCTGACTTCTGCTTCAGAGCCTCGAGTTCGACTTTAAGGACCTCGGCGGTCTCTTCGGCCATCTCACGGTCCAGCGTCGCGAGCTCCAGGGCCGTCTCGTGCTCCATCTGCATCGCCTCTATGGATTCGAACCTCTCCTCGGCCTCCTTCAGCTGTTTCCGCAACTCATTATTCTCAGTCTGCTGGGGCTGGTACTTGGCCTGCAGCTTCTCTATAATTGACTGGAACCTGTCCCGCTCGCCTTGGACCTGGTCCAGCTGCTTAATCTTCTCTCTATCTTCTAACCTCTTTCTCTCGAGCACTTTGAGCTTGGCTTTCAGATCCTCGATCTCTCTATTTGCGGCGGCGGCGTTTGTCGTAGGACGGGCGGTTGTCGCTGGTTTAGTAGAGCTTGCGGGTGTGGTTGCCGCCGAGCCTGACGTTAGCTTCTCGAGGGCTTTCGTCCTGGCTCTCACGGGGCTGTTCTCGCCATCCTTGTTGGGTGACATCGTACCGTCGTCCCCGCCCAAGTCAGCAGACGGTCGTCTGGCAGAGGTTGTCCGCCCAGTCATGGAAAGCCGACCGCTCGTAGGTCGTCCTGGGGTCGGCCTTGTCGGCGCCGAAGATGTCGAGGGCTGTCGAGTGGTTCTGGATGCGGGCATTGCTGGAGGGCCCATGGATGTGCGAGATGGTCCCACGCCCGGCCGTGCCTTAGCGCCGGTGGCCGGTGTACGGGTGGTGGAGGGTGTGTTAGTGCGTGACGGCGCAGTACTCGAGGCTGTTGATCCAAGCTGTTTTGTGGGTGACCTGGTCGGTGACTACGAATATGCGTCCATCGTTACTCGTTGCCCCTTGCATGAAGCAGGTTGCGTACTCACCCTCAGTGTGCTCGACGGCCGTGACGCTTTAGGCCCCGGACTCGGACTCGGGGCATTGAGGCTCATTCTCTTCGTCAATCCCGCATCGCTGGCCGTCCGTCCCGAGCCCGGGTTGAAGCTGCTCGGCCGACTGGGCCTACGAGCGGGCTTCGGCGCCGCCGCGGGGGCCTGGGCGGTGATGACCAACGTCGTCGGGCGCACAAACATGCCGTGCCCCATGTCGCAGTCAAAGTAGCGCTCTCCCTGGACGCTGCCATCGTTCTTCCCGCTGTCATCCTCGAGCTCGACGCCGACCCAGTCGCCGCTGGCGAAGTGCGTGCCGCCGACGAAGCGCACGATACCAGTCCGGCCATCAGACAGACGCACCGTCTGGCCAGGTGCTAGGTCCGACATTCTTTCTCGGCTGTGTTTCCTATTGGGAGATAACCATGTTCGTAATTGCTATCGGCTGTCGTGGGCGTTGAGCCAGTCGTTGAGGCTACGTTGTGGTGGTGATGCGTGATGAATATGTCGGGTCGTGTTTGGATGTCACTTAGGGGCCGCTGGAAGCGCGTCCAGTCGGATAAACGCGCTGGTGCTTGGAGCTTGCAGCGGTGCGTTGCTGCACTACGTACCTGCAACTAACTCTGACAGGGGGAGAGGTGATGTCAATTGAGACTCGCTCGTGCCTGATTGGTCTGTGGGTGCCTCGCATTTCAGGGTCCATCACTACCTACCAGGTAGTGTATGAGCATAAGCACAACTTGAGTATCTGCATAACTTCATAACCCCCACCCCAGTTCCGATGCAAACAACACCGTCAACAACAACACCACATAACACAAAGCAAACAAACTCGCAAAGAACCACACCACACAGCGGCATTGTCTCACCGTCTCAGTGCAAAGACTGTCGGAAATCATCGTGCATATGTTTCCCAAGTACTCAGTGTGATTTGTTCCCCTCACTCATCGTGCTGGGTATCGATAGCTCTCAACTCATAAGCAACCTCAATAGGCACTCACTCACGCGCAGACACCAGCAACTCGGGAGTTGGCTCAAGTCATAGATGCTCTGCGTTCCCCCCCTATCTACGCCTACGCTATGTAAAGAGAAGACAAGAGGCTATTTCAGCCACCTCGGTGCAAAGGAAATTATGAAATCCAACATTCATCCCCCGCTACATCATCGCATTACTACGTGGGCTTTTGTCAACTTCGTCCGAAACCCTCCTGGTAACTACCGCCTCGAATCCACTCCACTACTTCGAAAGCGATGCGTCGCTCAGTCTTCTCGTCCAGGGACTTATTATGCGCAATCCTAACCACCATTACGCCGGGACCTCTGAACTCGACAGCGCCTGCGCGGGTGGCCTCGTCCTCCACCACCGACTTGACGTAGATGACGAGGTCTGGTCCAATGATTCCCCTCCATAGAGTCGACATCCACTGCCAGTGGTCGACGGGGGCGTACGAGTCCGCAATTGGTATCATGCAGGCATACTTGTCAGAAATAGACAAGCTGAATCCTGCAGGGAGCAGGGCGATCGGCGTCTTGCCTGTACAGGGCAACGATACCGAACTGTGCCCGAATCCGCCAGCATCCCCGTCCGATGCTCGCCTCGTGAGAGGCGACCCGCTCAGTCCAGATACCGGCCTCGTGGACACGTGCTTGACAATCTCCCGCGACTTCTCGTGCCACTTCATCATGGTCTGCATGTAGTTGGCGAAGAGCTCAGAGGTTTGCAAGCTGGGTTGCGAGTGGCTGCTTTTCCTGCTGCTCCCAACGGACGCCGTATCGTTCATCTTCGCGTCTTCCTCGGCTGACAAGATAGGCGCCGCCATGTTTGGTCCGTCGCTCCACGTTTTCAAGTCGATTTCGGCCAGGCCAAGGAGGGATCGGTGAATAGTCGATCCCACCTGCTCCAGCTGCCGGGCATCAGCCCCCTCGACGGCAATTACCGCTCCGCGAACCTCCATGTCCGGGCTAGATGGTCCTGGCGGGGTTAAGGTTGGGCTGATTTTCTGCAGCACCTTTAGCTTGCTCAAAAAAGGAATCGTCATGATCATGGCCTCGAGGCTTTGGGCGTAGCTATCCCGCGGGTTGGTGATGCCCAGACCAGCGGCAGGGTGGGCGCTCGGGCGGTCGTTTGCGTCGTTTTCTCTGTTAAGCGGCGGAGATGTCTGGGTTTGCAGCGGGGGCAGGCGGAGGCTCTCGTCGAAACCGGGACCGCGGCTCGGTCCTGCGTACGCAGGATGATGGGGTCGCGGAGGGGGCGCCATGTTCCCGGTCCTCGCAAGTGCTGAAGGGCCGGGCAGCGGCCCGTAACCCGCTAGCGGCGGTGTGGGAGGCATGCTCAGCGACGATCTAGGCTGCCTCGACAAGGGATGGCCCGTGTAGGGCCCTGGTGACGGGACGGCCTGGTAGTGCCCCATTCCGTTGAATCGGCGCCGTTTGAGCTCCAGGGACGGTGACATGGATTCGTATTCTTCTTCCACGTCTCGCATGTTGTTGGGTTGAAACTGGTGTTGTTGCTTCGCGCCGGGCAAGGTGTGCCGGTAGTGGTCACCGTCGCCGTCACGACCATCTCTCGGGTGAGGGGGGGACATGTTGGATTTCGCGGCGGTCGGCGTTCCGAACGGCGTTGAGGGTGTTCTCGGAGTCGCGATGAATCTGCCGCCGCACTTGGAGCACCGACCCGTATCGGGCCCAGACGATAGGCTTGGCCGGCTTCCTGGTCTGCCGCCACGTCGAGGCTGGTAACGGTAGTCCGGGTATTGGCGTTGATGCCGAATCTTCTCTTCTTCCGCGAGTTTCTTCCAACTTTCCTTGACGTCGTCAGGCTGTATCCTCCACTGCTCTCCTATGATTTTAGAGATTTCCGGGTTAGAGAGACCTGGGTGCTGAGCAATAACCTGTGCTTGGTGGTGCTGTCTGTACAGAATGAAGGCTATCATAGAAGGATGTCAGCCGACAGGGGTTGCACAAGTGTCCAGCTGTCTGTCTGTTTTGAATCACTCGACAAAGGAGAGGCCTTCGAAGGCATCTCGAACCACGTCTGCGACGAGGACCTCTGGCCAAGTTGGACAAGCGAAGAGCAAATAGTGTGAGACTCACCGTTACGAGGTCTTGGAACCTTGAGGGCAGGCGTGCAGAGACAGATGTAGTCCTTGCCGCTCTCGCTACCCGTCGGACCGCTCTCCAAGCTGAAATCTCGCCCTCTCGAGCTATTCGCTTCCTCGATGTCGATGGAAGCCGCGCGCTTTCTGCTCGAGCGACTGCCTGCAGAGCCTACAGAGTCCGGTCCTTCGTCCGTCTCCTCACTTGCCCTTCGTTCCATGACCGAGTGGGCAGAGTTGCCTCCGGAGGAAGAAGTCGACCGCCGCGGTCGAGGAGTAGAAACCACATCTGCCATTTTTTTTGGTGCGGCAGGGGGTTAGGCGAAGGTGCAAACGGGTATGCGGTGACAACGACAAGAAGGTGGGTGATGTGGTCAAGCTATGCGACGCCGGGACTTACACCATGCCTCGAAAGGGGGCGTTTGAAGAAACGGGTGGAGGACGGGAGGGGGGGCGTGTGTGTTGTAGACGGTGAGAGACACAAGTACAGCGGGTTGCTAAGGTTGGGTTATGGGAGTGTGCTGACAAGAATGATCAAGTCGTGGACTTGGACGAACGGGGGGAAGCAACAGGGACTTGGGAGGAGTGGGAGAGACAGATGGAGCAGTATATCGAGGTGGGAACTGGAACAAGACGAGAAGGGTACGAGAAATCCCCTTCCACTCCAGGGCTGATTGTCCGCTCCGATGTTTTCCCCTCTCCCCGTTTTGTGATATCGAGATGACGGCCGGCCTTTCAGCAGAAACGGAGCAGACAATGACCGTTCAGCTCAATGACCTTATGCTCAAAGATGCGGGTTGCCATTATAGGAGAGGAAGGACATTAGGGTGGCAGGGCGGTATGACGCTCTAGCGGCGGCGGTGACGAACAGACAACCAACGAACAGATATCGCTCCTGGAGACGGAAGAGGGAGACGGCTCCCGGGAGGTGAGCAAAGGGAGAAGCGGAGAAGACGAACAGAAACGAAGGAAGAGACTGGAGGCGAGAATAGCAGACCAGACGCGAGAAAGAGAGAGAGAGGAGAAAGTGACAAGTCTTGGGTGGTGGGAGAATGTGTCTCGGGAATGTACCGGACACCCAAGTTTATTGCAGATGGGGGAAAATGGGCTCCTTTGTGACGAAGCGTTTGTTCCTCTCTGGTGGCCGGCGGCCCCCCGTCCTCTGCCTCTGTCGCCCTTTTCCGTTCGCATAGGGTGGGAGAACGAAAGGGCCAAGACGAGGTAAAGGCCTTTCTTCCTCGCCGCGGCTCGGGGACAAAGTCAACGGTGGGCTTTCCAGGTTCAAGTCCGAGGTTCGGGGGGGACGAAGAAAAGCAGACGACGAGTCGGGCGAGACGAAGGGGAGAGCGGACGAGACGGGTGACAAGGAGCCCCTCCCCCAAAAAAGGAAAGAAAACAACGAGACTTGGGGGGGGAAGGGGGAGGGTCGACGACTTTGAAGAATTCACGCCCTCCTGGTCTCAAGTCTCGTTGAGCGGGGAAAAGGAGATTGTTCCCGTTGAAAGAAGAACGAGGGAGGGAGGCGGTGGTTACAGCTCAAAGCAGCGCTGCCCCCCCCCCCCCCCCCCGGGGCGTTATTTTCGGCATGTTGTTCTTGTCATGTCATCCTTAATTCGGTCTTGTCTTTGGCGGGGAGAGTTGTGACCAACTCCCCAAGCTTTTAATTGTGTGTGTGGTTTTTTTTTTTTTTTTCCTGCTCCCATATGCAATGTCGTCCTCAAGAGGTCTAATGCAGCGGCCGCTGCCTCTGCCGTCCGCTACTGGCTCCCCCGCGTCGCCCGGGTGTTGCTTCTCCTTCCCCTTCTCCTTGCCTCGGCCAGCCCATCTCGTCAAAGAAAGATGCAGACCGACTGCAGACTTCAAGTTCCAACCGCCTCCCTTCCTCTCTGGGGAGCGCTGGTGGGACAGCAGAAACAATGACCCTCCGGGGGAGGGGAAGGGCGAGGTGTAGCTGGGGCCAGGGCCAGGGGGGAACAGTGCCGAGGGAATCAAAGACTGCGGCGAAGGAATGAATGCGCAAGAGAAGAAGAAGAAGCAGGAGAGCACTGTCCTCCGCCGCCGCCGGAATGCTCAATCATGAGCCTGCCCCGGTAAAGGAACAAAGACAATGCAAGAAGGTCGTCCCCCCTCCCCTCCCCTCCCCTCCTTACCCCGGCCGAAATTAGGCTAGGTTGGTTGAACATCATCCACGTGATGTGACAAGGGAAGGTGAGTCCTCAGCGAGTCCTTGAGCCAGAATTCATCTGCTTCATTCTTCTACTTGTTATACATCGGGGATTTAAAATTTGATCGGCAGAAGACAATGTGTTTGGCGTTGTGGTTGTCTCTAATGACGGACGCGCAGAGCACAGCACGGGTTGGATGGAAGGGGAATCGGGGGGGGACCGGGGTTCGGCACGGGAACTTGTGGGAAAGGGTGGGAAATAAGACGCGGTGAAGGAAGAGGGAAAGAGTGACATTGACATGTCCCTGTGGTTGGGGTAAAATGGGCATGCGGCATTGGCATGGGCGCCGCGCGTGGATGTCTCTCGTTGGGTCATGTCACTCACTGTCACTTCTCCCCCCCTTCTCTTTCTCTGGTTCGCAGCCTACAAATGTCTTATAACTCTCGGGATGGGGGCGGCTCTAACTGTTTTATTGTACTTTTTCGTTGTATCCTCATTTGGCGCGGTTTCTGTTTCGCAAACAGCCGAGCGAGCGAGCTCTCTTCCTCAATCCTCAGGACGCCCAGCCAAAGCGAGCGTGAAAACAAAACAAAATAGACGACTAGAAAGGAAGCGAGCCATTACCTTGCTCGCAGCTCGGAGGCGTCATGTCGTCTAACCACACTCGTTTGCCAACCTCATCCACCTCCAGTCCAGTTGAATCCCGCATTGTTGCTGGACAGGTTGGATTAGCACCCTCCAGTAGGATGGGTACTGGTCCTCTCACTATCTCAATCTCTCTCTCTCTCACACACACACACAACACAAACTCCGTGGATTACCCTGTTTTGGTCTTGATAAATGTGACAAGTTCTTTTACAACGCCGCCGCCGTCTTTCGTTCGAGAAAGAGACCGTCGGGAGCCGTGACCGCTTCTCGTAATTCAGCCAACCATGATGCTTTCCCCGTGCCTCTCACGAGATGTATCCTTTGCCGCTTTCGCCGCTCAAGAGGCTGGCACTGCGCCGCGAGTCCAAAAAGAGGCTCTCGCACTCGGCCACGTCCTGAATGTCGATTTGGCTGCGACCGTTTGCCTTGGAGATAATGCTTTCAATGGGTTAGCCTGCCATGTCTCACACTAGCCGCTTGATCCACGATCCGCGACGGAGAGGGAGGTGAGGGAGAAACAGCATGGAGATGAAGACAAAGGCGGTGGCAAGTAGAGGGCGATGAGGTCAGCGATTGTTTACTCACCTGGCGGGTGTCAACAGCTGCAGGCAGTACCGCAAGCTGATCCGGACGCCGTGCTCGGCGATCTTGTCCAGGGCGGCGTCGGTGATGGGCACACCCTCCGTCGTCGCCCTGATGCGAACAATACGCTTGATCTCGTCCGCCTGGTACGGCGTGGTTGGAATGATGAGCAGGCGGGCCAAAAAGTCTGTCGGAATACCGTGCGCCGCGATAATGTCATCTGTGCCGCGAATGGTCGCCATTCCTCTGTTTGACGCCAACACAACAATCGGCGAAATGGGCGATTCCAGGGCCCGGTTCAGGTAGGTGAAACACTCGACATCGAGCATGTGCGCCTGTTGTTGAAGATTAACCCACAAGTCTCAGTTCGCGCCAGGCAAACAACAACGACTTTTTGCTTACCTCATCAATGAAGAGCACACCGGGCACGAGCTCGGCCACGCCCTGGTCAATATACTTGCTCACCACCTTGTTGATCTCCCCGCGCAGCTTGTCCGTGATCTCGGTCATCTTGGGCTTCATCAGCTGGCCCATCATGCTCATGATGTCCTGGCCGCCCTGGGGCCGCGAGTTGGCAACGTCGAGGTCGTGGAGTGTCACATCCTGGACGATTTCCTTCTTCTTGTGCACCTCACCCTTGGGGATGGGGACGTACTCCTCGGCCTCGAGGTCGAACTCGGTCGCATAGGCGTCTGACCTTCCCACGCGTTTGCAGGCGCCCGTGTTCGCCTCAATGTAGATGACGTCTCCCACCGACACTCTCTCCTTCTGGATGGCCTCGTATATGCTGGGGTCTAACCGGAGCTTCTTCTGGCCCTTTGCGCTCTTCAAGCCGATCAGCAGGGTGCTGATGGTCTTGCCGTACCCACCCAGAGGATTCTCGGCCTCCTCGGGCGTGAGCTCCGTAACCTCACCCTCGTACACCTCCTTCGTCTCCCGGACCTTGAGGCCGATCGCGCGGCGGAAGTTCTCCATCAACATCTCCGTCTTCTTCACTTCTGTCGAGTAGATTTCGCTGCCGACGATGGGGCAGAAGGGGATCTTGGTTCCGAGCTCTTGGCTAATCGCGAGAGCGACCGCCGTCTTGCCCGTGCCGGGGCCTCCTGCCAGCAAGACGCCGCGGCCGGCCATCTTGTGCGCTCGGATGAGGTCAACCACAACACCGGCTGCCTGTTGCGCCAAGTCAGTCGCTGCTTATTTGTACGTACGGGGCACAGATCCGTCAGAGAATCCAACGCACCTCTCTCGCGGTCGTCTGACCGACGAATCCGGCCGCCTGCTTCTCTGCGGTTCCATCCTGCTTCAGTCCCAGGCCCTTGATGTGGGTGTGGGCAGCCGTGCGGTTCTCGCGACTGTTTCCCTTGACCTCGCTGATTTGGACCATCTTCGCGGCGGGGGCGTCGGTTGACGGCGGTCAATTCTTAGCGCGTCAATTCAATCGTGTGGGATGAACGTGATAGGAATGTCGGCGATTTCGTCGTGGTAGTGGTTTATTCGCTGGCGATGGGGGTGTGGTAGGTGTTAGACAGGTTTGGATAAAGCTCCAGAAGATTTTGGGGCGACGCGCCTCACTCAATCCCTGCAAAACTTCCACGGCCGCACAGTGCAGGCGCCGACCTGCACTTTAGGAATCCGGGCGCCCCACACGTGACCTGGCGATAGCTTCCCGTTTGCGCCTCATCCAACGTCAACCCGAGCTAGGCTTCCTCGTCATGGTCTAATGCAGCTTGTGAAAAAAGCATATTTTTCTTTCTCTTTTTCCTTTCTAATCTTCCCTTCCCTCCGCTCCCGTGACTTGTCGATCAGGTCTGTTGGAATTCCCGTTCGGAACCTGTCCAAGGGTCCAGACCGTCTGCGCATCCGCAGCCACACCTCATCTCATACGGGAGGGTGTTGCCGAGACCGAGGTCATGGGATGAAGCGGTCCCTTCTCATTTCGCGCGTCGGAACAGAGAATGCGCAGTATTCTCATGTTTCTCTGAATCTTCCGGCGAACTCGTTCATTGTTACGCAAAGCGTCTCCCTTCCTATGGAAAGAATCTAGCATCGGACCACCACGGGTCATCCAACCGTCAAACTCATGTGCTCTGGCTGGCCTGACTCAGAAGCTAATTTCATCGCGACTCTCTTCCCGCGTTCGGGAATGTCGAGACTCGTGTCTCACCGTGATTCTCTTTCGACCCGTCAACACTTGGCATCCAACAGCGCCCTGCACCCTGGAATTCGGAGAGCCGCCCCTTGGATGCACACTCCATTCTGGCATTGGTGACAAGTTTTCCTCGTCATTTCCAAACAATGCCTGGAGGGTCTTCTCCCGTGTTGAGTCGATCAGAATGAGAACTTTAGCCGACGGCCAGGATGGTAATCGGGGCTGTCTTTTTACTTCTTATAACCACATGGTGAAGCGCTACTCCACAAGTACCACACGAAGGGACTCGTCGCCTTGAGCCTCACCCTAATGTCATGCATTCTAGCATTTGTGCTTGCGCCAGACCTTGCCTTGCGCATCGCATACTCACGAGGCTCTCACGCAATGCTGACCGGAAGCCTCCTTGTGACAGCTTGTAGCGCGTCCCGAGAAAGCCGATGTGTTCAGTAGAGGGCAGTTTTGTAGGCCGTCGCCGAATCAAGCCTGCTACTACTGGCATGCTCGTTTCTGGTGTCAATTCTTCGAAGCCACCTTTGACGACACAATCACATGCCTTGCAGATAGAGGAAGCCATCGTGAAATAGCGGCAGGTAAACTCGACAGAAGCGAGCTCTCGTGCTGCACACATGAGGTGAATCCCGCACCCTATTTCTGCTCGGCGATGCTGTCGTTGCGTGAGTGGCACGAATTGTGTACGTGTCTCATCGTCTCATCACTTTCAAGAGCATGCATGCTCGACACCAGCTTATATCACGTTGGAAAGTCTGCCCCTTAGTCTTGGGACGGATCCCGATACAATATGCCGAGAGTTGCGAACATCCGACTAGACGTTCATCACGTACTCGTGAATTCCGGGCTGCCCGTATGCTAGTTTCCAAGATCCCATGCCCAATATCTATATCCCCGGCAAACCGCCTTTATACATCATGACCCGTAAATGTAGAAGACCTCACCTCACTCTCTGAAGCTCATAGTCTTCGTCCCTCCCATCGTCCATATCTGCCAACATCGGAACGGCCTCGGTATCCCGGACGTTCGCGACCTCCACGTCCGCCACGGCCTCCCTCTTGGGCGCGGGCGTCTTCTTGGTCAGGACGACCCATAAGGCGCTCCCGATGATGAGGCCGCAGCCGGCGAGACTCATCCACCCCATGACGTTCCCGAAAATGAACCGGTCAAAGGCCGCCGCGAAGAGCATGTGCGTGTACACCATGGCATTCGCCCTGTTGGACCGATCTATGCGCAGGCCTGCCGTCATGAGGAACTGCATGATGAACCCGAAGATCCCCAGCAGCACCATGAAGAGCCACTGCCGGCCCGTCTGTGGCAGACCCCACTGCAGCACGGGCTGGCCGACATCGAGCAGCGGCGCGGCCGTGAGCGCGATGGTGCACACGACGGTGTTTGACGCCGCAAAGTAGTTGACGGAAATCAGCGGGTGCGCGCGCTTCCCGATCCACCGAATCGTCGTGTACACGCCCGCGGCGCCGAAGACGCCCAGGATTGCGACCCCGATGGCCGTCAGCCGCTCCGTCGTCGTGGTCCGGTGGTCCAGTCCTGGCAGCGCCAAGGTCGCGGTGCCGTTGCCCGGGCCGAGCTGCTCTGGCACGGTGGACGCCGAGTCGCCGGAGAAGAGCGAGGCCGGGTGGGCGATGAGGACGACGCCGAAGCATGCGATGACGGTGCCGATCTGCTCGTTGCGGGTGAAGGGCTCGCGGAGGACGAGGTAGCAGGCGAAGCCGGCGACGCTGGGGGCCAGGAAGGTGATGACGGTAGCTTCCGCCAAAGGAAGATAAATCATACTGAACCACATGCCGAAAATGCCGAAGAAACCCAGCACGCCTCTGGCGACGAGGAGCCACCTAATTTCCTTTTTGCCGAAGGGGAAGTCGGGGGTCTTCATGTAGTACATGTAGGCGCAGCAGCAGACCATGGTGAGGCTTTGCCTGGCGAAGAGGACTTGGAGCGGGTGCATGCCCTCGCCCTCGAGTTCGAGTAGTCGTGCTGTCAGGTTCATCAGAGCGCCGAACAGTTGTGAGAGGGCCACCAAGATGGCACCCTTGTTGGCCAGCCAAATCCGCGCCAGCTTTGTCGTCTGCTTGGGAGGCTGTGTCGTTGGTGGGGGATGGCTTGTTCCTGGTAACGGCGAGGCCCGGCCGCTCCGGTACGAGCTGGCGGAGAATCTTCCAAAAGAGTCCGGACCTGGCAGTATCGTGAGACCTTTGGCGTGCTCGTGTGGCCAGGTCATCTTGCTGTCTGCCGATAGCCTGCGGTGGGTTTCATCTGTGGTTTCCAACGCATCATCAAATCCCGTCTTGGTCCCAGGGTCCCGAGAGACCGAGAGAGTTTCATCGTTGTGCTTCTGTTCGTTCATAATGGCTATGTGAAGTCATGTCTATATCTCCGAGGTCGAGTACGGTATAAGCGATGCCGAAGTGGCGCTGGGGTCTAGGGATGACGACAAGCAGAACGGCAGGAGTCGAAACGGTCTATTTCTCTGTGTAAAACTCTTGACAATTCCACCTCGTCACTTGAACGAGAAACCAGAAAATTACAACCGTGGCAAGAGTCGGGGTGTAGTCGAAAACATGTGCAGAACCCAAGGGACCCCCCCACCCCCATCGTTCATGGGGAGTGGGGAGGCTGGAGTAGAGATATGGTGGGCATGGGGAAGACGCGTGGATGGCCGAATGCGGACACAGGAGCAAGCCACCTGCTTGATAGGTAGGGTAGGTAATCCATCACCATTGTGTTCACGCCCTTACCCTCCTCTGCTGTCTGGCTAGTTTCTTGTATGTGTGGGGGTGTCAAGGTGCGCGAAGTGGCTAGAGACCGACGAAAGCCGCAATAGTGTAGGAAGACGGTCCAGAGCCAGTGAATGCAGAAGTGCGACCTAACAAGGGCTGCAGGTGGAGTGGATTCCGCCAGGCTTTCGAATGAATGGCCATGGCCCAACCCGCTTGCCTGCTTAGAAAGACGCCCAGAAGCAGTTAAGAATGCCGGCGGGCGAACCAACCTCAACCAACCGACCAATGCACCTCTAGCGCCCACTGGCCCCCTTCGGAGGTCAGCAGCAGTGTGATGATGCGGGAAAGGACTGCTGCATGATGTCTGGTTGTCGCCCCCCCCGATATCGCACCGCATGACATTCATCCTACAAGTAAGCTGGGGAAAGGCTTGGATCATCTTGCTGGTGGTAAAAAGGGCCGGATGTCGTTAGCCGGCGGAGCCAACCCACTTTCTCGGCACGGTCCCACTCGCACCAATCCCGAGACCAGTGGGGGGCCCGGCGGCGATTCGGCAATGTCGGGGATAATCCCGCGTTTCTTCATCTACCGCAACATTCTGCCTCAGACTCGAGGCAGATTACCCTTTTTGACTGAAGATAGGATTCCGTCTTTCAGAGCCTACAAGGCCTCGGATGTGTTCCTCCAGTGAAACACATGTGCAGTCTGACTAAAGAAGGGAGATATTCCAAACGTGCTGTGCACCATGCCCACAGCCGCTTCCACGACGCCTATAGCATGACTAACTGACATACGGCCTTTCGATGACTCAAGCAGGGCCCGAGAGACCGAGTGGGAAATCCGCGTCACGGGCTCTTCCGAGTTCTCAGACAAAAGAACAAGGCCAGTCCATCTCCGCATGGAGAGGTAACATGGAAAACGGGAAGTAATAGGGCCGCAGTGTGTAGCCAACTTGATGAAATGGTTCTATGTGGCTGTTTGGTGACCACGAGGCCCCTGAGGCCTCGCTCTAACCTACCCCTACCCTTGAAAGAAGTCCAAAAGAGCGGCTTGTGTCTAGAATACCTCCACCGTTGCCGGTAGCCGGAGCCTCCTGGGTAAGAGAACGCAATGTTGCTTGCCCGGCTGGGCTCCGAAAATATTGGCCTACTTTCGCTGCACTACCTACCTCTATCTTGGCGAGACCACGAATCACGATGTGAAAAACTCTCGACGCGCCTTGCAGGGGAGGCCCTCTGATATTGATTATATTGTCATTCTCATGGTCGTGTTCCTTTTTCCCAGTCTTGTCCGTGACGGGACCCTCTAAACCAATGCCCGATGTCGGTCATCCAAAAGAAAAGAAATAAGAAGAGAAAAAAACGCCAAGTCGCTATGCCGTGAACCCAATAGAAAAACACCTTTACCGTTCGCGTCCGCCTTTCGCGGCGCCTCGAGACTCACTTCGCCTCCCCGTCGAGCCGGACCCTCTTCGCCGGCCGTCCCGCAACCTCGCTCTCGGCGTCGGCGTCGTCGTCCGCCTCGCCCAGCTCCTCCTCCTGCTTCGCTGCCGCCTCCGCTGCCGTGGGGGGCTCGCCCGTCCCGTTCGCCGGCTTGTCCTTCTTGTGCTCCTGGTCCGCCGCGTCCTTCATGAGCACGGCCTCGTCATCCTTTGTGAAGATCTTTTTGGCCGACTCGATCTCGCCCTTCTTCTCAAACACTTCCTGCACCTTGCCGAGGAACGCGTCGTTCTTGCGGAACGCGAACTCAAAATCCTCGTACTTGACCTTTTGGCGACCCGCGTAGTTGGCCGCGCGAGTCGCCTCAAAGGCCATGCCCTGGATGAACTCGGTCACAATCTCATCGAGCACGCGGATCGTCTCGGGCAGCGGGTTGCGGACGTCGCCGTGGGCATAGAGGAGCTGTGCCACTTGCAGAGGGTTAGCCTTGGTTCCTCCGGATCTCTCCGCGTGGGTACGCAAGGAACGTACGCTCATTGTGGCTGAAGTTCATCTTGCCAACATTTTTGGCGGCGCGGGCGCGAGGCTCCATGGCGGGCAGAGTTGATTCAAGAGTGCGTGGCAGAGGTCGGCAAAGTCTCGGTGGGGGATATCTCTTTCGCTAACAAGATGCGTAAAGCAGCTGGCTAGGGTCTCTCGGATAGGAATTGGGGGTGACGGGTCCCGGTCGCGAGCTGAGGTTGAAATAGACAGGTCGTGCAAGAAAGATCGCCCAAGGCCGCGATTCATAGATCACGTCGCACAGGGGAGAAGCAGCTTGCTTTATCTTATCAATGCACACAGTCAGCCTCAGGTGCTGACTGTGGGGGTGGCGCCTACCTGGGAAAACGTGGCTGAGGGGTGTGGGAAGCTCCCAGGTCGGGCCACACGTGGCTTGAACGTTCTCCGGGCCACCTTGTCCATTGGCGAGAGGCTGAAGTCGACCGAACCCCTGGGCATACTATTATATCGCGACCTTCAATCTAGCTTGTCCATTTACACCCGAGAGTCGCCAGTGCCCCGCCGAAAGGGACAACAGCCGCAACCATGGTATGTCGCGCAGCGCGAGATCTCAGAGAGAGCAGCGAGCAGTGCTAACGCGAGATACAGACAGCTATTTTCAACTTTCAGTCGCTTCTCCTCGTCATCCTCCTGCTCACCTGCACGTGCGCATACCTCCACCAGCTCATACCTGCTATCATGGACCGGAACAAGGACGGGTAAGGGCGCTCCAGCCATTAGCGACCCGATATGCAGACACAGCCGCTGACCGGACGATAGTTTCGTGGGTATATTCTGGAAATTCGCAAGGGTGGGCGAGCGGTTAAGTCCGTATATCAGCTTATGCTGTGTCGTCATGGCGGCAAGTGTCTCTCGCCTCGGTCTCCACGAGTGCATTGCTGACAAGATACGACAGGTTTCCTTGCTCATCAGCTAAGCTTTTTTTGTCTGCACGACCGCGCGCGGCCCCTCTGCCGGGGCCTTGTTACATATTTAGGAGTTGGTCAGGGAATTGAATATTGCTTTGTTAGACGGGAGCAGCGCATGGCGCAACGACGGGGATATGCCCGGGCCGACGAGGCCCGTATGACGAAACTCAAAAGACCGAGGGGACATGCCGTTCTAATTTGGCGGCCTGGTAATAATTCAAGAAATTCACCTCACCTGTGAAGGCTGTGCCCATCACGTCTGGTCAGGCGCTCATGTTGTCATTTCCTACATTTGAGAAGGACAGGCCACCAGTTTCCCAAGATGGCGGGAGTCGCCAGCCTAGCCCCTTCACCGTAGGCGCATCGCCTCTGGTCAGCCCTGGTCCTGCAAAAGAAATTCCTGGGAGACTGGCCCTTGGGAGCTCCCCCCTTCTGCTCAGAACTGTACAGCTATCAAGGGCCAGAGGCGATCCAGCAGCTCAGTGATAAAAACTTGTCAATTGGCCTTCTTCTCACTTCAGGGTGGGCCTTGCTTTCTAGTAATCTGCATTTCGCCGCACAATGCCGCCCCCTTGGGAGTTAAGGAGTGGCCCACGGTAACCTGGCGAGACCTCCTTCGTTTGGCGGAGGATGGATTTTCGAGAAACATCCAATATATGTGGCAAGCTCGGTAGTATCTCGTTTCTCATAGGTATTTTGGTTATGACCAGAATGAATGTTGCTCAACTCCGACTGCACAAAACCAATGTATCGTGGCTCGGTCCTCGAACACGGTGTAGCTTCTGCAGCTGTCCAGTCACGAGCGGCGTGGACAAAGATTACCCGATGCCACTTAATTGACGGACGAATTCTTGTGGTAGCCACTCTGTCATTCCGTTCCACTCGTCTTCAATGCATATCAATAGTGGGCGCATCTTGATATAAGGTAGGTCGTTTCACTATGGTCGTAAACCCGATGTTGTTATTCCCCCCAACGAGATCGTCGACGACTTCGAGCGAAGCCTCACCGTGGACGAGTCTCGGAATAGCCTGGCCAATATCCCTCTCACCCTGGAAAGGTATGTTCACTGCTGGTATTCTGGTACCATCATATCGGTTCTCACTTGGAAATACGGTGATATCAGCTTCCCATCTTCCAACTCTGCACTTTTCCATGTGCATTTCACTCCCAGACGTGCAAGACCGATACTCACATTATCTTCAGAAGGCTGATGGAGGCAACGATAATGGCCGAGGGTCTTGTGTATGACAATCTTCAGTCCCCTGGTGGGTATTGTCTTGTGGCATATGTGAAGGCGGCGTTGGACTGTTGCTGCTGTAAGACCTATCGCACAATCCCACCCGCACAAAACAAGAAGAAAAGAAGACGCAACAAACCACACAGCGATACAAGTCCTTTATGAAGCCTGACCCCTCAGGCATTGCGTGTCATCGAGTTTTAGGACTAGAACCACTCTCTTAGCAGCCTGTACCTGTCAAAAGCCTCCGTGTCTACTAAGTTATATCACCGCTTAGTTAACAGCCCGTAACTACCTGGTCAGAAACTTCAGGACTTCCTAATCAGTAGCTATGACAACACGCTGATATATCTAGATGTTGGCCTTGTCGGCAGACTAGGCTCTTGAGGCGGATATCTTCAGGTGTGTATACGACGACGGGAGAGGAGGACGAAAGCGACAAGCAGCGAGGCCTACTCCTCACATAAACACACAGATCCCAACTACAAGAGAAGACTGCCTTTGCACTGCCTTTGTACACTCTTGTCCCGTGCCCCTCGGGAATGATGGACAACGCGCCCCCCAGCAACCCTACTGCAACTGCTGCAAAGAGAGAAAGCATCCGCGGCTTCGAGTATTGACAATTCAATGCCTACATGGCATTAGCCCGTCACCATATCCACAGAGCCCTGAAGCTTGGACCCATGCAAAACTGCAGCTCCCAGGCCGACACAACGTTTCCCGGTGGCCGCTCGGGCATCGCCAGTTCAAAAGGCACGACGGGCGACGAGGCCGCAAAGGAAACATCCATAAAAGCCACCGGCCTCCCGCAGCCTCCTCGATGTCAGAGAACCCCGTCACGGAGGCCAAATCGTGAGCCTTTCAAAAGTCCACGGTTCCGAAAAAAGGAACGGTGGCTATTGCCGGTACCGAGAGCCTCCAAGTAACCATGTTTACGTACGACCCCGAAAAGCCGGGCTTGGCCCTTTCAGTTGGGGATACGTAGTCCGGCAGAGGAGCATCCCCATGTCTGCACGTGAGTAGCGGAGACCGCCTCCTTTTCCACAACATTGACATCGCGCCCTGTCGCGACTCATCATACATGCACTATGTGTGTGCGTCCGGAAGAGTGGGCTTCACCGGCGCAACGGGGCCCCATCCGGGGAAGACCGGGTCGGTGCCGTCCTGCCAAACGGCTGCCTCCCCCCCCCGCCATATGAGCAAATGACTCGTCTCTTGTCCCTTGATCTTAAACCGGGCCGGCTTCCCCCACGTACCTACGCGGTCCACCGCCCCGCGTCCCCGTTTGCTGGCTCACGCGATAATACGAGGGGTGAGAATACGATGGAGAGGCAGAGGTCGACGTCGGCGTGGGGGGCCAGCAGGGCGTTTGATTATCCCCAACTCGGCCCCCGACCCCTGGCATCGTAATGCATCTTCTTCCGTGTTCGCTCTTCTACCGGGACGATGCCATCGACGGCAGCCTCCTGGGCAGGCCGAACGGTCGCCGGCAAGGAAAACCCGAGAAAGGACACACATCCCGTGCCCTTCTACGCGGATCCAGAACAGGGGGTGTGGGGGGGGGGGGGGGGGGGGGCCGTACGACCCCGTCGTCCCATAGCGATAGGCTTGATGCAAAGGACGGGCAACGTCATCGTGTCATAACCGGGCCTGGCCCCGATGGGAAGAGGTGGAGGTGCCGAAAGCATACCCGTACATCTGGTACCTACCTTGTGACCAATGCCGCGCGGCGCGGTGCATTCGAGGTGTTGAGCCAAAGGGACAAGGATACATGCGGAGTGGAAACCAAGAAAGAAAGCAAGAGAGAGCAAAAAAACCGAAAGAAGAAAAACCAGAAAGATGGACTAGGATGTCTGTCACTCAAGAACAATCCTTTTGACCCCCCCCCCAAGCTACCTAAGACCACGGCAAGCAGAGTTCTCTTTACCCCGACCTCTCCGGCCGGAAAGGCGTCCCATCTTGCGTTCTCTTCCGAAAAGGTCCTGTTTCGTGCATGAAACCCGCGCGTGCCCCCCCCCCGCCCCCCCCCCCCCCCATCTCCCTAAATCCGCGGCTCCAACATAAAAAAAATCGGATATATAGGACCTGAAATGGCAAAAATAGCCAAAGAAACCAGCCCCTCACCTCCCGCAAAGGCCGTTTGTTAAATAAAAAAAACAAAAACCACCAAACAACGCCATCCCTCCCACGACCCCTCCCCTCCCTCCATCAAACATCATGCATCAGAAGAGACGGTGTGGCCGCTTATATCTCAAACTCGTCTGTCGGGTCTGTCATCATGCAACGGCGTGCGACTTGTGGTTTGCTTCTACTTACGCCACCCACACACCCTTTCCTCGTCGTCTGCACGGCAACGGTGAGATATGCTTGGCCAATTGCTACATCGGCTGAAACACCCATGGGGGGAAGGTGGGTTGGGCTGCCCATGTCATGGTCAACGATTAAGCAGACGTCGCATGTATGGGGTGGTGCCTCTGCATATCACAAATTGGATCAGAAGGATAAATGTGACCTCAGCCTTGAATGACAATCGGGCTCTTATTTTTCTGTCTCTGCAATGCGAAAGAAAAGAAAAAAAGAAGAGGAAAAACAAGCGTGCGCTATGTATCTGGATGTAACCGCCTCCCCATGCAACGCCTACCCAACTAGTCAACGCGGCAAAAAGCGCGAGCTTGATGTATTGAATCCCCAAACACCGTCTAAGGTTCCGTAAACCCCTCGTAGCCAAAAAAGAGTCTTGCGAGAAAAAGCGGAAAAATGCAAGATTAAAATACTGTAAAAAGGGGTATTGTTCGGCCAGACATAGTAGATAAGCCCCCCTGCGTGGGCGTGTCGGGTTTGCTGGTTCGTCTTGCTGCCAGCATCTCCCTCATTAAAGAGATTGGTGTCCTGGGGTCTGATTGTTGTGTGCCCTAGAACTGATTCATCTCCATCATACTGTCGGCCTGTTCGTCCTCCGTGTATGCAAGGCCGGCAAAGACTCTCCAGTGAAGGATGCCGAGATGTGCCAAGCGAGTCGCCATGTCCTCGATACCGCCGTCGTCACGAGACTCCCGGTTGCTATTGTTGTCAGAGACAGAACCCTCGCGATCCGGGCTGCTGCTCCATGACCGCCCTGCGCCGTGAGCGCGGCCGCCAGTGGCCACCGAGAAGAGGCCAACTCCCGTCAGACCACGGTACTCCCGGACTCGCTTTTGCAGCTCCGTGAGGAGTCTGTGGTGGAAGTGCTGCTCAACCTCTTGGAAGAGGGGGCTGTTGATGTCGCAGACGTGCGAGGCGAGCTTGGACTCGAAGACTGGTAGCATGTCGGCCGGGGCGTTGGTAAATCGGAAGATCTGAAGAGCCAACGAAGGAGCAATAGCCTCCCAGCGGGACTCGTGCCTGCGAGGTGGCGGCGAGGTATGAAGGAGCGCGACGAGAGAGTTGTAAAGGTCCCGGGCCTTGTTCAGAGATTCCGTGGGATCTGAGGTCGGCTGGGGTGGGAGGATTAGCGAGGATCGCGGGGACGAGGTGGCCGAGTCAGCGGAGCTGAAGGCCAAGCTCGAGGGACGAGATGGAGGCGTGTTGAAGTTGAAATCGGGTGTCATGGAGAGGGGGCGGCTCCGGGGCTCGTCGTCAAACTGCGAGAAGGAGCTGGCGAAGAGGGGGGCGTTCAATCGGCCAACTCTCTCGAGGTCGTCGTACATACGCATGCAAACCTCCAGGTTGATAGCGTCTTGCATGTCGGCACGAAGCTTGACGAATCTCTCCTCGTCAAAGATAAAGGTGTTGGGTAGCGCCTTTTCCGATACCGACGGCAGGATCAACCGGGAGATGGCCTCGAAAAATACCGACATCTCGCCAAAAGAGTGAGCGGCGATGGGCGACAGAGAGCCGCTATACCTCTGCTCGGCATCCCGGTACCAGGCATTTGCCTGGGTAACGTCGAGCTTGCTGCCCTGGATCTTCTTCTCAAAGAACTTGCGCTCAAACGGGATGGTTCCCTCGATGAGGATGGGGCGGAGACATCTGATCTGGTGGTTTGCAACGTCGAGCTTCATAGCCTCCAGCACACTAAGAAGACTCTTCATGCCCTTGACAAGCTCCTCCACGTTGTTGGTCCTGTTGCCGTTGCTCAGCTGCGAGTACATCTGGTCGACCCACTCGTCGCGCATCGGGGCGCAGTGTGACTTGAGCACTCTAGACAGCCACAGGGCGAGCTTCTCCAAGTCGGCAATGCCCCTGTAGAACTGCTGCATCAGCAAGTCGACGTTGAGTCCCTCATCCAGATACACTCTGTCCCTTTGGGGTACAAGGGTTTGGATGATTTCCTTGACCGCCTTCAATAGGGACGGCAGACACCAATCGTCTCCCTGGCCGTGCGCTGCGATGAAGGCCTCCGGTTCCCTGACAAACTGGGTGAGCTGCTCTTGCAGAGTGTTCCAAAACAGGTCGGCCTTGTGCTGTTTCCGCTTGCCCTTATCTCCGTCAAGATTGGGTCTGAAATGCAGTTCGGGATCAAAGTTGATGTCGTGGCGCAACTTGGGGTTGTGCATGATCTTGCACACATCCAGCTCGCTCAAAGTCACCTTGGTTACTGGGGGCTCGACTGGGCGGGAGACCCGGGGGGCGGGAGCCTTGACCTCAGGGACGCTTCCAAAGTAACTGTCCGTCGGGGCACTCGGTGTCGAGGAAGTCGAGGTGTTGGATGATGCCCTCGCCATCAAAGGCGCTGTCTGAGGTGTTGATGTGTTGGAGGGTGGGTTGAAGCCCCTGGGGGAGTCTTGTGACGACTGTTGAAACTGTGTCTTGGTCTCTTCTTGTTGAGTCTGCTTGCCCGCCTGGGGCTCGGCCTCCTGAATGGGTTCGTTCTCGGCGCTGGCTCGAGTCGATGTCGACAAGTGGCGACGGTTGCTCTCTATGCCGCCACCGGCACCCTGTTCGCCCGCCATCGTGAGGGGATTTTCAGATTATCGGTCAAGTGATTTGTAGTTTTCCACTCAAGTGGCGTCCAAGCTGTCTGAATCCTCAGCTATTCCAGAAAGATGTCGTCCGGAACCAGAGTCAGGTCCACGGTTACACACTCGAGATCGGCTTCGAGACAAGGTGCAAAGTCTGCTAGACCGAAGAAGAGGAGATGGGTAGTATGGCTAAATGTTCCCCGAGAGAGCGAGTCAGCAAGAGTATATCTAGTCGACAAACGGCAGACAGGCGTGCGTGAATGATCTTTGTCAGACGAGGGTCTCGTGAGCGACACACGCGGGCGAATGCAGGTGCTGATTTCCGAAGTGCCGTGTTCTCAGGGCGGAGAGAATCGATGAGTGGGGAGGGAGGGGAGTGCGAAGACTGCGACGTTGGCGCACTCGTGGGCCGGTCCTGTCAAGCAGGCCTATGGCAACTTACAGAACAAGGTTGTTGTTGGCGTGGCGCGGAACGCAGCAGCAGAATGCAAGTGGTCGAGGGAGGAAGTGGTACTGGCTCTCAATGGGGCCGAGGGATGTTTGCTGATGGTGTCGCCGACCGGCCGAAAAGCGCAGGAAGGAGCGGCTGGACCACAGAAGGAGTCCGGTGTGCGTAATGGGAGGGTGCTTGCTGCAGATGCACAGCTGAGAGGCAAACAAGTGGCCCAAGTCACTCGGGAACCTCGTTGGTTGGAATAGACGGGAGCTGCGAGCCCAAGGGTGCGTTCAAGGGGGTATGGTCGTATGGGGTACTGGCTGGCGGTATGGTTGTTGTTGAGGTGGGAGTGTTTGTCTTCGTTGGCCGAGAGGGAAGTTGCGAAGCAATGGCAAGTATGAAAGTCTATTGGAGGGCGAACGAGGACGAAGCAGGTATAGGTTTGGGTTGCTGTTGTTGTTCAAGGAGAATGCAGTGACGGAGATTGCTCGGGGGTGCGTGGGTGGGTGGATGTGGGATATCCAGTGATAATGAGACCAGGTGACTGGGAGAGAGAAGTCTAGAGCAGAGCAGCCTCGAAGTATGAGAGAGAGAGAGAGAGAAAGAGAGAGAAAGATCCGTCTGTTAATTACAAATTGGGAAGGAAGATACAACCGGAGAAGGAAGGAAAAGAGGAAAGGAAAGAGCCTCTAAGAAGTAGGGGACGTGGGAAAGGCAAAGAGAAATACGGTCGCTAAAGTGGTGTACGGAGTAAGGTACGGTCAGGTCAGGCCCCAGCCCAGGTTAAGGTCAGGTCTGGTCAGTGCAGTGCAGTGCAGCATGCAGGCCGGGGAAGGGATGGAACGAGGAGGGGGAAGGAAAAAGGAGAGAAAGCGCCAGGAAGGACTGGAGCACGTTAAAGCTAAACAATAATATAAGATGGTATGGTATGGGAGGGTAAGGTAGGTACACTACTGTAAGGCAGGTACATGCAGCAAGAAAAAAGGTACGTACACACCAGTGTGTTATGTATTGTGTGTTGTGTGAGTAGGTGGTGTGTGTGGTGTGGATGCGTGTGTGTGTGTGTGTGTGTGTGTGTGTGTGTGCTTGAGTGTACCTGTGTGCTTGAGTGTGTGTGTACGTGTGTATGTGTGTGTGTGTGAAAGGCCCATCTAATGCATGTATGAGAATGGTACAGAGTAGCGTCCAAACGACCAAAAGAAAATAAAACTACAAATTAAAAAGGGTCACTAGTCTCCAGCAGATGAGTGGAGAGGTAGGTACCGTACATCGTACATGGACTCGGCTGAGCAATGAGTGCCTGACCCTCTCTCTCTCCACGATAACCCTACATTACTCTACTGCACAGTAGCGTACAGAGGGTGCCAAGCGTCGACACACACTAAACTCGCCCGTAAAGAGGCACCCTCCCCCTGTCCCCCCCCCCCCCCCCCTTTGCCTCCTGGGCTGGAAAAGCGAATCTGGGTGAGGCAAGGAAAGTATGGATACATTGTTGGCATAGTCTCCATCCGTGACGGGGCGCTAGAAGGTACGTACCGCCTGACTGGGAACTATCTACCTACCTACATACCTACTATGTACCTACCTAGGGGGAACTCATATGCGCTTGGATGGGTTGGGTGAGGATGAAATTGCCCGCAATGCACCCTCCTTCCTCAATCAATGTACCTCAGAGAGAGAGAGAGAGAACAACTCAGAGAGTAGATGAGAGGGCACCGCCAGAGGTGTCGGGCACCGTCCGTCCATCACACGCACTATTCGTACACTTCATAGGTAGTATCTATCTTAGTGTCAATATCCACTGAGCATCCATTCCCTCGGGCCCCCTTCCCATCCCCCTCCCTCCCCCTTTGGGACTCACCTGCTACTCACTCACTACAACACTACTTGAACTACTTGACTGAGAGACACTGATGATGAAGTGAGCAGCGGCGGTGTTCATGTAGTATTCTGTGTCTACTGCCCATGTACTTCCATGTAACGTATGGGCGTGTGCGTGTGTCTGCGTGGGGCCGACAGTACCCCTTTCGTATCTTGCTGAGGCAAAGGTTATGCGAACGGAACACCGCCGATACATTATACTGTACATGTCGCCCACACCCCGACATGCCATGCCATGCCATGCCTCCCCTCCCTCTTGTTCAGGCTCTTCCCTCGCATCGCCCATCACGGCATCCCTTCCAGATGCCGTCCGTGGGTTTGTCACCTTGCTCGATTCTCTGTCAGGTACACCACGCCTCATCGACGCCCCAAGCCGCAGGTTCCATTAACACCCCCTCCCCCCCTTCCCTCCATCTCCGTCTCCGTCCCGCTACCGCGCTCTAGGTGGCCTAGCGCGTCATCGTGGGACGACCCTTTGTGAAGTCCTTCGTGGCTCGACCGCCCACGTCCACCGTACATGGACAGAGACAGGCAGCGGCGACAGCAGCAGCAAGCAAGCAAGCAAGCAGAGGGACGAACACCGAGGAACGGCGGCTCGCCGAGTAAGAAACGATACATGCAAGTCGCATGCCTGCCACGCCATACAACACCACGGAGCTGGCCAAATACATACATGCGTATATGCATGTAAGTTGCCCTCCGCTCCGGCCGATACACGTTGTTGCTCTAGCAGGGTGGCACCGGGGGCGTATAGACATGGAAATCGGCGCCCGGAGGGAAATTCCTTTGCCATCGGTGGCCTTGCGATCGGCGAATCGAGGCATCGGTAACAGCGGTGGCAGCCCTCGTCATTTGATTGCCATTTGCCATTTCTATTTCCATCCTCATCCCTATTGGGGGAGAACTTGGAAGTCACTACCACCCACCCACCTACCCACCACCGATACCAACAGACGGGTCACCAAGGCGGAATGAATGGTTACCCATGCTCCTGTGCCCCCCAATGCCGTGCCATGCCACGCTCATCGCACGCTGGGGCGATTGGCACCTAGGCCATCCTTGCACTGGGCCGGGGGGCGTGGGCGCACAAGTCGTTTGGTGCTCGCGGAACTTTGGTCTCTTGGCCCTCTCGGGCCTGTTCCTGCCGGCTGGAAAGAACGGCGGCGACCCATGCGCCTGTCGGTGATCACGAGGAACGGAACGCAAAATGGATACCTCATGGAACACGCCTACCCATTATCCTCCTAACCTCCCTTCCTTTTGTCTGGCTCTCCCGAGTTTCGTAATGCTTTATCCTCTCCGAGCAGAAGACGAAGGGGAGAAAAAAAAATAAGGGGGCGAAGAAGGGGTGGCGTTCCGTATAACAGGCCGATCAAGCGTCGTTGGACCAACAAATGCCCTATTGTATACTACGTAGGGTATCCGGGCGGCCCTACCCAAGGGCAAGGAGGACGGCACGCAGAAGGCGACTATAATGTAGTGGCTGCAGCCTGAGAGGAGACAAGAAGCTGAAGGCAAGGAAGGTAAATGAATCGCTGGGCGTGTGCGGCGGAAAGGCTGTCAGAGACGGCGGCCGGCGAGTCAACGTTGGTGCCACCGGCAACTCATCCCAATTCCGGTAGTTGTGGCATGGATGGAGCTCGATGGTCGGATGGGCAGAACAGAGCGGAGATAGGATCAAACTGGTGCTTCAGCAGCGGGCGAAACTGGGCACTTAGACGAGGCCACTGTCACTGTCACGTCGAGCTCTCGTCATGTGCCTTGTCGTTGTGGCGGGCATGGCGTCCTCGCAAGACCCCGATGCAAGCAAGGTGGACAGACGGGCGACGATAGGTCGAAACATCACCCCCTTGTGCAATCGTCCGCTCCTGAGCTCGTCGGTTTTGGTCTGGCTGGTCAGTACGGATAGCGTGTGCGTGTGCTGGTAGACTACGGACGAATAGCGCCATGGGCAAATAAGGACGGTCGCGGGAACCTACATAGTAGAGCCCATATGGCAGAGCCCACATGGCAGAGACACAAGAGATGAGGGGTGCGCGCCTCTCTCTCCTGCATGGTAGCTAGCTAGTCTTTGCTCACACTCGACCGCTCGGGAGGTTGTGTGTCCGAGCGAAGGGCAATGTCTCTCTCTTTCTTGACACGGTAGGGGGAGGAGGATCGCGACTCCAACCCCAGCGGGAAGAGGCTCAAGAGGGTTAGGGGGGACAAAGGAGGAGAGAGCAGATAGTCTAGCAAAGTAGGTAATGCGCTAGGACCGAGTGAGGCGTGGGGTTCTTACTCGGACAAGGGGCAGAAGAAAGCATCCGAAGAATAAGAAGGGACAGAAAAGAAAACAAAATCAAAATACTTGGAATGGTAGCACGGGCGACCAGGACGAAAAGAGGCAATGAGCAGCGGCAGGGGTCAGATACAACCCAGCAAAACCCGCGCCATCGGTAATGGCCTTTTGCGGGTATAGAGAGAGAGAGAGAGAGAGAGAGAGATACAGAAAGAGAAGGCGCGCGCGTGTGTGGGCGAAGGGGAGAGAGAGGGAAAGAAGATTACATACTCAGTAGTAAAGTTCGGTGTGTGTCTGGCCATTAGGGACCGGCGCCGTCCTAAGGAAGGAAGGGGCCAGGGGTGAGGTGAGGATTGCTGGGACCGAGGGCGGGCGGCAGGGGGGATCCCTTGCAAGTCCCAGGTCCCGGGAGCCTTGGATTGGGCTTGGGGGCGCCTCGTACCTGGGAATCTACTACGTGTGTACTATGTACAGTACTACGAGCCTCTGGCAGCATCTCGCGACGTGCACCTGATACCCTGCCTGAATTTGGGATCCCACGAATGTGGGTACACGCAAGGTGAGTGAGAAGGGAAGGCACGGTGTGTGTTGCACCTTCCGTCAAGTTGTTGAGATGTACGATGTACCTACCTAGGTAGTTAGGCACGCAGCCATCACCCAGGAGAGAGGTTGAGGAGAGTTGCACGTTTAGTTCAGTTTAGCGTGGTGCATCCTGTCAATCCATCCATCTATCTCTCTTGCAACACGGCCTGATCTTCGTGGCGGCACTTCCATCGTCTCCTAGACGGCAAAGCAAGCCGCCTCTTTCACATCGATACGACACCGGGCCAAGAAACTATTGCGAAGCCACCGTCCATCGCCTTGTCTGGAGTATGATATAGTGCACCAGCCTGCATGGTCGGCCGAGGAGGAGGCGTTGCATCGTGCTGCTGGGGCCTTTGGGAACTGAAGACCTGGAGACCTGGAGCTCGCTGTTTTAGAATGATCGGGGTGAATCAATCAGGGAGGCGGGAGAAAAAAAAAACCCCACCATCTTGGAAGAAACAAATCGGTGCCTCCTCCTACCCAGCAGCGTTCCATGCTTCCTTTTGTTCTCTCTCTCTCTCTCTCTCTCTCTTTTTTTTTTTTTTTTTTTTTTAGCCTATCATAACACTTGTAATGACATCTCAACTCGGGACATGACTACTTGCATCTTACGGTATGCCAAGATACGGTAGGTAATAAATCATATGCAGTCAGTCGTCCCCAAGACAGTCGCGACTCACAGCACGCACAACCCTTGAACCACAACCAAAACCACCATCTCAGCCATCAAGCCCCTTCCCAGTACGAGTCTGGACTCTGTTAGACCTCGTCATTCCTCGTCCCCCGTCCCTGCATCAAATCTGCGTCAAACGAGGTTGAAAGCCGCCTGGGAGGGGTGGTCCATTCTTTCGTACGAATACACCACCTCCCACCTGTATTTTGCCCCCAAGCGAGCTTTCGCTACGGTCTCTGCGGCCGGCCCTTGATGTCTTCAAACCGATTTTTCGGAGCCGGACCACGTCCAGCGCGCCGGGGCATCGATGCGGTTTCGTCGAATCCCCGCCATTTTTGGCAGGCCATTGTCACATCTGATACGTCGTCCACCCCTCGCCTCAGCTGGCCTGGGGGGCCTAATGTTACCGTTTCTCTTATGTGCCCCCTTTCAGTCTCGCTTCCGAAAGGAGAAAAAACAAAAAGGCAACCTCCTGCACAAGCGACAAAAGTTGCACCGGGCGTCTGTGTGGCTGGAACGGCGCAGAACGGATACGGAATGCGCTCCGCCGTCTACTCTTCCCGTTTTCCGTCATTCCCAAGGGAGTAGGTGCCCCCTACGCTACGCGGAACTACCGTAGTATGCTTATATAATACAATACAAAAACACTCGCCATCATACCGAGGGAGGCATTACTAGGTACTTGGTACGTAAGCAAGGAGGAGAGATTGGACTCTGTTTCGCCTCCACTTCCTTCATGTCGGTCGCCATCTTTCCTTTTCCGACATCTAGGGCAGGTCGCCGGGGCCCCATACGGCTGAGCCTTCTCCTGAATGGATGGTACTCTTATGTTGAGGCAACAGAGTCAGCCCTGAGGCAAGGCAAAACTCGAGCGTCGTGGGGCGAAAGAGGTAGCCAATTAAGGCCATTTCCCCCTCCCCTAGGGCCTTAAGATTGGATCTCGCCTACGGATATCGCACCCTGTATTCGTAGTTGCGTGCAACAATCCACGATCCACCAGGTACGAATACTCTTCCACTCTTCCCACTTCCACTCCAGATGCGACCACCACCCCAAATCAGCAGCAAATCACCCTGCTGATCGCCCCTTCGCAATCAATAACCAATTCATCTCTCTCATCTCTCACCTTGCCGCGGGCCCCGTTCATGCCTTGCATGCATAGCGGATACACGCCCACGCTTCCTCGCCGCTCATGCGACGCAATACGACGGGAGGCGCTGTGCGAGATGAATTACATCACTTCTCATACGACCATGCAATGAATATTGCATCCAACGCTGCACTGCCGGTCGATGCAAGATTCGGATCCGTTGCAACGCCTGTACCATGTAGTTTGGCTTCCCTCGACATTGGCGCCGGGGAAAACAAAACGACAACCGGCCGCAGCATTCGGAGCAAACAAGATGCACCAACCACCCTGCATTGTCCGCATTCCTCATTTCCTCACTTCTCGGCTCCCTGCCACCCCGACATGGAGACAGCCGGCCCTGACCGTCACCCTTTTTTGCCTCCTTCGCTCTCCGTCGTTGGAGACTACCGCCCAGGAATCTGGATATGAATCAATCCTTCACCAAGCGGCTGGTCGGATCTCCCCTAGGGTGTGGCTGCGAATTAATCTGTTCTTGGGTGCAATCGATTGACATTTATCGAAGCCAGTGTGAAAGTGGCCGACAGTTACGCCAAGTGCTTCGCTAACCTCCGCCCGTCTGATGCCACCTCTGCCTCTGCCTCTGCTTGGGCTTGGGCTTGGGTTTTACATGGCATAGTAGGCTCCGACGTTGCCCGGGAGCATGTATGGCTGTCTCTTTCACGCCGCCCGGGGTCCCCGTCACTTGATCCAAACGCCCAACGGCGCACGGCAGATTTATTTTTTTCTTTCTTTCTTCCAAGGTCGTGAGACGCCGACGACTGCCCGATCCTCGGACCTGCACGCTTCATGTCGGCGGCGGTATGCTCTGTGCATGAGTAATGGATGCACACCCGCTGCTGGTCCCCTCACCCCCGTTGTGGCTCTGTCTGGCTCGATACCGGTTCGCAAAGCTATGCTGTCCGGGGGGGAGGGCGGACAAGACGAACAGTTGCCATTGGGGGAGGGACGTTCGATTCGTTCCAGGAAACGACTAGGTTGGCCATGACGAAAGATGACGACCGTCGCAAGCTCCTGGGCTTCCAAGTTCCGTGCATGCAGATGGATGGATGGGTGGATGGATGGGGCGCTGATGAGCCGAGATCATCTCATCTTTTCCCGGATGCCGACTCATAATCCTTTGCGGAACCAGCGCTGCATCTAAAATTGCCTCTTGGCTGACTCTTGCCCGAGCCACCGCCCAGCCTACATAGTACGACGGCACGAGTCAACCAAAATTTCTGACGTCGACAGTCGACAATCTCCTTTTTCTGGACAATGGCCGTGTGCATCTGCGTACGTGCGGAGCAACCTACGTGTTAGCCAAGACACCTCGGCCATGGGGGAACCCTCCATCTCTTCTGTCTTGCCTTCCTTGCCTTGCCATGTGGTTGATGGAGCACACTAAGGGGTCCGCAGACCGGGACCCGCGGCGGTTCGCCGTCGAGGATGATCCTCGCACAACCGAACCGCCGCTGAGAACGAGGCTGCACAGCTCACACCCACCCAAACGAAGAAGCCAACTACCTACACTGCCCCCTCTTCAGTTTTAACGGTCCGACGGTTGCATGTCGTCCTCTCTGGCCCTCGCGTGTCGCAAAGGGGAGGTTGGTTCTCTTACGCTCCAGCGCTCCGTCGAGCACACCACTACAGACTCAGGTGAAATGCACACGCCGAGCAAATCACGGCAGCGCCGGCCCATGGATTAGTTTAACAGGCTTCGTATGGTCGTCCCGGGGTCCGACTTACAAACAAAACTTGATTCCTCTTTCGGTTGGGGATGGCGGCCGCCGGCATGCCACCGCTTCTTGACCTGGCTGCCGTCTGCCGCCTCACCGAGATTGACCACGGTCTAGGTACCAGGCGATACCCGGTCACGGAAGCCCGGTTCGAAAGATTGGTCGAGATTGTTGCTGTTGCTGTTGCTGTTACGCATGCCCTCGTTCAATCAAAAGTCGCAAACCCACCCCATTACACCAATTAACGCCGTCGGGGCAGCACAGTTTGCTGGTTCGTCGGCCCCTCTGGCGAGACCCGAGACCACAGTCGCATGCATCAAGGCTCTTTGATGGGACGAGACGACCACGACTCAGATGGCCGTTTCCTTGCGTGGTTCGTTTCGGCTTGTCTGCATTACAACATCGCAATACGAGAGGCATAGCGCTTGCACACGCCTTCCTGCGAAGCCAGTTGTGAGTTTGTTGTGCGTTTTGTGCAACAACCCCCTGCTGACCTTCTGCCGCTATCACTTTGCCCGGCGCATGCTTCTCCATCATGTCTTTCCCATACACACACCGATGGTTTTCAGACCATGTCGCCGCGCGCCATCGCCTAAACGCCGCCGCTCTGGCGACGACATGAAAGGGATGAAGCGAGCCCATGACTCGGGCCGTCTCCCACAAAAAAAAAAAAAAAAAAAATAGGAAAAGTTATGCCCCAATCACTGCGATTTCCGTCGCCTTGCAGACACATTGGATTGTTCCGGCCCTTGGTTTCATATGACCAGCAAGCACTCTGCCTCCCTACCGTGTGTCCTTGGACGGGCGTGATGGTGCAGTAACGACACGACCGCCATGCCGCAACCCGCCGACTATTGCAGCAAGCAGCAAATTTCTCTTTTCTTTTCTTTTTCTTTTTCTTTTCCTTTTCCTTTTTCTTTTCTTCCTTCTCTTTACCTCTTCTTCTTCGTCCTCTTCTTCTTGTATTTTAGAAAGGCTCTCGCATTTGTTTTCACTCACGACGCAACGCAATGTAACGCAACGCAACGCAACGCAACGCAACGCGACCTGTCCAAGCCCAATCAGAACTAGCATAGTCCGCTTGCTTGGTTCCCGTCCCGATGCCGGCTGGCGCTAGGAACAGTGAGGCCAGCAACGCAACAGAGCTGTGGCAAGAGCTGATTGATGGCAGCCCACGTCGGCCACGATGCCCGATGCCATGGGATTGATCGTCCTCGATCCGTCGTTGGACCACGTTTAGGAATCGTGCGCGCGACCTGAAGACATGCCGCGTGGGCAACCCGAGCTGTTTGAGCCCTCTGCAACCAAACCACTGTGACAAGTCAGATGCACACAAGCACACCCACACCACACAGAGCTCGTACACGTCGCTGACTCTGCTGCCATGCCTCTTGTTGTCGCATCCTGGGCCGAGGAGGAGGGTCTCTGCTCAGAGGTCAACGTCCGGACCTTGCCTTCGTGCTCACCCAAAGCCTTTCCCATGCCCGGTCGTTGTCTCGTCTCTCCTTCTCTACGGCCATGCCCTGCCCTGCCTCGTCCGCTCGTGTGTGCTCCGACCTTCCAGCATCAACCGTTTCAAATCACATCACAGCGGGATCTGGGCCGAGCTGTGGCACCTCCTCTTTTACCCGTCCATTCCGTGTCTTCTAGAAGGCCTAACCCCCTGATTAAGACTCGTTTTGCGCCGTTCTTGGGACAGCATGGGTGGTCTCGGCCTCAATGGGTCGTGGCGCATGGGTCGTCTCCATCTTTTCGTCGTCGGATTGCATCAGTGTCGGCTGGTTCATATTCTCTCGGGGTTCATTTATCTCGGGGGATTATTAATTCCAGCTTTCCCCCCTTTTTCTCTTCTTTTTTTTTCTTTTTTTTCTTTTCTTTTTACGGTCCTATCACAGTGCCTCACAGATTCGTGTATAGTTGCCATCAGTCGACTACACTTGGCTCTCGCACTTGGAGCGATGGAGGACGCGCGCGCGTCCTTTCTTGGCTTGACACTTGATTCCATCGAATCCACCTAGATGCACCCGGAGCTGGGCCCTCGAGCCATGACTTGACCGCATTTCTTCAGCAGCATCGCTCGCTTGTCTGCCGGCTAGTTTCACCGGGTGCGCTAGAACCATGGATTCGTAGCCAGAAAGACAAGAGCGTCTCCCACTGCTCTGCCGACGACAAGAGCGGTACGCACTCTGGACCGTCGCAAACTGTCCGGATGATACGTCTCATGCATGATGCCTGTTGTTTTTGTTGTTTTTTTGCTGTCCATGATAGCACCAGACTGCGTGACGACCGCCTCGACCACCGCTCTTTGCCGAGTCTGTTTACCACTGATCGGCACGCCGCTCCTCGTTGCGTAGCAGCTGCTCTGTGTCCATCACTTTCGGTTGCCGCAGCCTACTGCGACCGACTCCATTTCCCAAAGGACAGCAGAGACCCAAGCCCTGCCTGGTCTCTCGTCTTTGATGCTCGTGGGCCCCCCTGGATTGCGCTACTCGAGCCGTGGCTCCAATCAAAGATTGCCGGTCATCCGGTTTGGGCGAGTGGCTCCCCCGGTCTACTGAATGTACTCCGTACGAATAAATATTTGGGAAGTCAGCGCCCCCTAAGTGGACAATGAAGATCGGCAACACCATTGCCTCCTCATGGAGAGCTTGACGCCAAAGCGGCACGGGAACAAGACTGGCAAAAAAGAAGAAGGGGAGGTCAAAAAAGGATCATTTCGAAAGAGACCGTCACGCAGTGCCTAATTCGGCTTGCGCGGTGAAAGAGACAAAGGAAGGCAAAGGTTGGGCAACCTCTCTGTGTCTGCCCTGCTGACCTAGGCAGTGTAGTCACTTGATTGCCGACTGGGCCTTCTTTCAATAACCTTTTTTCCCCCCTTCGTCTTGCCCCATCCCCACCCCTTTCGTTCGCGGATATGACCAAGATATGATCTAGGCCTCGAGGACTGCGCAGATCCTCCAAGCCATGTCGACAGAATCCGCTCCCACCATCTTCTCGCTCTTCATTTGAGTAATGCTCGCTTGCGTCTCTAGGGGCGGGATGAGTGTGGAGGAGAAGGGGGGCGTGAGGGGGTTCGTCGTTTTGGTGAGACTCAAACTCGAATGCCGCTAACGCTAGCCCGGATCAACCCCCTTGCTGGATCCATCTCATCTGAAGAGAGATTGAGAAGATGAGGGAACCCCATCGTAAGATCAGCTAGCTAGGCGTCGTCGATCTCGCGTTCCCGGCTAAGGTTTTCTGGTGGGCGAATCCGACGCCACGTTTTACGCTTCGCTCTTTTGCCCCGCGACGGAGAGAGGTGGGGAGGTGAGGTTGGGGTGGCCCTTCCTCCAACAATGCAATTTCAATAATAAGGCGGAAAGAAACCGAGTTGGATTGTGCCGTGGCAATAGGGCGAATAGTCTGGCGGTCATCTGCGAAGAGGGACCATGGCGCCCTCCGTCCTCCCCACGTTGGATGCTACCTGGCAGGGCTAGACCTCTTGGGTCGGGATGCCTTCCATCTTGGAAGGACGTCTGGGTGCTACCTTTCCGTCCGGGTCAAAGAGAGACACGCCCGTGCTAGGAAGGGAAAAGGAAGGATAGCGTTCTTTCATTGGAATTATCTCATTTCATGGGCAGGTCACGGAGGGCACCATCCGCCGGCGAAGTCGTCACGGGCGGAGGGGGCGGGACGCAACAAGCCGGCTCAGGGTTTGTCCGACGCGCTCTCGAAGGAGACAGACGGCTTCACCGGTTTTACGCCATTTCGCCAGGGTTCGCTTGCCCGCCGACCATGATACGGAAGAGAACCAAACGACGAGAGCGAAGGGGTTTGGTCGCATGGGGAGAAGAGGCTTTCCCTAAGCCCCGGTCCGAGGACGCTCGGCCGACGGCGAACCGTCCGCCGCGCATGGAGGGTTCTTGGTCCACCTACCCGGCGCTGGTGACATCATTGTCGTCGTCCGTCGCCGTCGTCCGTCGCCGTCGTCGTGTTGCTGCGTGCAAAGAGTGGGAGGGGGGAGGGAGTGCGGGAACGAAATCGAGATCCGGGGGGGCGGGGATGGAACGCAGACGGAGTTGCCGTGGCCGACGACGGTGGAGGCATCGGCCATCAGGGAAGCTGATATATATATATATATATATATATATATATATACATATATATATATATTAAAAAGAAGCATTTAGACCGTCGGCATATCTTGCAACAGCATTCCAGCCCGGGTCGAAGGGTGTGGACATCCAGTGAGAGACGAGCAGAGGGCTAGGAGACACAGACGAGTGTTCGACAGTGGTGCATAATGATTACTACCGGGGCGCTCTAAAACGAGGAAGCCATCCTTTTACAGCTACGGTTCTCCATGTCGGAACGGGGCGGCGACAGCGATGACGGAGCAAGTACTTGCGTTCCTTTTCGCCATCCAACCATCCGAACAAACGTTGCGTCCGCTTGCGTGGGCCCTCTCCGTGTCCTTATGTTAACGAAGTCCGGCCCCGGAAGCTTGTCGGTGGCTCTCCCCCCTTACCTCCCCTCCCTCACCCAGAACACGACCCCCAACCCCCCCGGGGCCGTTCGTGGCCGGCTTCACTCCGCCATCTTAAACGGCCTCTGGAGTCGGCCAGGCACATCTGACGTGCCGAGATCGGGGGAGGGTGGAGAGGAAACACGAAGCCAGAGTCACCCCCCAGCCCGCCTCTGCTCCTCGAACGCCGAGGCCGCCGTGACCGTAATCGCCATACCCCGTGGGCGAGCTCTTCGATGCTGGGTTAGCAGGCCACGGGGCCCGTGATGAATCCGGAACACCCCGAATGGGATCGACTGCCTGCGTCAGGGGCAGGAGGCAGGAGGCAGGAGTGGGAGGGGGATGGGAGAGCAGCATAAGAGGCCGGTGGAAGAGGGAAAGGTTCCGCCTTCCCCTTCCACCCCACCGAGCCCCCTTCGTCCAGGAGACTAGGGGGTGGGAGGAGAGAATGCCCATCTGTGAGAATCGAACGGCACGATAAGGATGAAAAGAAAATGACGGCCAGGTCGAGGGATGGAGGGGGGGATATCGGCCGGTCCCTGTCTGGTCATGGCGGGTGAGGGAACAACAGACGGCGATAGAGAAACAGGAGGGGGAGAAGCAAGAGCGATGCCAACACATACTCCGAGAACCTCCGTTCATGTAGCCGAAGGGGGGGGGGGGGGGGAGAAGAGGATCATCGACGGATTGCAAAGCTCATGCTCCGTCCATCATTGCTCCATGACGGCGTCGTGTACGTTCGGAAACCAGCTCCCAAACAAGAAAACAGAAATAAATATAAGCGGTGGTTCCGGGGGGCACACCGTCACTAAAGGAGAGCGTCATCACCGAGAGAAGGGGGAGGAGAGGAGAGGAGAGGAGAGGAGAGGGGCCGGCTGGGAAAACAGGCACAAGACGTAACTTCAACTTCGTGATTCAATTCCTTTCAGCCCACATATCTTCGGGCCTCCTGCGTGATGGTATCCAATAAAAAAAGAAAGAAACAAATGTAACTAAATACAAAAATCCGACGGCAAAGGCGCCCGGCTTGAAGGCGGGAAAGGTAATACAAAGACGGGCTCGACAACAGACTAATTATCCCAGTTGTGGTACACTCATTCCTGGAGGGCGTACGCCAACACGCAGCCAGTATTGGTAGTAATAGTAGTAGTATCCAAAACCAGGAGGAACTTGGATAGAATAGGTCTCAACCTCCCTTTTCCCAGCGATCCCGCTATGCAAAAAAGAACGAAAAATGAATAAATAAAGAGGTGAAGAGCAACAAGCAAGTCCGTATTAATACACGTTGTAGTGATTGTGTTGATCCGAAGACGGCCTGCATTAGGGGGGCGCATAAATGCGGGCTCCACAAGCAAAAGGCGGGTGACGATATCACAGTTCAGATGGGGGGCATCGTCGCCGGTGTTCGGTTTCACCGAGGGCTTAGGGGACTCCGTCCAGGCCCCTGGGACTTCTTGATCTTCTGCAGCTCCTCTTCGAGCTTTCTCCTCTTGCCTTGCTCCTCCTGCGCGCGAATGGTTAGCATGGTAGCCGGCACGGACGGACGAGCACACGCAGACTTACCCTGAGATCCTCCTGGAACTTCTTCCTCTCCTCCCTCATCGTGGCGCGGAACTGCTCGCTGAGCATCGACGCCCCGGCCCCGCGGGCGCCGGCGCCGGGCGTCACCTTGAGGCGCTCGCTGTCGAGTTCCTCTTGTAGCTTGGCCAGCTTGGCCCGGGAGTTGTCGACCTCGGCCTCGAGCTGGTCCTTGAGCGAGCTGATCTCGCCCTCGAGGTTCGACTTGTCTGCAAGCGCGTCGTCGAGCTTGCTCTCGACATCGAACTTCTCCCGCTCGGCCTTGATCGTCTCGGCCGTGATGTTCTCCAGCTCCTTAAGCGTCGAGCTGAGCTCCTCCTTGAGCCGGTCGACCTCGGCCTTGAGCTGCGCAGCCTCCACGCCGCTTTTGATAGCCGCGGCTTGGTCGGCCCTCTCCTTACGGGAGCCGTACGCGCCGTCCAGCTCGGCTTGCGCGATGGTGAGCTCCGTCTTGAGCTCGACAATCATCATGTTGAACCGGTCCAGCTCCTCCTCCTTCTCCTTGACTTCCTTGTCCTTGGCCGCGACCTCTTGCTGCTTCTCGACTGCCGCCTTCTCCGCTCCTGCGAGCTTGGTTGTCAGGAGCGCGATTTCCTCGTTGGCCCGGCTCAGCTTATCGTTCAACTCTTGGACATTTGTGCTGAGGCTCGCCAGCGTGGTTTGGGCCTCCTTAGTGCTCGCTTCGAGAGAGGCGATCTTGGCGTCGCGCTGCTTGATCTCGTCTTGCGTTTTGGCTGCGCTGGACTCGTTGGCCATGCGCGTGGTCATCGCGGCCTCGGCCTCCTTTTGGGCCTTGGCCAGCTTTTCCTGTGCCTCGGCCACTTCTTCCTCGGACCGCTCGAGCAGCGACCTAAGCTGATCTAGCTGGTCTTGCTTGAGCGTCAACTCAAGAGTCTTCTCTTCCTCGGACCGCATTTGGGCTGCCCGGAGTTGCTCGAGCTGGTCTTGTTTCGCCCTCAACTCTTCGTCCCTCTGTGAGTCCGACTTGCTGTTCAGCTCGCGTTGCTGCTTGATCTGGCGCTTCAGGACCGACTTCTGCTCCTTCAGACTGGTGGTCTGTCTGTAGAGCCACTGCACCTTGGCCGAGAAGGCCGACAGCGAGTACGGCTCTGCGGTGTCGACGGCCTCGTCGTCTGACATGTCGTCCTCGTTCTCAGACAAGCCCTGTTCCATCCGCGTGCGGCGGCGGTCTGCCTTTTGCTTTTGGATGCTCGCGAAGCCCGATTGGATGGTTTCCCACAAGCCCACCAGTGCAGCTTCGACTTGCTCCTCGTCTTGCTTCTTGACAGCCGACAGGCCGGCCGTCTTCTTCATTTCCTCGTCCACAACAGAAATAGCACGCTGGAGCCAGTCGAATTGGCTGTCAAGGCCAGAGTTTGCCACCTCGGGATGACTCGGGTCGACCGCGACAAGAATATCGCGCAGCTGTTGGTTCAAGTCGTCGAGACGGCTCTCCGCCTGCGAGAGGGCGATTGCCGCCTCGCCCGCGGCGGCCTCGGCCTCCTGGAGAGCGCCAGAGGACTGTCCCTGAAGTTCTTGCTCCTCGCGCACTGCCGACAGGCCTGCCTCTAGATATTCCAGCTGACTCCCTAAGGCTGTGCCGGGCTCGACTGATGCGTCGATCGCTAACGAGGGGGGCGTACGGAAGCCTCCGTTCTTGGTGGGATTAAAATTTATAACTACCTCTCTCAAAGAGTTGTTGAATGTCGTAAGTTTCCGTTCGGTATCAGAGACGGACTGCAAGCGCTGTGCCTTCTCTCTCTTGAGGCCATCAATCTCAGCGCTCAAGGCGTCGGTCTGCGACCGGAGCCGGGCGTTCTCCTCCCTTAGCTTCTCCGCCTCCTGTTGCAGCTGGGTATCTTGCTCTCGACTTGGTGCCTTGGGCGGGATGTTGAGTGGGCTGACTTTGACTTGTCCGCGAGACATATTTTCGCCGTTGAGATTCTGATATGGACCATCCTCGTCGAAGGAGCCGTCTCCCACCGGTTCCAAGCTATTGCGGCCGTTTGAATAGGCATAAAGGCTCTCCGGGCTTCCGGGGATCCCGTTCATCATTTGCGCAGGCAGCTGACTGGTCGGCTTTTTGGAGGCCCTGTGTGTCAGCTGGAGGATACCGGCCGTGTGCTCCAGGAGATTCCTTTGCGATTCCATCAGGCGTTGCTCGAGATTCCGCAGTTCGTTGGATAGGTCCTCGACTCGTTTTTCGCTCGCCTGCCGCTCTGCCTCGGCCTCTCGCAAGGACTCTCCCATGCTGTTGCGGTTGTTGCCCAGCAAGCTCCTTCTTCTACTAGCCTCGGGCTGTGTGTAGAGCTTGGCCATGGAAATGGCGGCGTCTCGATACTTTGTTTGAATCGCGAGGTTCGCGCGCGTCTGCTCGACGCGCAAGCTCAACGATTGGATTTGCTTCTTGGCACCATCGACTTCTTCCTGAGACAATATTCGGTATTGTTTGCTGTCGGTCAAAGCCGTTTCCGTCAACAAATGAACTTGGATGGGGTCCTTGAGATCGACGAGCGCGGAGCTTGGGGGCAGTTTCGTGCTTATCTACAGGTTGTCAGATTTGGCTACGCGGCGTCAACGAAGACTGACGAAGACAACTGACTGGATCAATACGTAGCGACGCCTTTTCTAAGTTGTTCATAATATCCCTCCTGAGGCTATCCCCGCCTAGGGGCCTCTCTCCGCCTCCGGGGCCAGCAGCCCGGGGCGGCGAGGGCCTCCCCGGGGAGTACCCGTTCATGGTGTTGGATCGGACCGGCAGTAAGCGTTGGTGGTCGTCAAATCATTATATTACACAAAAGTCTTAGAATCGTAGGTGGCTTAGGGTGTCGTGGCGGCCTTAGGGAGCATGTTCATCCGGCGGGTTACGGAGACTATTCGCAGGCACGTTTCGATAGGGGTGGGTGTTGGAACCGTCGCACAAGCCAGCGTAGGAAGGGACAAAGGGTGGCTGGCGGCTGGCGGCTGGCGTGTGGGACTTGGCGTGGGAGGTAAGAAGGGGGAGGGGGGTTCGCCGTTACGGGAACGAAGTTGCTATCGCCGTGGAGACGGAAGACGAGTCGGGACGTCGTCGGAGCGGGATAAGCACCAACCGTGTGGCGATAGGCAGCCGGGGAAGGGGAAGTAGCGAGGATAGGGGGGGGGATTAAGGGAAAAGACAGCGGAATGAGAAGAGTGATCTGCCTGTTAGCTAAAGAGGCATATCATTTCCCCCCCTCTAGCGATGTATGCACTGGCGGGTGCAAAGTTTGCCGTCCAGACATGACACGCTTGACACGAGTGCAACACAGCCGGACCTCCCCTTGCAGGCTGTTTACATTTGGCGATGCCTCGCAGCTTCCACCTTGGGGTCATGGCGCTAAGCTCATTCGAGTAGTGTATTGCTGGCGTCGTACCCGTCGTTGTAGGTACTATTGGTGGACGGCCGTCCGCTCAACAGTACGTACTCTCTGCACTTGCATAGGTACTTCTACAGGTACTTACCTGTCACTGTCACTGTCACTGTCACTGTGCACTTGTATTCGTATGCAACCATCACCAGCATTTGGGATGACAAAAGCTCCGCCGTGCTCATAGGCGCTTGAGGTCAGCCGTAGTTCAAACTCAAACGTCCCAAGTGACTGTTGTTGTATCTGCTGCATAAGAATGGAGGGAACACACCGTAATTTCGGGTTTCTGATTGCTAGGATCCTGCGCCGGGATTGCGATGAGCTAAACCACTTTGGAAACACGACCCAAACCTTTTCTGGCCCACGACATTACTTTTTTTCCATCCCAGGAACGATCGTCGGCATCTCCAGGGCCGCGGCTAGTGTACCTACACTACTGGACGTGTACGCTGCGGATGCGGTTGATGTGGTTCTAATGCGGGCACGACCCTCTTTATACCGGTAATTGGATTGTGAGCACGCCGAACGGCCTTGTCAATAGTCCAACGGCGTGCTGGATAGTCGCCCACATGTATATTCCACCGTCATCGCATCACGTAAGGCCGATTGTTCACCGTTCAATCCTAAGGCCCAGCGAGAGTTGACAAAGCCCAGGCCTGAGGGCAGTCCGCTCCGCCAGTCGGAATACGTCCGAAAATGTTTTTCGTAAACGGCTAGATCACGAATGACTGCTTGTGTCTTTGGGCTGCAGATCCATGCCATTCAGTCCTCACGTCTGCCCTGGCCCGCCGGTCTTCTCCGCCCAGAGTCCCCGTCGACTTGTCCCTGAACGCCGGATGCGGTGGCAGACGAGCCTTCGCCTTCCAACCGCCGTCGAAGGCCTTCAAATTCGCTCCGACTTCTCTGTGTCCTGACCCCAACCATCCATCCCGGGAGGCGCCATTTGGTCACCGCTCCTGGCAGCAAGTCGTTCCTCCACGAGTATCCTACAACCCAGCCAATGACAGCCCCAAGCAGTGAGCCCGGCCATTGGAAGAGGGCCAGCTGTAATGCGAGGGCATAGCGGTATGACTTATCCGAGAAGGTCAATCCGACAAATGGGTCGTCCGTAGGTGGCGCAGACGAAGCTGCGACGCGGTATCTGTAGATGTGAGGAACCACAGCGTGGTACTGCGCCAGTATCGCAAAGATAATCGGGGTTGGTCCAGCCGGCATGTAGTTGAACAGACCCGCCGTCAGTGGACGCAGGACGAGGGACAAGAAGACGGGAGGTATGATGGCGGTGAAGAGCGCAGATACAGCTACGAACGACTACGGATAGATCAGTGCCGCTCGACCTGGTGCTTTTGCGTTGGTTCGGTGACGACTTACGGCATATTTCCTCGAGCCCCATATCTGTTCAATGACCCTTAGCTGGTAAAGGGTCATTGAGGCGAAGAGCACCTCGCTTGAGTTGGTGCAGCATAGCTGGTACGTCAGGAGGCGCCAAACTTGATGATACCGCCAGAGGTGGGTATCGACGACGATGTAGAAGTAGTGCTTGACGTCTAGCAGGCTGGCCGCAATGGAGCTCGTCACCAAGCCAAGGACGAGAGAGCGCGTCACTGGCGCATTCGTAAAAGACATGTTGGTGATTGGAGGGCTATCTCATTGTGGTCTGGCGTACCCGTCGGCTCTGTATCGCGATAGCGCTGGATCGGTGCCTCGAGGGAGGACGACGGATCCCTTTGGATTGAGGTAACCTTGTTTGGATGCCCCTTGCTGCGGGGTGTTCTGCAGGTGGTGTGTAGCTATGTATGTACTTGAATGCAGCGGCGTCGTCAGAGTAGCAAAGGCAGAGGCCGGAAAGCGAGGCGCGGTCGGAGGACCGTTGATGCCAGGTGGTTTCTTCGGCCGTCGTCAGATCGAACCCACTCGAAGCTCGAACCAGAGATGGGATAGGTAGGCAGGCACAGAGGCATGCACTTGTACACCCCCTCCATAGTGGTGTGGACTTTGGGGAATGGATGGTCCAAGCCTCAAGGGCTCACGTCGACGCCACAGGTACCCGATCCTGTGCAGTGCAATTACTAAGGCACGAATACAAGGCGGCCCCTCTTGTGGTCGCACAGGTACACAATAGGTGCAGTGCAATTACGAGGCTGGCGGGCTGACTGACCGTAGCTTCCCCACCCGCTTGAACCCCCCCGGATTCCCATTCGCCCAACGAATTACGCCACAGTGCCCATCCCTCCCTTGCTTCCCTGTCACGACGTGTTTCTGTGAGGCGCAGAGCTCTGGGCACATGCCGCCGTCGCCGCTACCGCCGACACTCTGGTAGCTTCTGCTGGTCCGGAATAATGAGTCCAAGGCGGGTACTCTTCCAACCTGCCAACATACTTGCTGACGCTCATCACATACTAACTATACCCGTTTCTTGTTCTCTTTTGTAATCTTCTCGATAGGGTGTCCCGGCTTTTCGTCCCTCATTCGCACAATTTGCTTTACCTTCGAATAATTCTTTCCTCAACGCGCAGTGCTGCACCCCTTACAGTCTTCCTTGCGTAAAACGTCTGCGCCGTAATAACATCAAGAACAGCATGTCGGAGATATTCATCAACCACATCACGCGGTGGCTCTTTAGCTCACCGCCGGCCGAATGGGCCATTGAACAGCTCCGCGAGCTCCTCATTGGCGCACTGAAGCAAGGCCCAGTCCCTCAACATGTCGCATTCGAGATGGACGGCAACAGGCGGTATGCTCGCGGCAAGAAGATGGAGACGATCGAAGGTCACCACCACGGGTTCGAGGCTCTGGCCAGGGTACGCCATCCCGCCGCTACCTGCGGCTGACGCGCTCGCTAATCGGGAAAGTCCAGGTTCTCGAGATTTGTTACAAATGCGGCGTTAAAGTCGTGACGGTTTACGCCTTCAGTATAGAAAACTTCAACCGCCCGCAATACGAGGTCGATGGGCTTATGCAGCTGGCCAAGGTGAAGCTCGAGCAGTTGACGAAGCACGGAGATATCCTGGATCGGTACGGCGCGGCGGTGCGTGTGCTCGGCCAGAGAGACTTGATCCGCAAGGACGTGCTCGAGGTAGTTGACCGTGCAGTCGACATGACCAAGTACAACAAGCGGTGAGCTAGACGCATGCGGTCCTTTGGGCGAGCCAAACTGACTGAAGCAGCAACGTGCTGAACATCTGCTTCCCGTATACGGCGAGAGAAGAAATGACAACGGCCATACGATCCACGGTGCAGGAGTATATGATGCCTCCAGGCCCCAAGTTCACGCCCTTCCCGGCCGCTCGCATCTCGCAGAAGATCATGTCGAAGCAGCTAGAGCGTCGAGAGCCCCTCCCCACCATTCGCGACACGTCGCCCGCTCCCTCCTCCCGGTCGGATGGTGACGATGGCGCGTCGTCGTCGACTACTCTTCCACCCGACTCGCCCTCGCCGCCGAGACATCGGTCCGGCGCCGCAGGCGGCCTCCATCTGAAGAACCCAGAGACAATCACGGCCGAGACGCTGAATAACCACATGTACACTGCTGGGAACCCACCGTTGGACATCTTCGTCAGGACTAGTGGTGTTGAGAGACTCAGCGACTTCATGCTGTGGCAGTGCCACCAGGATACGCACATTTTCTTCTTGAAGTGTCTCTGGCCAGACTTTGACCTGCAGCACTTCCTGCCGGTGCTTTTGGAGTGGCAATGGAGGCAGAAGAAGCAGATTGAGGCCGACGAGCATCCTAGACAAGCAAACACGAAGGCGCGGAAGCTTGCCTGAAACTGCTCGAATCAGCATACGGTCTGCTCTGATTTCACTGCGAGGCGTTCTTTCCCCTTCATTTTTCGTGATAGTGTTTGCGCAAAATATTTGCCCAGGACTTGTCCTTGGCTGCGCTATTGGGTGGAGGTGGCCGGAATTGATACCACGAGAGTGTGTTTGTACCATATTGATATCCATCAAATCCAATTGCTGTTTTTAAAAGTAGTTTGCCAGGTTACGGGATGAGGGGCGTAAAGAAGAAACAAAAAACAATGAGAGAGAAAAGGAAAAGAGAGAAAGGAACAAGGAGAGTTATGATTCGGAGTTACAACGATGCGAATTCGATAGGTTACGAGATTGACTTGAAGGCTCTGGAATGAAAACGGTTATGGACGAACGCTCTCTGGAGCTTATCGGATCGTGGCGCAACAACGATAAGAGGCCGACGAATGACGACAGTGGGTGTGGCTGCCCCCCCAGTTGCGCGCATCGCATCGGTGGATCGGAGGGGGCTTCTGGCCGATTTTCGCTGCCGAGTGTGGCTGGAGAAACAGGCACAGGGGGCGTTGGGGTCTCGCAGGTTCGGGTGAGCTCACTTGGGCGGCCTCAGGCCTAAACCACTCGCTAAGTGAACGGATGGGGTCACTCCACTCACCCAGCCGGTCTCTCAGCCCGCGGCAGATACACTGAGGTCCCCCGAAAGTGCGTCGAATGGATGATGGAAGATCCCGAGGCGTTCTCTCTTGATTTTCCTCGCGCACTCCCCTCTCCCACGCCCGCCATTTTGCACCTCCCAGGCCACCTTGTTCCTACGATGAGAATGCCCTAGGATTCTTCAGTATCCTCTTTCAATTGTGCAGACCTCGTCTTTTGCTGAGACAGGATCTCTTTACTTTTTACCCGTCCGTTCACGACAATCCACCCCGTGGCACTTCGCTGCTGCGCCAGGTCTTCGCTTCCTCTTCCACTACTTGGACATCTCCCCGCGCAACACGCCGGCTGAAGTGGCGATGAAGTCGGCCAAAGCAGCGCCAGGAGACACTCCGTCAAGTAGGAGGTCCCAGCCTGTCCGACAGACACGCACCAACCCGCCGCGCGTATCGTCAGGCCTTCGTGGATCTGCCAACGGGCGGGATTCTCTTGCTGGCGGCACTGCTTCCGACCAGCCCATCGACATCTACCCTGCGATAACCTACTTCTCCGATGCCATTGCAGCTCTCCCGAAAGAGCTTGTCCGACACTTCACCCTACTGAAAGAGGTCGATGCCAAAATATTCGCTCCCGAAGATGCGCTCTTCAAGCTCGTCGACGCTGCCATGAACGCGCCCCCTCCGCAGCCCCGACCGGCGAACGATGCGTCTAGTAGTGTCGCGCCTGCGTCAGCTCCAATGAGTACGCAGAACAGCTCTAGCGGAGGTCCTCTCGGCAGTCAAGCTCCCCCTACGGCATCCTCGACCGACGGCTCGTACACGACATCCATCTACGACCCTAGCAACTTCCCGAGGAGACAGTTGTTTCGACAGACAGCTTACAAGATCCAGGAGATGCTCGGATCGTTGGAGGAGAAGAACCATGTCATCTCGACCGCGAATGACGCCCTCCAGAAACAGCTCTCCCGAATTGACGACGTCTGGCCGTACGTCGAGAACGAGTTCAGCGACGAGGCGAAGTGGGGGAGCACTTCGCATTGGGCATATCCCGAGAACAGGGCCGCAACTAAGGCGGCACACACGGAGCGTTCGCGTCGCGAGGGTGCCGCAGCCATCTCTGCCGCAGCCCAGCAGCTGGCTGAGGAGGCCGCTGCCAGGAGCGAGTCGAGGAAGCAAGCAGTCCAGGCCAAGAAGAGCCAGAAGACGGCGCCTCAGGAATCGGATTTTGATGACGCCGAAGGCCGCAACAAGCCAGAAACAGCCAAGAAGGGTCACGGAGGCGGTAAAGCGCGCAAAGCGGCCGAGACCGCTGCCAGCGTAGGCTTGGGTATCTCGACGAATGGCGCGTCGAACGGGGCGGCCCCACAACCCAAGAGACGCAAAGTCGAGAAGACGCCTAGCGGAAACAACGTGACGGAGCGGGCCATGAGCACTGTCTTCGGGGCTACTGCGTCGTCAAAGGCGAAGACCACAAGCCCCAGGGAAACTCCCGCGCCAGAAGGCGGCCAAGGCGGCCCGAAGAAGCGAAAAGCCCTGCCGACGGGCACGGGAGTTGCCAAGAAAAGGTATGTCTCGTTCCGCAAGTGTTTACTTGGAATCCTTTGTCGTCGGTGTCTGACTTGCATATCAACAGCAAAAATGGAGTCGCCGGCATGTCTCCATCGGTCGCCTCCTCTCCCGTGATGAGTACGTTCTCCGACGCCGTGTTGCCACGCGGCTCTCCCGCGCCGACAGTCACCCCCGTACCTCCCGCTCCCAAGCCCCCCACTGCTTCACGAGCCAAGCAGAGTACGACGCAAGCGGCGGTGGAGGGCGGGAAACAGTCTCGGCCGCCATCGTCCGCCTCGGCCAAGCCGAACGGCTATGTGCCACCGCCGACACCAGAGGCAGCACCTCCAGCGCCGTTGCCGAAGCCTGTCGTCGAGGCCAAGCCGGTTGCCAAGGAGCCTTCCGTACCGCCTGCGCCGGAACCTACGAAAAAGGAGCCTGAGCCAATCGAGACGATCATCAAGCCAAGCATACCCGCGGCGAAGCAAAAGAAGGAAACACCAAAACCCGAAGAACCGGAAACGCCTAGCGAGACGCCGGTGCTTCAGACGGTAAACGCCGCCACGGTGACGAAGAGTGGACGAGCCAGCAAGCCATCGACACCAGCGATGGCTACATTTCAAGAGGCAGCAAGGCCAAAGTCGGCCCGCAATACGGAGACCAACAGCACGAGCAAGCGGAAGAAGAGCAACATAATGACAAACAGCAGGGCCATCAAGACGGCAGACCAGACGGAGGACAGCGAGGAGATTGAAGACGCGGAAATACAAGCCGGCAAGCGCAGCTACGACTACACGGAAGACGAACCGACATATTGCTACTGCACCAGCGTGAGCTACGGCGAAATGGTGGCTTGCGACGCAAACAACTGCGAACGGGAATGGTTCCACCTCAACTGTGTGGGCCTCAAGGTTGCCCCCAAGGGAAGCTGTAAGTGTGATGATGCCCGTCGCATCTCTGAGAAAGAAAGAAAAACCGAGAGGCTAACCGTCGACACAGCGAAATGGTACTGCGAAGAGTGTCTGCAGCGTTTCTCGAAGCAGGGCAAAAAGCTCAGCCACAAGTACAACGTGCTACCGGACTCCCTGAACATGCGCAAGCAACGCGGTCCCCAGTATTGATTGGGCCGGGCCGAGCCGACAGAGACGCGTGTGGCGTTTAGGGACAGCGGCGGGCACGAGCGTGATCTTTCGAAAGCGGTACATGCCACGATTCTATACGGCGTTGGTTTTCATTTGGCCACCTGGCATGGAAGTCGACGAAATGCGGGTTTGTCGACTCCTGGATACCTTACCAGCATCGGGATGGAAGTGTGGTAAATCAATAAGGGGGGAGGGAGAGGGGGAGGGCAACAGTACATAACACTAGGCTGCCCCGTTAGGAAATGGAGTAACAGCACATACTGCCGGGACGGCAGAGGGCGTACGGTGTTGCGTGATGAGTTTGCTGGGCGTGCGGGCGATGATCTGGGCCGATATGAGGAAGGGAGGTTTCCCCCGGTGGTTTGGGGATGAGTGTTGACCACCTCTGTCTTTTTTTTTTCTTTCTTCTTCTTCTTCTATTGCGTGTCCCCGTACCGGGATTGGCGGACCTGCATCTAGTTGCGAGCTAGAGCCCGAGCAGCACGAACGTTTCCATTGAATGAGAATTGCATGTCACGACTACTCGAATATCAAGGAGAAGGGGGGAGGGGGGGAGCGCCTTTCCCCGCACCCCATCTTTACCCCTTTTCCCACTTCTCTCTCGTCCGAAGGTTCTCGTTTTGGACTTTTGTGTCGTGGTTCCCCGGTGTTTGAGCCCGACGGGTTTCAACTTTGTGAATCCGGGGAAGCTGTGCCGGGGCAGCAGAGAGAGCGTTCTGTTTGCATGAAGTGGTCGAACCTCTCGTTTGTCCAAGAAGCGAACGGGAAATGTGGCCAGGAAGGGAGGGTGGAAAGGGGGAGGCTTTGCACACGTTTGTAGGTTCCAAACACGGTGTCGGCACTGGAGTAAAAACAAACCCTCCTCTCCAGGCTCCGACGACGGGGAGAAGCGATAGAGACAAGATGAGGAAGAGAGCTCCTTGGGGGGAGGGATATGATCGGCGTCAGTTGTGCGTTTGGGAAGGCCTAAGTAAGACTGGGGGGGGGGGGCGAGTCTCAGAGCAAGCTGAGCTACCTAGGGGTCGGGGTTTCCGGGGTAGAGGATTTGTTGATGAAGACCGCCCCCCCCCCCCCCCCCCCCCCCCTTCTTGGCTCCCCTTTTCTGATAACCATCCGTTGCCTCTTTTTTTTGCTACTAGTAACGTAGGTACGAAGTAGAGGCGAGAGAGAGAAGAACTAAAAAAAGAGTGTGCGGTTGAGCCGCCTTTTTTGCGTGTGCGACCTGGAAATGGGTTGGGCGTCGGAAGAAGCTCGGGGAGGGTTACAAAGGGGGAGGGGGGTGATTCTCTCCCCCCCCCCTCTCCTTCCGGTTTTGGGGGAGAAAATCTGGGGTAGGTTTGGCGGGCTGTGAGTGGACGGTGCCTGCCAAGGGGAGAGAGCCTGTGTGTTGTCACTTTGATGGCAGCGGGACAAGCTCGAGTTCGTTTGGCTGGTTCCTCCTCCCCCCTCGTTGGAGATAAACTAGGCCCGCTTGCTTTGATGGCCTCTCCGTGCATCAAGTTTGGCAAACGATGAGACACACACACACACACACACACACACACACACACACACACACACACACACACACACACACACACACACACACACACACGCGAGCCAGGTACGCCAGCTTGACGGAACCTAGTATCTATGGCCAGGGCATCATCATATGGACGTTTGTGTGTTTTTTGGGGGGGGAGGAGAGGGGGGGAAGAGCGAATGGAGGGTTATGGACACAGGAAGTGGTTTCGAGAGATGCTGGTCGTCTCGCTGTGTTTTCTTTTGCGCGCGTGACCTCGAAATTCGAAGGGGCGGGGAGGGGAAGGGGGCGGTTCTTCATTACTATGACTAACACGCCACGATGCAATGGTCATGAGAAACTCGACGGGTGTTGCAAGGGGCCTGTCTGGCGGCACGTGGCTGGGGCATCGTGCCATGCAGGGGCATGGATGCAGACATTTCTAAACTAATGGCTACTACGGCAGGATGGTTGTGTCGGCGTTTGGACGGCATTTCGTGTGTGTGGCCCTCGCAAACTAGCGTCCGTTGGTCGGCCCTGTTTTGGTCTCGGTAAATACTTGCTCTGTCCCCGGCAGGCATGAGGACAGGGGGGGGAGAGAAATCGCAAAGTCTATCTACTACTAGGTAACAAGCTCTTCTATTTACAGTTTTGCAGTCTGTTCCCCATGCTTGAGTTGAGTATTGGAATGTGGGGGAACGCATACAGACGCTAGAAAAGGTAGGCTCGAAACCGACAGGGTAGCACGAGGCGGCTGGCCTCGGCCTATCAGTTTTCTTTCCTTCTGTTTTTCTTCTGTTTTTCTTCTTCACTCCAGTTTCAACTAGAGTTTTTTTTTCCTTTACCCTCCCGTTTGATTTTTCTTCAGGGTGGATAATCTGGGGCAACAACACGCGGCCCATCCGAGTGCAGGTGTGTCGTCGAGCTCGAACCCACCCAACCGGAGATCCGGCAGGGGTGTCGGGCCCTAAGACTCCACTCGTACCTTTCTGTTCAACGATGAGACGAGACGTCTCTCTACCGTGCTCACCTGCAGCTCTCAGGCCTCGTTCTCGAAAGCCTTCGTACATGCGGCTTGGAGGAGGAGGGTGGGGGGGAGCGCAGAGGGAGAAAACTCGGAGCTGGGCCATGCCCTCTTGACGACCACTGGTATCCATCCATCTATGCCGGAGTTGCTTGGCCTGAGCTCGGGAACGCCTTCCGGGAGAACAGGTCCACCCGGTTCTCCCAGCTCGGAAGGCTGCGTTGCCGCTCCAGACCCGAAAATCGCTTGCCCTGGGCACGTCTCATATACGCACAGCCAGGCTCGCGAGGTGAAGAGAGGTCAGACGACCGCTGGATGGGGCGGCTGGGCCCCCCCCGTGGTCCCTGGCTCAGGCGGGTTGGATGCCAAGCATGTCATCGCCTCGACTTGTCTTCTCCCCAGCATTGCTCTCGCCCGATATGCCAGCGTTCGGGTTTGCGATGACACTAAGGCAGGTATTTTGCCATCTTGCCATCGCGGCCAGAGGGGAACGGGCAACCCAGTCCGGGTCGGGCGGTCTATCCAACGACCAGAACGGACGGACGCCTCGGGTGCGGTACACCGGTGGTGGTGTCGGGTCCTGAAGGTGCGACATGGCGGTGTCCCGCCTGGCACTGGGTGGCTCGGTGTTTGAAACGGGTACTAGGCATTATAGCTAATGCCGAGGAGATGTCTTTGACGGATATGTCTCAGTGGGGTGTGTTGGTATGTAAGTGATTAAGTGAGTACGCGAGTGATTGCGTGTGCGTGTGTGTGTGTGTGCGCGTGCGAGACTATGCGTGTGAGAGCAGCTCAGTCGGGGTAGCTGGGGAGACCAGCACGCTTGTCGTCGACGATCTGGATGCTTGGGCTCGCATATAGTTAGTGTATGCAGCTGACCGAGTTTCCTTTTCCGTCTTATGCGCCTGTTTCCTCTGACGTTCTTGTCACGACATGGTGCAGTTGGGGATGGGGAATGCAACAGTACCTATTTTCCTGGGCTTAGCTTAGGTAATTATTGGTCGCCTCAGATGTTCCCATCTCACAACGTGACTCGAGAGAGAGAGGAGAGACGGAGGAGAAATACGGAAAAAAAATAACTAAATAAAAAACCCCAGGTTTCCATTAGTCCACGCTGGTATCCATTACGTTTCCGAACCGCACTTCATCGCCTCATTTGACCACCTCCCCAGTAATACCAGATTTCCCAACAATACCTAAGCATGGGCAGAACACGGCAAGCCTGCCCAGCACTCACTCAGCTCGGCTTAGCGCTGGGGCCGTTGGCTGCGCTGTTGCCGGTTTCTCGTTCATTCTTCCTATGGCAGTCAGCCCATGGCCCTTGAACTTGGACTTGGACTTGGGACCTAGACTTGGCCCCGGGTTTACCTCTCCACTCTTTTTTCTTCTTTTTCTTTTCTTCTTCGCCAAGCAATCCATCCGTTGCATTGCGCCATGCGCCCATAGCATGGCCTTTTGGTCTCTCGTCATCATCTGCGCTTGGCTTGACTTTCCGTTCCCGACGCACGGCCTCTTCCCCCCCCCCCCCCCCCCCCCCCGCCAGCATTGGAGAGGATGACCATGACCGCACACTATCTATATACGCTATCCTCGGTCAGGTGTTACGGCGGCCTGTCCGGCGAATGTCGGACAAGCAGTGGCGGAAGATGGACATTCCTTGACACATTCCGCGCCTCCGTCGTTCAATCATCGAGCGAACCTCAGCCATGATGATGCCGTGCTTCTTTGCTCATCGGCGGCTGGCCCCAAACTCGATACACACGCAAACACACATAGGCACACAGGCCATTTCCATTACGAAACCCCCGTCCAATGGCAGCTTGCCTGCTTCGTGCGTTGCCAGCACCTTCTTTTTCCTGAGGCGGCACGCCCATCTGGCATCCCATCCCATCCCATCATCCCTCCAACGTGGAGTTTGTCCCTGAACCTGGACCTGGACCCCGACCCCGATCCCATCCATCTCAGGGGGGGCGTTAGACAACGGAACCACTTGCGAACGCCGTCTCCCGTCCGTGAGCACGAGAGAAGCATGTCACCCGGGGGCGTGGCGGTGGTGGTTTGGCCTGGCCTGGCGTACCGTATGTATAGTGTGCACTACCCGCGCCGTGTCATGTCCTGGGACTGACAAGCCCCCCCCCCCCGCCTCCATCTGGATGAAGCTCTGGACGCTCATGTGACGAGCCAAGTCTCCATTCCTTTGTTTCTATTACCCAATTTTTAACCAAGAGTAACTCTTTGCCTCTTCTGCTTGCTATAATAATCTGCGGCCAGCGCGCTCATACATACAGATAGATACATGCGCCCGGCTACAAGCCACTCTCTCCGCATGACGACCGCCCACAACTGCCTGCCTCTTGCGATACACTCCCGGTCTTCAGTTCCATCACCATCACCACCATCACCATCATCACCATAAGCCAGCCCAGTCGCGATCCGTCGTCGTCGTCGTCGTCGTCGTCGTTCCCCTCCTTCGTCACACTTGTATTTCTATCTTTGCCCCTGGTCTTTCAAGTCTCACGCCTAGTCCATATACTTGTCAATCCTCTCTAGTTCTCCCCCCTCCCTTCTCCGACAGACCTGGTATATCACCTCAACGATTGCGAGGAGCACGTCTTGTCTTGTGCCACGCATGCCCTCCCCCCGTCTCGAATTGTTTCCCCCAAGCTGCTCTTCTCGGTCTAGTAACATCACAAATCGGTTGAGGCCGGACCACCTGAACACGCCAAACCACCATCTTCCCCGCATCACCACAATTTCCTCTTACCTAAAAGCCCCGGTCTTTGACTAATAGAAAAAGGCTCTTCTGGCTTTGCTCTGTCGACGCTATCGGCCCCCGGCCTTTGCTGCTTGTCTTCTTCCCAACTCATCCAGCTAGCTCCTCCTTCTGCGTATTGCCCAATCCATTACCACTCGACACACCTACCCGCACCTACATACCCTCATTTCTCCTGTTCCCACCTGCTCAGGGCTAGACAAACAATAAGAGGGACAAACGTGTGTGTGTGTGTGTGTGTGTGCGTGTGTATGTGTGTGTGTGTGCGCGCGCGCGTCTACTTTTTGTGTGTCGTACAAACAATTGAAACAGCAAGCGCAGCGGCCTGCGGACCTTTGAGGTCAAAGTAGAGTTCCCGCAGCTATGGCAGCTCCGCGACCTCTGCAATCGCAAACCTCGTCGTCCCAGAACCACACCCCACCAAGAGCTGCTCCGACAGGCCACAACCAATCTCACACTCTGACCGAATACAAAATGGGCACCCCGGAGCCGCACCGACCTGCGACCCCGGAAAAGAATGGCAGGTCCTCCTTCTCATCCATCCGCGAAAACGACTCGGACCTAGCTCAGACCTTCACCTCCTCCAAGGTCTCTTCCTACGCCCAGAAAATAACCTCTGCCGTCTTCGACGACTCCCCCTCACCCTCAACCTCGCCCGTTGCCTCCCCTTCCCTCGAGATGGGCGAAGTCCAGTTCATGCCACCCGTCACGCTGCCCAGCAGCAGGCTTCATGGCGGCTGGTACCCTGCCTCCAGCTTCAAGGGCTGGAAGCAGATCAACGTCAGGGGCAAGACGGCGAGCAGGAGCTTCAGCGACCTCCAGGCCTTGCACATGGCATGGAGCACTCCCCCGCCGTCTCCCAAGGGCAAGAACGAGCGCGGCAAGGGCCGTGCTCCCATGGAGAGCCTCCCCCTCGAGATACTCGGTGAGTTGCCGTCGTTGTCTCCCTACTTGGAGACCTAACAAGGGCCGGCCTTCTGACTGACTTGGGCACAGGATCCATTATTGAGCTGCTCGTTCTCGACATCCCCCCGCCGTACGGCACCGCGCGCCGCAACGTCGACCTGATGTCGCTCCTGCTGACCTCCAGGACGATCCATGCCGCGACCCTGAACACCCTGTACAAGCACATCACCATCCCTCACTCCAAGATCTTCCGCAAGTTCCTTTCCAACATCACGACGCACCCCGCCTTGGGCACCATTGTGCGGCGCATCGACTTCAGCCACTTCAACAACGCGACCCTATTCGCGTCCGTCAGCGAGCGCAAGGGCACCCGGAACCTGACGGCCGAGACGTTGCTGCAGTGCTTGGAGCTGACGCCGCACCTCCAAGAGTTCCTGGCCATGGAACATATCGACGACGACCTCGGTGCCGAGGTGCTGCAGAAGCTCTTCTTCGACATGCCCCGGCTGCGGGCGTTGGACTTTGCCGGGTGCACGTCGCCCGCGTTCAAGAACGCCTTCACGTCCCTCGTGGCCATGAACTGGCCCGAGATGCTCTCCATCACGCGCCTGTCGTTCCACAAGTGCCTGACGCTGCCGTCGGCGCTGTTCGAGCAGATGCTGCCGCGCCTGGCCGGCGTCACGCACCTGGACCTTGCCCAGACCAAGATCACGGACCGAGCGTTGCAGTCCATCCCGAAGACCGCCAACATCACGCACTTGAACATTGCCAAGTGCACGCTGCTCACGGCGCCCAACGTCATCAACTTCCTCGCGACCCACCCGGCGGTCAGGAACCTGGTCTACTTGAGCGTGGCCACGGACGCTCGGAGCCACCAGCTTCTGGATGTGGATGACGTCTCGCAGCTCATCCCCGTGCTGCCCAAGACACTCAAGTCGCTGAGCCTGAAGGGCAGCCGCATGGACGAGGAGCACATTGCGCTTCTGCGGCCCTTGACAAAGTGCCTCGAGGAGCTTGCCGTCGGGCGCGGCCTGGATGTTAATGCCGCCGCCAAGCTGCTCGAGCCGGCCGACGAGAAGAAGACGGAGGAGGAGCAGGCGGACGAGCCCCACACGTTGCGGTACCTCGACCTGTCGGACCTCTGGGGCAACGAGCTGGACATTGTTGACCTCTTCTCGAGCCGAAACTCGCTGCTGAAGCCGAGCTCGATGCCACTCGAGGTGGTGGAGATCTCGGAGCAGTCATTCAAAAGCCTGTCTCGGAACAGGGCGCTGGAGCGCATCGGCTGGTCCCTGCAGGAGATCGGAAGCCGATGCTGGATGGTCCGACTACAGGACCACAGCAAGGACCAGGAACGCGGTTACCGATGGTGGAAGATGGGCGCCGACAACTGGGGGATGCGCAAGATCCCTGTTGCGCGCGCCGAGGTCGGCGGCATGTACGGGTCCTTCATGTTTGGGCGCAAGCTATGATATGTTTACACACAACGACTGCGCTCTTAAGTTCAGGGGAAGGCGCAGCATTTTCATCCGCAAACCCGTCGACCACCAGCAGCAGCAGCATCGTTTGCATTGTGGTTTGCTTTATTTTATCTTCTTCTTTTTCTTCATCTTGTCTTGCGAGGGATTCCTGGGTTTTCACAGTTTTGACACTTTTTTTTTTTTTCCATCACTCATCAGGCGGCGTTGGGATATACCACAAAATCAAAAAGTACTTTGTTTCGCGGATTGCGGAGTGGAAGCATGGCGCCGATCACGACCAACTCGGAGCTGCGACGGGCAAAAGAAAAAAAAAAACCAAGGCGAGATTTTGACGGCCTCTCAACATTAGCACAATACAGAGGAGAGACAGAGAGAATGAATCCAGAGAAGGAAAGCACTGCAAGCAGCGACGATGGATGACTGGCTTGGATGTACGTTATCTTACCTAGGAGCAGTAGCATAATCCGTAATCGTTATGCTTAGCGCGGTGCGCCAATGAAATGCTCGTGATGACCTACAAAGTTCTGTCTGCCGGCTGGTGTCGTGACGGTCGAAAAAAAAAGGAAAAAAAAAAAAAAAAAAAAAAGAAGCTCCGGCCCCTCCAGTACCTGCAGGGAGGTACATCATTGTGCCGTCATTCCTAGCCAGCATACCCCTGTGCCGGAAACAGCTCCTAACTTTAGTCGCCCGGGCAGGATGTCACCTTAGGTAAGCCGCATCCAAGCTTCTTGGCGGGAAACTCAACCCATCTCTGTGTCGTGTCCCCCGAGGTCACTAGCCTTACGCGCTGACCTCCCGGAATACTAAAAAAAAAAAAACCACCAAAAAAAAACCCCGATAAAAACAAAGGCCAGTTTGTCAGGCCTTGTTGTCGCGCAAGCTCGAGGACGACCGGCTGCTTTTTGAAGCTTGCTTCCTTTACGAAACACCCGGTCCCCGTGCACGATCTGCGTGTCGTCGTCGTCGTCGTCGTCGTCGTCGTCGCCCATCATGGCCTTTGGCTGGGCAGAGTAAGTAGTAGCCACATGTCCCCCTGCTACCCCAACTACATCATCGCCCGGACCTAACATCACCACCACCACCACCATCACCATCACCAATCAAGCTACACGCACACAAATCACGTTGACGAGGCTAACGGCGCACCAGGATTCGATCTCTGCTCCTCGTCTTCGGCCCCATCCTCCTCCCGAAAGTCATCTCCGCCTACAAATCCATTCGCGATGCCTCCCGCCATAGAGCCCAACCCATCGCCCCCCCGCCCCCCGTCGCTCGCGCGCTGGCCATCCTGACGGGCGTCGTTCTCGTCTACCTCGCCAAGTCGCTGCCGCCGTTCGCGCCCGAGAACGTCTTCGCCCTCACGCAGTCTCGCCTGCAGATCCCCGTCGACGTGCTCTTCAACCGCCTCTCCTCCCTCCGGCCCGAAGGCCTGCTGTCGGCCGCCGACGAGCGCCTCCGCGCCCGCTTCGTCAACCTCGAGTCCCGCCTGCTGTACCTCCACCTCGGCCCGGACACCCTCGCCGACTGCCCCTTCTGCAAGTCCGAGGACCCAAAGTCCTACTTCTACTACGCCCTGCCCGCCATCATCCTCCCGCACCTCGTCAACCTCATCGTCCTCGCCGCCGTCACCTCCTCCGCCCTCACCGGTCGCGACGGCGCGCGGTGGCGGCCCTACGCGACCATGGCCGCCGCCGCCCTCGCCTTCGCCGACGCCTGCCTCGTCAACTCGTACGACTACTCGGCCAACTCGACGGCCACGCGCCTCCAGGACCTCGACTTCTTCTACTGGAAGGCCCGCGCGCTGCGCCTCGTCGGCCTGGCCACCCTCGACGCCGGCATCGGCGCGCTGCTGTTCCTGAGCGCCACCCGCCGCGCCTTCGTGCTGCCGCCCTCGGACGCCGAGCGCATCGAGGCCGGCAACCGCGCGCTGATGACGGTCAAGAGCAAGCTCAGCGCGCTGGGCATCGTCAAGAACACCGCCCTCCGCGACGAGGAGCTGCGCGCCCGGAGCCAGGCCTACTGGCTGCGCGAGGGCCAGATGGTGCGCGAGGCCATGGAGGAGCGCGAGGTCGTCGAGAGCGTCAACGATGCCCTCGAGAACCGCATCAACATCCGCCAGGTCACGGCCGACGCAGAGATGTACACCGAGGGGGTCTTTAAGCTGCCCGGGGGGATGGCCCAGGCGCAGTAGACTGGGTGTGCGTGTGCGTGTGTGTGTGTGTTAGTCGATGGAACAGCAGCATGTGTAGAGAGGTTCGAGCCAGCACCCGCTTTCCCAGGGTCCCCGGAAAGCAGAATACGTGCAGTTAGGACCCCGGCTGGCTGAACCTCGTGGCCGTCCGGAGCGGGCAGACTCTCCGAGGCAGTCACATATGGGGGGGCGGCGGGGGAATATATAGACAAATGCGCCACAACCCGGAATTGAAGACCACGTTTTTTTTTTCTTCTTCTTTTTTCTTACTTTCTCCTCTCCTTTAAATACGCCTCTCGGGGCTGGTGGTGAGACCCATCCACCATGAGTGTAATTGTATATCCCTTGACCGATCGTCCGTCCGTCCGTCCGTCCGTCCGTCCAACCCGTTTCGCGTTCCTTCCCCCGACCCCAATCGTACACTCTTCGAGTCCCGACCCGGCCTGTTCTTTGACATCTATAACTAAAGGAGTGGGGTGGGTGGTAACCCGTCTCCTCCCCTCCCCTTCTTACCGGCAGGAAAAAAAAAGAAGAAAAAAAGGGCGAGAGAAATTATGCTGGACGCTCTCGGCGCGCCTAAAGATGCCTTCCCGCCCCCCCCCCCCCGCGCCCATGTCTCACTCTCACAGAACGCCAGAGCAGCTTTTTTGTTTTGTTGGTATAAACATACGTCTTTTTTTTTTTTTTTTTTTTGCTCGGAAGAGTGTATGAGAAGTGATGGAAAGCTCTGGTATACCCAAAACCTCTCGAGGCTCTGCCTCCACCCCCCGCTCCCTCCCTCCCCGCCGTGAAGACCTGAGAAAAGGGCTTACTGGTTCGACGACAACGCCGCCCCGTACCACGACGGCCTCCACTATCCGCCGCCCCGGGTTTCGGGCCTCGTCGGGCCCGTCGCCGCGCTGCTGCCGCTGTCCTTGCGGTCGCGCGGGGTGGCGCCACCGCCGCCGACGGCCGAGTCGAGCCCCTCCTCGGCGCTGCGCTCGAGGAAGCCCGCCCACAGGTCCGCGAGGGACTCCTTGTTGGCCGACGTGGGCGTCTCGGAGAAGAACTCGGCGCTCAGAGACGGCGTGCTGGGCGTGCGGTGGAAGGGCGAGGGCGGGAGGCGCAGGTTGTTGCTGGACGCGCCGGGCCGGGCGAGGCCCGCCTGCTCGCGCTGCTCGTCGGTCCAGTTGAGGTAGCCGGCCATGACTTGCAGGATCTGGAACCGCTTCGGGTCGGAGCGGTCCAGCATGAGGAAGTGGATGAGGTGGTTCGTTACGACTTGTCTGTGTGGCGAGAGAAAGGAAGCGTTAGCGGGGGGTCTACGTGGCAAGAATAAAATAACAAAGAGTACCACGGAAGGAGGAGGAGGAGGGGGCGCACCTGTCGACGTTGTCCTCGGGCTTCGTCTTCTTCAAGTACCGGAGGGCCTTGGTGAGGTGGTCGTTGAGCACAATCGCCTCGTGCCGTAGCTTGCCAATCAGGAGGTTCTTCTCCTTGACCTCCTTCTCGAACGGCGCCGTCCGCTCGAGCTCCTTGGTGAGGTTCTCCTTGGCCGCCTCAGCCTCGGTGGCCCGGGAATCCGCCTCCTGCACGAGCTTCTTCATCGCCTGGAGCTGCTCCTCCGATGTCTCGACCATCTCGCGCAGCTCCCGCTTGCGCGCGTCCTGGATCTCGCGCAGCGCCTTTTGCAAGTTGTCGATGACGTGCGACTGGTTGTCCCGCTCGGCCGCGGCGCTCTCGTAGCCGTCCCGGAGGTTGGCGACCTGCTCCTCCAACTCCGACACCTTCTCGGCCAGGCTCTCCTTGACGGAGCGCTCCTCCATGGCGATCACCTCCCACTCGCCCATGGCGTTGGTCGTCGTCTCCACCTCCTCCTTGAGGTTGGACACGAGCCTCATCAGCTCCTCGCGCTCCTTGACCCAGTTCTGCTGGGACAGGTTGCTGCGGCTGCGCAGGCTCGTCGCCTCGCGTGACGTGTCCTGGAGCTCCTCCTTGAGCTTGGCCACCTCCTCTTGCGATGCCTTGGCGTCATTCTGCAGCTCTTCGTTTTGCGACTCGAGCTCCTCAATGCGCTCCTTGGCCTCTTCCAGCTCGGCGCGGTCGCGCTTGAGCCGCTCGCCGAGCGTCGACTTGAGGTGGTTGACGCGCTCGAGGAGCGCCTGGTAACTCTCCTCCGCCTGCTCCTTGGCTGTCGACGTCTCCTCCAGTTCCGACTTGAGCTGCGTGACAGTCTCGCTGTGCGTCTCCTGGATGGTCTCCAATTGCTTCCGCAGTTGCTCGACCTCTGACCTCAGCGCCTCTCGTTCCTTTGTCAGCGCATCCAGCTTTGCCGTAGCGTCGGAGCTGACTGGCTGGTGCTCTTCCTGGGCCGCCTTCTCTATCGGGGGTTTCGCGTGTCCATTGCTGGTCGGTCGCTCGATATGACCATTGGCCGTCGTGTCTTTGTCGGCTGGCTCGTCGGGCCCGGCTTTTTCTGTGTGTGTAGAGGCCTGCGATGGTATACATGATTAGACACCTGTTCGGTGGAGATGGCAGGGGAGGGATCTAGGGAGTGCCACCTGCACCAGGGCTTCCGGTTCATCATCGCCATCCTCAGCATCCTCGGGCTGGGGGTCTACGCCATCCGTCTCTATGGGTTCCTTGGGGTTTTTCGCATTGTTCTTCTTCTTCTTGCCGCCCTTCTTCTTCCCTGCAGGTGTTGACCATCCGTGTTAGCCCATTCCATCGCATTATGTTGGCGGGAGGGAGTCAATCGACGAACCTGAAGATGCATTTTGAACCGGATCAGTAGAGGGAGCGGCGGCCGACATGGTGACTTCTCAGATGCATCGGGAGGTGGGTTATAGCCCTTTGAGCTGGTGGGCGCGGACAGGAAGCTCTACTTTCTTGAGGGTCGGTCGTTAGGGGAGGGCTGCGAGATGTCGACAGTTTGCAGCTGGCGGGTGTGTATGTACTTACACCACGTAAGCTATAGGTCGCAAATTAGCGAGCGTGTTCACTTGCCATGCGGGAGGTGCTGCTCCCCTAGGTACTCCAGGTCCCCCCACACTGGTCGAGGGGCCCACAAAACATGCCGCCGATAGCGATAAGCGCTTGCTTGCTGGGATGCACCGGCCATAGCCCTTTACCGCTGAGTGCGCGAGTGCGCGAGTGCCACAGGTCAGCCACCCTTTGAACTTTGGCTGTCAAAGAATTGACTCCCTAAACGATCTTTGGTTATTCTATTATGACTGATGGCGATAAAAGTCATATCAGGGGAGTAGTAAGCAGTCCCGGGCATGAGCTATTACGGTGTTCAAAGCACATAATCACCATGTGAAACGGCGGCTTGGACGGCCGGTCAACTGACTAACACGGGCCATAGTAGAAAGAATCAAAATAGGCAGCCAATACGATGATCAGAAACCCCGTGTAACCCCCATCTGTCATCGTCTTTTGATCGTCTTTTGGGTCGTCAGATGACCCTATACGAGCTGCATGATATGACAGAGGCTTACCAAAGTACTCAAGGTATATAAAATACCTGTATACGACATGCATCCCCACGGCGCAGTACGAGATGCAAGGTAAGGTGCGCCGCGCTGTGTGCTGCTAACTGGCGCAAACCTCGGCCGGGCGGCGGGTCCGGCGGGATTAGTCATCCTTATCTTATCGAGCGACGACCCCCTCAAGAAGGGTCTGCTCTGTCTGGAAATTTTTCCCTTTCCTCTTTTCTTCTTCACATATTTTACCCTTCGCTGAAATATCACTCGAACAAGCGCATCTTCCATTGACTTGTTCACCTTTGACGCTGAAGCAGACCGATATCCGCCTTTTATAATCCCGGTGCTTGCCCAAATTCTCATGAATTTCAGATGGGTGCGACGGGTTCGCTATGCGCGTACATGCTCTCATCCCTGATGTTACCTATGTAGATGTATACGTACATGTCCGTGTTTTTTGATCTGACTGGACTCCCGAACGACGAAACGCAGTAGCATACCCTATGCGGAACAATACTTTTTTTGATAGATGGCCCAATAGACAGACGGGGAAAAAACACTTCGTGACGAGGGGATATCATTAAAGAGCTTTCAAGCCTTGGACTTTCTCCGGCCCCCCTTCTTCGCCTTGCCCTTGGCAGATTTGGGCGTCTCAACCTCTGCGGCCTCCTCCACAGCAGGCTCCTCCGCGGTCTTCTCCTCCTCGACCGCCGCAGGCTCGATCGCCTTGGGCTCCTCGGGGGCGTCGACTGCCATCGGCTCCGGCGGCGGCGCGACGGCCTCCTTCAGCTTGGGAGCCTCGAACTCGTACCCGATCTCCTTGAGCTTCTGGGCGCGCTCCAGCCTCTTCTTCTCCTCCTTGGACACCTTGTGGGTCCAGCCCGATTCCGTCCGGGGCTTCGCGATCTCGCCGGCGGCGATCTTGGACCACGGGATCTTCTTGAAGCGCTTGTTGGCGCCCTTCCAGACGTCCTCGTGCAGCTGGTCACGGGGGACGGTCTTGACCTTGAGGATGTGGCCGAACAGGAGGTAGCTGTCCATGGTCTTGGAGACGATTTCGGCCGTGCTCTCCTCGGCGAACTCGATGAAGGCGTAATGCTTGCTGGCGCCCGTCTTCTTGTTGCGCGCCAGCCTCAGGCGGTTGATGGAGCCGAATTGTGAAAAGTACCCCTTCAGCTCGTGCTCGTAGAAACCGTGGGGCAGCCTCGAGATGAAGACGACGCCAGGCTCCTCCTTCTTGCCGTTCGTCAACTGCTTCTGCTTCTTGGCGTGCTTCGGGACCTTGCCAACGTCCATGCCCTCCTTGAAGGTTCCGTTGCCGGCGGGCGCCTTCTCGGCGTCCGAGTCGAGGCCAGCAGCGAGCGCCTGGATGTCGGCGTCAACCTCATCGTCCGAGTTGCCGCCATCATCCAGAGCAACGACAGACTCCTCTGCAACCTCGGCGACCTCGGCGGCCTCGGGCTCGGCCTCCTTGACGGGTTCGGGTTTCGACTTCTTCGACTTGGCGCTCGCCTTGGCAGGCTTCTGCTTCTTCGCGGCGACGGGGGATGCCTGAGCCTCCTCGGGAGCTGCATACGTCGCACGTCAGCCGATGCACACATGTGACATTATATCTGAGCATACCTTTACGCTTGGTAGCCTTCTCGACCTTCTCGACCTCCTCGACCTCTTCGGCCTTCTCGACCTTGGTTGTCTTCTTGGTCGTCTTCTTGGTCACCTTCTTAGGCTCGACCTTCTCGACCTTCTCGACCTCGGTCGTCGTCTCCGCGGGCTGCTTCTCGGCCGCAGCCGTCGCCGCTGTTGTAGACAATTAGTCACTTGAACAACAGTCGCGCAGCATAGACCAAACTCACATCTGGTTCTTCTTCTCAATTCGGGGGCCATTTTTGCGATTTTGTTCTGGCACTTGTTGTCGGTCCCTGAAAAAGCAGTGGTCTCCACACATGACCGAGTACAGGCGCGAAAGCAAAAAAAAAAACTAAAAATTTCCTAGATTCTGCCGCCCTTACACAGAGGCGGTGAGGACGGAGCCCCGCCAATGCGCTGCTCGCAACCGCCCAAGCCAGCAACTTTTTAGCGGGGCACCAGTGCTGAGAAAAGCGAGAGGGCCCATCCTCTCCCAGCACCACCGGCGCTAACCTTAATTGTGAAGCTGCTGCTATCAACTGTAGAAGCTCACCAATGAACCGCACTTCCCATGTTAAAGCTGTTGATGCCTACTTCTTCTTCTAGCAAGAATCGCGAAGCCTCAGGCTGATGAATCGATAACGACAAGAACCGTGAATTACATTCCGCAGTCAGCGCTGTCTAATCCCAGCCAGGCTCAGAAGACAACCATCTCACACTTACCGATCCCGGAACCACAACGATCCCAACAACACACAGCGCAAATAACCCGGAGCTGGTCGGAATATCAGGTTCCATAACAGAATAGAGCCGGCCACAATCGGCAATTTCTCAGCAGACGGATTCACGAACAGCTACTTGGGAGAACCTCTCTTCCCACAGCTCTTTGGGCCTTGACAGACGCTTTCTGGTCTCACAGCCTACTGCGCCAGTCTCCCGTTGCTTCAGTGCTTCTGCTTTCGACAGTCTGAGGTTCTCAGCAGGCGTCGTAATTGGTGCTCAGATATTTTTCTGTCAACATTAACAGACTAGGACCGGTTCTCTCAGACACGGAGGATCGAGCTCAGCAGTATGGCTGACAATCATATCGAAATGACGCATGCTGAGATGTGGGATGACTCCGCCCTCATAAACTCATGGAATGAGGCGCTAGATGAGTACAAGGTGAGTGATCCCCCTCCGCGTCTCAGAACGGGCGACGGTTCCGTTGTGAGCAGTAGCTGATGGTCCTGGCAGAAATATCATAGCATCCACGCCAAAGGGGGCAAGCTCGAAGACGGTGATCTCCAGGGGGAAACAGAGCCCCAGTACGGCTAGCCCTACCCCTTGAGCATCGCGGAAACCACCCTAGGGAAAGAAAAAAAAACCCCTCTGACATGTCATGATCGCCGCAGGACCATCGACACGCAAACGGAGGCGGCCGATCAGCCAGAGATCGTGGACGACGATGAGGGAGGCAACAAAACAAAGGGGGCGGCTTGCAGCAGCACGGATGTAAAACAACCCATCGCTCCCTCCCCTCCCCAGGTGAAAATCCAGGCGGATCAGAAAAGCTTGGCTTTTTTCGTTCATGCGTTCTGTTCACGTCCACTAACGTGTCCCTTGCTCGCTCCCAGGTTCAGACAAACCCAAGCGGCGTGGCTACCGCCGAGGCAATCCCAGGTCCTGCGACAACAGGCCCGCAAAGCCTCCTCGGCACAGGTATGCAAACACTCCCGGCGGTCGATTGGGTGTTGGTTGGAATGACATTAGCCGCCCTCTCTCCCTCCTGGGTGAAAGGATGAAAGAAGCCGAGACTAACCATGGAGCTTGCAGTACAAGACGAGGGCCTTAAAAGACTCTTGATGTCGTGGTACTACGCTGGATACTACACTGGACTGTACGAAGGCCAGCAGCAGCAACAGTCCAAGTAGACAGGCTCCGAGGATCCGGAAGGACGGGGCTGAGTGGCATCCTGGGGCCTGCGACTGGAAAGCAAGAAGCTGTGTGGGGAATGGGGTGAGGTTGACGGCCTTGAGGGGCGGCTACGAGAGAGCCTATCTGATCGGCACGCGGAAGGGCAAGTTCTGTGACAAGATCCGTTCCATCGTCCGATGATGCAACAGCGCCACACGGTTCCTTGTCTGAGGTTGGCCGTGGTATGTGTCACACGAACGCCAGTGGCAGCTCACGAATCCTACTACACCACTCTGGGTTTGCCGTGCTGTCCGTCGTCCCTCTTGCGCACCAGCCTTGGGGGGGGAAGGAAATTGGAGTACGGTCGGGGGGAACGTGGGGCCCGGCAGACAATTAATTCCACAGAAATTTAGCGCGCCTTTTTTGTCCATCACCGCTGCCCAAGAAGGCGTTTTGTTTCACCGCCGGCCGGGTCTAGGGCTTGGTTGTTTCTATTGAGGTGCGCACCCCGGCATTCTTTTTCTCCTTCGTTTTTCTTGACATGCATAAAAATCGGGCTTTCACTGCGCTTTTACTATAACCCCGGGAAATGAAGGGCAGGGTGAGGCCACGAGTCTTCGAGGCCGTACCTGGACGTGGGAGGGGGCCAAGACCTGACAAGGCAACGGCGCGTCCGGCTCGTCCGGCTCAGAAGAGATGACACCGGCCTAATGATGAGGCCGGGGGTGCTTAGCGAAGACCGGTTTTTTTTTTCTTTTTTTCTCCTTCTCTCCTTTCCCAATTTCTCGGAGGGGCCTTGATCGGAAACAAACTGCGAGGCATTGCGATAGAAGAAAAACGTGGAGTTGCAGGCGATCGATCAGCGGTTGCGGACAATTCCAGGCCCCGTTTTCGGGCGTGCATTTGACGATTGTTTGGCGCACTCCTGCAATGTGAATGTTTCTCAACGGACGATGTATGTATTGATGTCCAACAGAAACTGCGACACGCATGGCGTTGGTGCTCCCCCCTCTTGGAGAAGGTATTCTTTCTTGGAGCGGCCCATCATCGGTAGTGCACGAAAGGGCATGAAGATCCTCTCTGATCAGGCGACATCATCGTCGACATGATTAGCCACAGATGGCGGGCAACGGCTTTGGGAATAGAGTTGGGCTGGGCGGGAGGCCAAAGCTTCCATGCCCAGGCGCCCAGTGACGTCGAGGCCAGGCTCTTTTTCGCGACTACTCCTCCGCGACCCGGGCCCGGTGTGGCGGAGCGTGAGTGATGGCAGTGCTGGAAGGAAGACCAGCCGACGACACTTGGGCTCTGCGGCGTGCCGTGGGATGGATGGCCGGATCTTAGAGTTTCATTTCATCTTTTTTTTTTTTTCTATTCGTAGATGCTTGATTTTCCCTTGGTCTCCTTGTTGCTTTTGGGCTACCCCAGCATTAGGATGATCAACGGGTGGCCAGCTGGCCGGGTTGAAGCATCATGCTGGAAGCGAGCGCAGATGGGTAGGCAGGGCGCATGGATCTATGAGGAGGGGGCCGGGATGTGATGGGACGGACAGAGTTGCGGTCGCAGTGGTGTGGCTGCTGACAGTAGGCGGGTTGATGGGCAAAGTTATGCCAGTAAGAAGGAAAATATCATTTATAAAAATAAAATAAAATAAAAGAGGGGTCTGGATGAGGGGTGACATTGGATCGACCTGTGGTTGAGGGTGCGAGTGAGAGAGCGAGCGAGTCGAGTTTGGGTGGGACGGGCTCGGGTTGGCCGGTGCCGCTGCCACTGCCACACTCTCGTCACCTCTGCGACTCTTGGGACTTCTTGGTAAGGTGGACCGGGAAGAGAGTCGGCCGTGATTGCGACCAGAGCGAGGTGGAAGCCGGCGGGCGTGCAAGAAGAGACACAGAGAGGGGGGGGGGGGGAGAGAGAGAGAGAGTGTGTGTGTGTGAGTGGAAGGGGAGGCGAAGGACTCAGGGCGGGCCTGTTTCACCGTCCAGGTAGGCTTGTTTGAGGCGACTGCACGCCCAGCATCAAGGTGTTTTGGCAGGTCGGGCCCGGGTTGAGTCGTGTGTACGATGCGATGCGAGGTCATGCTAGCCGTGCCGATGCCGGGTTCAGTGGCCTTTGGGACTGGCTGACTGGCTGGGTGACAGGGCCAGAGAAGCCGGAATCCGAGGCAGGGAAAAAGTACGATGGGTGTAGAGGCCCGACGCAGGACTGAGACGGAAGCAGGCGCCGTTAGTTTTGCTCTTCTGTGACAGGTGCACGTGCCGGGTATTGGTTTGTCACCGTCTAGACGGGGAGATTGGATGATTTGTGTTCTGGTCCGTAAGTTGTAGGGAATCGGGAATGGGTATGCGTACCGTTGAATGCGGTGTCTCGTCTCGTCTCGTCTCGTCTCCGCCTCTCTTCCTCATTCTCTACGTGTACCAAGTAGTCCGAACCTCCTGCACGCCAGGCAGGCTAGATACCTAGTGTACGAGAGACGTATCTTTCTGGCGCCGGCGAGTAAGGTTGAGAGTAGAGTTGTATTCAGTCTGGGTACCTGCAGGAACGGATGTGGCCCAAACGGTGCAGAAGAGTGGGAAATGATTTGAAAAGAGGAAGAAATGGTGGGACGCCATCCCGTCGCTTCGGCAGCTAGCCCAAACTCGTTTAACGTGTCGGGGAGGAGGTTCGACCACCTTAATTGGCCACATTAAGGTTTAGCACCGTCCCCCTTTTCCCAAGACGGCGGTCGACGGAAAGAGTTCGATTGAGTAACTCACCACGGAGAAGAAGTAGGTATGGGCATTCTTTGATACCCTCATTTTGGACATGAGGGTCGTTGCGAGATCTGTCGGGGGGGGGGGATTAACATATCGGTCTACGATGTACGGGTAGATACCTATCCATCTACCTACCAACTTCGCGGAAGACAGGTAGTAAGCGAAGTGAGGCAGGCACCTTTGCCTGGTGCGTACTTACCCAAAGCGGTGGAAGTACCTAGGTACCTAGTGTAGACTGACGTGCAGCTTGCACCCACCCACATACAACCCCAACCGTGGGTTTTTTTTTTTTCCCCCTTCTTTCCCTTTCATCCCATCCACGACAACCTCTCGACTCCCGCGAGAATTGCGCAAATCGGAGCCGAATGCTCTGTTCCAAATGGTATGCCGTCTTCCCGCTTCAATTCTCCCCTCTTCAATGACTGAGAGGCCTCCTTAGCCACCGTAACATGCAGAACCCTTGGGTTCGACGCTGCTCAACGTCTGAGCCAACCACTGTCTTCGGAAGAGCGGCCAGGGGGAGGGGACCACTTAGCGAGATGCCAAAACACGACTCGAGACGAATCTGTCACAGCTCCCGCCCGCCTCCTGGTGCAGCCTCCCCGCCTCTACCACCTCTTGGTGCTTGCTCTCTCTCTCCGGCCAACCTGTTGCCCGAACTGCTGCCTCCTCGACGAGCCACCCGCTACCGCTGGCCGAGAGACTTCAACCTTTGTCAGTGCCAAAGAGAGAGAGAGAGAGAGAGAGAGAGAGAGGAAACAAGGCCATTCCAAGCATCAGTCTTGCCCTGTGGCACACTAAGCTCCTCATGCATCATCGACCTTGCTACACTGCAACCGCGTTGCCTTCGTGCTTGCTTACTGCGCCCAGCCTTGGACCAGTACCTTAGTCCATCATTCATCCCTTCGCCAAACCCCCACCCCTGCCTCATGTTCCTCCCGACCCTGACCCCTGCACACCCCTACCACCCTACATCCACATCTCGTCTTGGCTTTTTCTTTCTTTATTTGCCCCAGCCTTGGGATGGCAATACCACCATCGGCCTGTGCTTCGCGTGCTTAATCGGACGCTGCGTCCCCGAGCGACGAACCTCACCCCCTTCTCGACTCCATCTCCCACTCACCACCCCGTAGAACCTTCTTATAGAATAGTCTATCGTCCAGGATCCCAAGGGGGTGCTGCTTGGCTGTGCTTGGCCGGGTCAGGCCGGGATGCAAAGTGCCCTCCAGACCCTCCTCTCGTCCAAGGACGGGCTGGCGGAAGATTTTCCTCGTCCTGTTTCGTCGAGGTCAACGTTGTGGCCGGGAAGGGGCTGTCCCATGCCATGCCATGCCCTGGACAGGCCTTTGCACACACACGCGCACACACACACATGCATGCACTCGCCCAGTTAGTCCACTGGCCCAGGACATGGATGGCGAACTGATAATGTTACATGGCTCGCGCTCCATTGTGCTTGCGAGTTTCGCTTGATTTAAGCTCTCCATATCCCCCCCTTCCCTCAGCCCCTAAAAGGTTTCTGTTTTCTCCCCCTCATCTCCTCTTCATCCGCCTCGTGTCTTCACTCATTCCTTGTGTGACTTTCGTTCTCTTTCCGATTCCGTGTTTATTCTACTTCATCACGAGCAGGCCCTCGCCATTTACGCCATCCAGCTTTACTAAACAGTTTATTCCTCTGTCGACTTTCGATCGCCCAGACTCTAGTAGTCTCGCAACAAAGTAAATCTTCCCGAAAACAGAAGGAAAAAGAGAAGGCAATTCAAAAGGTCACCGCCCTAATCGACAACCGAAACAACCGTCAACATGAAGTTCTCCGCCGTCCTGTCCCTCTCCGCCGCCGCCTTGGCCTCGGCCAAGTCCGCCCGCAACAGCTACCCCGTCCGCCGCGATGCCCACCAGGCGAGGACTAGCGAGCTTCTCGCTGGCCTTCCCTTGGGCATGACCGGTGCCGGTATCACCAACTCCCAGGTTACTGAGGTCATCATCATCTGGGCGAACCCCGGTGCCGGTGCTCCCACGGTCAACATCAACCAGCCCGCCGGCGGCGTCGCCGCCCCCCCCGCCGGTGCTCCCCCGGCCGGTGCTCCCCCGGCTGGTGCTCCCCCCGCCGGTGCTCCCCCCACCGGTACTGCTCCCCCGGCTGGCGCGACCACTCACCACGTAAGTCGACCTTCCTGGCCGGATTCTGGAAAGCCTGCTGACTCCCGCTTCAGGTTACCGTTGGCGGCGCCGCTGGTCTCGTCTTCAACCCCGATCAGGTCAAGGCCAACGTCGGTGACATGATTGTCTTCACCTTCATGAGCCAGAACCACACCGTCACGCAGTCCGCCTTCGCCACGCCTTGCGACCCCCTCGCCGGCGGCATGAACTCTGGTTTCATGGCCAACCCCAACAACTCGGTGACCCCGCCTCCCCAGGTCGCCATGCAAGTCATGGTTTCCGACCCTCTGTGTAAGTCGTCCAGCGAGAGAGAGAGAGAGAGAATGCGGCCGGTCCGTGCCATCTGACTAACACGAAAATAGGGTTCTACTGCGCCCAGAACGGCCACTGCGGAAAGGGCATGACCTTCTCCATCAACCCCACCGCCGCGAAGACCCAGGCCATGTTCCAGTCCATGGCCATCGCCCAGAAGGGTAAGGGCGCTGCTAGCCCCATCACCGGAGGTACTCCTGCCGCCCCCGCCGCCCCCCCGGCCGGATCTGCACCCGCCGCTGCCGCTCCTGCCGCTCCCGCTGCTCCCGCCGCCCCTGCTGCGCCCGCTGGCGGCAACATTCAGCAGGGCTCTGGTCAGATCAACGGCGCCGGTGCTTGCGTATGTGCCGTCACCTGCTCCTCTGGCTCGTTCCCCGTCAGCGCTCAGGGCGTCGGCTCTTTCGGCGGCATGGCTGGTTCTCTCCCCATGAACATGATGGAGGCATAAATGAGGGGTACGGGTTTCGTCGAAACACGTGGCTGAGTAAGAAGACTTTCCCGCCTCTTACTAACGCACCCCCCATTTTCCTTTTCATCGCATCCGGGAAGAACTACTGTTTTTTACCCACTCCGCTGGGAACGATACCACATATCCGGAGTTGTCACGTCACACATCACGGGGGGCTCTCACGACCTTTTCTCTTTTTTCTTTCTTTTTTTTTCATCATGTAGATTTCTGTTTGGTTGCCGAGACGATACGGCGGAAACGGGAAAAGGAGCTGGGGAAAATCACAGTCGCAGCCCGCCCTTCCCCCCTTCGGCCTGGATGGCCTTGGGTGGGCTGGATGATAGAAACCTCCTTGTCCCTCTCCTCCCCAGCTTGACTTTAGCTCGGGGTCGAGTCCCGCTCCCCCTCGTCTCTTGGAGGGGATGTCTGGAAGGGGTTGAGAAGGTTTTTAGGGGATAATTACAAGAGTATGAACTGGTTCGTATTTCCTGGATGGAAAAACATCACCGATTTTTCGCAACCACCTAATAGGAATAAATGGATGATGAACGATCACGTACCCCGGTTCCGTCGCCATTTTTCCGTCTCGCATGTGAATGTGTGTGTGTGTGTGTGTGTGTGTGCTGCATGACTTTAGACCTGGCAGCGGAATGGAGCGCCAGAACCAATGTGACCCGGGGAGGCCAAGAATAGCAAAGATGCGCCCTCCCCCCCTGTTCCACACAAGAGGCATTTGGATTCTTGTTACACAGGCATCTTCACGCGAACTCGGTTTGATCGACCGATCGAGGCGTCGTGCCCCTGGTTCAGGCAAGGGCATCGTGGGATCTCAAGGAGAGAAGACGAAGGGGGGGGGGGGGGGTGAGATTGGGGGCACAATCGCGCAGGAGCCAACCGAGACCCCAAGTCATGGAAGTGGGCACCCGCGTCGGGTTGTGTGTGTGTGTGTGTGTGTCAACGTCTCTGGCGTGGTATGCTGTTTTCGCGGGGGCCGGCGAGGCGACGGGGTGGGACGGACCGAGTCATACACAGTCTCCAGAACGGGGGGGGGGGGGGGGGGGGGGGGAGCACACGGCGGAAGCTCTTGGTCGTCCAGCCTCGGGGGTTCCGCCGCGGGGAGGTCCATCCCGTCCGTCAGGCGGGCTTCCCGTCTTTTTTGCTCTTAAACGGCCTCGCTGTCCTGGACCAACACGTCGGGACCGGGGGCTTGATGATGACCGACGTGTCAGTTGGAGAGGATATGTCTGAAGCAAAGCGAAGCAGAGAGAGAGAGAGAGAGAGAGAGCGAGAGAGAGCGAGCGAACCGGAGAAGAACGAGTCTCTTCTCCCCCCTCTGCCGTCTTCGTGTGGTTTCTTCTTCTTTTTGCATGTTTTCTTCTTGTCAACTGTCAGGCATATGTGTAGTACATGTAATACGCTGTCCGACCCCGGATTTGTTCCCTCCTGCGCCGCATGCACCTTTCTTGCCGCCGCTTGAAGAATGAGAGTGTAACGGAATAAAATAACATATAAAAAATTGAAATAGAAAGAGAGAGCGCTCTGATATGAATTATTCGTCTTGTCGTTATTGTTTGTTTTTTTGTGATTTTCTACCTTTTCTCTCTTCCTCTCCCCTTGCCCCCAATCCCGTCCCCGTGGTCCGAGTCTCCGACGCTCCACCCATCGCTTACTCATCACGCACACGTCCCTCCGACCACCGAGGCAAGGTGCGCGGCATCACATGGGCCCGAGTGGCGTTGCGGGAACGACGGCGTGAGCGACGAGGGAGGCCGCGGTCCGTCTGGAAGACGAGAGGGAGACAAGAGATTGTCGGGGGAGAGGATTCCCCCCACGCCTCGTCTATTTCTTTTTGGAGCCTCCCGCTCCTTCCGCTGCCTTTCTGGCCTCAGCTGCGCACGCATCGTCAGCATTTCACGCTCTCATCATCATCAGTCATCACTCATCAGTCATCGCGGTGTTCCATCATATCGATTCCCGCGCCTTTAAACACCTCCAGACCACCTGGCCGTTGCTCCTTGGATGAATCTACCTCGCGCCATCGGACCGACGCCCTCGCGAGGCCAGCCACGCGGCATCACGACCGTAGGCGGGCCGGCAGCCGAGGAAGACGGTGGATGGAGGGGAGAAATGAAAGAAGGAGGGGGGAGGACGAAAAAGCCGAAGAGAAAAGAAACAGGGACTCACCGGCGGCCTGCTTCTGGCGCATGATCTCGGCGGCAGTCTCCTTGGCCCGCTGCATCTCGGTGCCGCTCATGGTGTTCCCCTTCTTCTGTACGTCGCGGGCGAGGCGGTCAGCAATTCGTTCTCACTCGCGATGCATGTGCGCGCTCCCCTCCGCGGAGCTCTGTCCCGGGACACACGACGGCCGTCCCCCGTCCCAGCGCCGCCGATCCCCCTTCTTACCCCACGTCCAGAAAGACACACTCGTGCCCTCCCAGCCTTGCTCCCCTCTGATCCCCACCGCAAGACGCAAGAGTCTCCAGACATCTCATGGGCGGCGGCGGCGGCGGCGGCGGCGCAGAAACGGCGTTGCGGGCGAGAGAGAGCGGCGATGGTCCAACACATCACCAGAGAACCCTCCTCGTTCCTCCCCCCTCCGCGGGACGCGTCGTAAGTCGGGAAAAGGGGTGCAGAAAACGGGTCTTACCTGAGCCGCGGCCTTCTTCTGGGCCGCCTCGCGGGCCTTATCGCGCTGGTTGCCACGGGTCATTTTTTTTTCCTTCTCTTTCTTTGTTGATGTTCCTCCTAGTTTTTCAGTCTTTCGGCGTGATGATCTCCAAGATGTTTGCGTTTGCTCCCCCTCTCGCTATCGAGTTGGAAGCAAACAAAACAGATGAAAATGACGAGATTTAAGCTCGCGAAACAAGTTGCGAAAGAGGAGAAAAGAAAAGTGGGCTTCGCGTGGTTGTCGCTGTTCGGGGCCTTTTGTGTCTCACAGAAGGGGGGGGGGGGGGTTGTGAAGGAGAGAGAGAGTGGCGGCGTTAGAGGGAGGGAACAAGTAAGAAATAAAATTAGAATAAAAAAGGGTAAAGGAAGGAGGCCTCGACAACTACAAATTGCGGTCTGGCCTTTTTTCCTTTTTTTTTTTCTTCCTTTCATGGCATGGCATGAGCGCGCCTGCGTATCGGGCTGTGTGTGACCACCCACCACCTGTAGCATGTACTGTAGGTACGGAGTACTCCGTACTGTTCTAGAACCTCCTGTCGTCCCGTGGGGGGACGGTCTGCGAGCCAATCACGTCGCGCCGTTGGCACTCGGTCACTTCACATGCTCCACCCCCTTTACCGGTGTATTTTCCCTGGAGCCGACCGAGTCTATTCAAGAGGCGCCAAATAAAGCTACACAGACGCAATCCTCTTCCAACGCGTGCGTGTCGCGTGTCGCGTCACAAGTCACAGGCGCATCGGAAATGGGCAAACTTTATTCTCGTTCAAAGTTCCTTGTCTTGAATCATCTGCCTAGATACATGCGCGGTCGTAGGGTCTTTGCTGTGGGCAACTTGCTGATGAGCATTCGCAAATCAAGCCAAGTCATCCCCCGCCATCTCCGCTTTCGCCGGCCGAAAGAAGTGAGAAGGAAATAAATTAACGCCCATGATCGTCCCTATAGTTCTCATACACACTCAAGAAACCTTTCTCCCAATTGCAGAAGGCCGATCGAATCTGTTCCAGAAACCCCCTCCCAAAATGCGAGAGCAACATTCGTCCCCCTTGATGAACCTCCCAGCCTTGCCTATTCTATTGTCCTCCCACTCAGAAAGCCGTGGGCGGTATTACCAGGGGGCCCATCGCGAAACCAGCAAACGATGCCAAACTACGTGTGAGAAAGAAAAAGAAAAGGAAAAAAAAAGAAAGAAAAAAGACCCCCCAGTAGAAAATGCCTTCAATGCTGTCATGTCCCGACGTCGATTGACCCCATTGCAATGCGCGTGCATGCAGTCGAGCATCTCTAGTCGTGACTTCGAGTGGAGAGATCCATCGCAACGCAGAGCAGGGCAATCCAATGGAGCCCGCAGCACACCGCAAAGGCCATAGCTCGTAATGGGAAGAAACCAATCTCTTCCGGAAAATCGTCGCGCGTCTCGTGATCAGCGTCGTAACTGGCATATCGTCGAATGAATTAAGCCCATGTCATCGTCGTGAGCCCGATCCAACCATGCACCAAGGAAGAAAGCTGGCAGTGTCTCCCTTTCCGTATGAAGAGCGAGCGTAGAGAATAGAAGAAGAAGAAAAAAGCAGAAAGGTGCCGGAAGAGACAAATGAAAAGCAACAAGAAAGGAAAAAGCGTTTCGTCTATGTCGATGTGTCGCATCGAATCAAGTACAAGCCTATTGGAGGCTCCGCCCGACCTGGTGACGGCTGCCGAGAAGCAGAATGCGATTCTTGTGTTGTTTTGCGCTGCAAATGCCGAAAGAGGGCACTCAATACGCTGCCCGGATCCATAGTGTACACACAAAGCTGGCCTCTGCAACCGGTTGCAAAGACCGCCGTGCTCGACGGATGAAGAGGTGGTGTGGGGTTGTGAAGTTGTATGGTTGGTGGATGATTTTTGGTGTTTGCACAGACAGTCAAAAGGAAAAGAATCATCAAGTCGTTGCTGCGTGTTGTCGCTGTGCTGTGTCGAAAAGAAAACCGTTGCGGAAAGCATCATGCCGCCGCCGCCGCCCATCGTGTCCGTTGTCAAGTGCCTGCGCCCCGCTTCGTACCATTAGGAAGTGGGATCCCGGGTGCCAAACAACATCGACAACGCGTCGAATACAATTACAGCCACTGGGTCTCACCGCCGGCGCCCGTGTCGGCAGCTGCGCCGCCGTTGGTGCGCTGCTGGGCGTTGAAGCCGAACTGCGGCATACGCTGGCCCTGGGGGCCGGGGGGAGGGACTGTGACGTTGCTGGCCGCGGGGTAGCTGGCCTGGTTGCCGCGGGAGGCCATGGCGCCGTTGAGGCCGTTGCCGAAAGCACCGCCGGGGGAGATGACGGAGGTGTTATTGGACATGGCGCGGTTGTGACCGGGGCGCAGGGGGATCTGGCCCTGGCTGGGGTCCGCTGGGGTGACCTGGCCGCTGGAAGTGGCGCTACCACGACCCTCGAACGCCTGGATCTTGGCCTGGATGCGTCGGCCGTAAGGGGTCGAACGGATGGAGGGTAAGATGGGGCGGATGGCGTCGACCAGGCGGAACTTGCCGTGGGGGGTCGCGTACTCAAGGGCGGTCTGGATGACGTAGTTGGCGTACGAGTCGCGCAGGAGTCTCTCGATCTCGCCGGGGGTCAGGAGCTCCTCGACAATCATGTCGCGGGAGGGCTCCTGGGAGCAGCGCAGGCACTTCTCAATGACGTTGGAGCTGAACTTGTGGCGGGACAGCTGGCCGATGCGGTTCTGGAACATGCGGACAATGGGCTCCGTGAAGGAAGGCTCGTTGAGGTCGATGATGTACTGCACAACGTAGTTGCCGAAGGGGTCCTGGACAAGGATCGGGGCGTGCTCGGTGATCTTGGCAATCAGCCAGGTCTTCTGGTCGCCCGAGGCGTGGTCGATGCAGCGTTGGAGGACGCAGCAGCCGTGGCGGTGGGTGCCGACGTCGACACAGTTGGTGCCGACGGCGTCAAAGATGAACTGCGCGTCCTGGGCGCTAAGCTTGTTGAGACACTTCTGGATGACGTGGTTGCCGTTGAGGTCCTGGATGAGCTCGACGACCTGGAAGCGAAGGGCGTTGATGATCATCTCGATCTGGGTGGGGGTGGTGACGAACTCAATCATCTTCTGGAGCGCGCGGGTGCCGTGCTGGTTGAGGGCAATGCGGACCATGTCGGCGGCAGCGTTCTGGATGAGGACGGTGCGCTCATCGTCGTTGCAGAACTCCAAAAGCTTCTGGCACAAGTAGTTGCCAAAAGGGTCCGTCATGAGCTCGATGACGTGCTGGTTGGTCTCGAGCCAGATCATGTGGACCTGCTCCGGGTTGCGCTCCTCAAGCTTCTTTTGCAGATAGCGGCAGCCGTGCTGGTCCTTGCATAGATCGTAGATCTGGCCACCGACGTTCTCAAGGGCAAGGCCGTTGTAGCGGGACATGGCTAAGGGGAAATGTTAGCGGTGCGATGCAGAGACGAGGAACGAAAACTCGACGTACCTTCGTTGTCCATCTGGCGGCGGTGCTGGATGACCCGGGCCTGGCTGTCACGAGGCTGAGGCGGCGGCTGCTGCTGCTGCTGCTGCTGCTGCGGGGGGGTGTAGAGCGAGCCATAGCCGGCGTAGTTCTGAGGGGGTACATGGTGTTGCCGTTGTTGAGGTTCATGTTCTGCATGCTCATGGCCAGGAGAGGAAGACCGTAGGGGCCAGACGTGGGCGGGCCGTTGCTGTTGGGCGAGACGTAGCCGCTAGGGTAGAAGCCGCCGTATCCATTTCCGGGGCCGGCAGTAGCAGTCCCATTGGGGGCCTGGTTGCCCTGGGACGTATGGGGGAAGCCCTGGCCCGGCGCCCCTGGGCCGAAGGGAGCGGCGTTGGCTTGGAGAGCGGACTGGATGGAGGGGTAAGGTCCAGCCTGCTCGCGTTGGCCGCCCATGCTGTTGTCGTTGGACAGCTCACGGCTGTGACGGCCTGCAACAGCGCCGGCGGGAATGCGACCAATGCTAGCATTGTGGTTGTGGAAATGCTGCTGGGCATGGTTGTTGGTGACCAAGGCGCCGTTGGGGTTCTTGACAGTGGGCACGTCGTTGGCAGAGAAGGAACTCTGCAGCTTGGGAGGAGTGGCCATCATGTGATTCCCGGTGGGGGAGACGATGGGGTTCTGGTTGTTTTCGGAGGGAGCGTCGGGGTAAAACTTCAAGTCGAGCGAGTGGCGGACAGAAGACCGGTTGCCGATGTCTCCGGGAGAAGCAGCTCCGTTGAGGGCAGACGTGTTGATGGCAGACAAGCTCTGTTGGGTGCGGTGACGGTTAATATTGCCCCAACCGTTGGAAGAGGGCGCGTCAGGAGCGGGCGAGGGGGAGAGGGCAAGGTCAAGGGCAGCGGAAGATGCAGAGAGCTATACGACGCAAACAAAATGTCAACACTGATACTGAGGCTGACAGTTGGATGGGTGTGGATTTGACGTCGACAAGTTGGAGACTCCTGCAAACCTGACTCTGGCCGTCCGACTGGGAAAGTGCGAGGGACGGTGCAAACGAACAAGCAAAATAGGGCGAATCTCTCTCTTTTTGTGTCAAAAGAGAAAAATTGGGAAACGGAACCAGAAACGGGAAGGAGCATGCATGGAAGCGAGGGATGTTTTCTGGGGAAGGCGGGTGGGTGAATCGGGAGGTGAGGTTGAAGGCAGGTGCAGTTGCTTCGGCTTGCGGCTTGCACCTTCCCGTCTCCAGAGGTCGCGGTTTGGGCCATTCAACCTCAGCCTGCCAGTGGGAAAGCGCATGTAGGCCCTTACTGGCACTGGTTTGCTCATGCATTGGAGGGGAAATATATATATATATATATATAGAAAAAAAGGGCAGGAAGTGTTTGGGTGGGAAGGGGGTTGGTTTGCAAAGAGGGACTTACCATCTGATCGTCCCGGCGAACCAAAGTTGGAAAGTTATCATCGCCGTTGTTCTGGCCGTACTTGTTGTCGCCAGAAGTGTCCTCCTCGCCAAAGAGGAAGCGGGCAGTGCCAGTCTGGTCAAGATCAGCACCGTAGAGACCAGTGCGGGAACGTGTGACCGGCATCGAGTAGCGGTTGTAGCTGTTGTCAGGGGGACCAGGGTCAGCCATTGCTTCAATTGTATACTTGATTTCCTGCAGTAAGTATAGTTCACTTGTGGACAAATCGTTGGTTTGTTTCTGGAAGAAAGAAATGAGAGAAAGGCCTGTAGGAAGAAAGCCTTAAATAGAAGGGGAAAGTGAAGGGATTGCTGCGAAGTTTGAGATCGAAGAGTGAAAGATTGCGGAAGGCAGGCACGCCAGACTGAAGATTGCGAACTTGCAACGGCGAGTTTGAATAGACCAGAAGGTGCGTAGTTGCAAATTCACAGCAAGCGCGTGAAGTGAATAGTCAGAGTAGAAGTCAAAGACTGATTCACAATGCTGTAGGATGGTGCGAAGGAGGTGTGAGGCGCTTGGTTGATGAGTGTGGCTTGAGCGGTCTGAGGTGGTGTGGTTGTGTATCAGAGAGATCAAGAGGTCCAAGGACTCAAGGCTCAAAGCTGGGCCTTTTATCGATCGGTGGTTGAGGCGATCCAGAAGGAGGCAATTGGAAGGAGGGAGGCAGTTGAAGGAGGAAGTCGGTCCACCAATTCCAAAACGGAACCGCGCGCCTTTTTTAAATGCCTTGAATACATCGCAGTATCTCCCAATGCAAGAAGAAGGCAGCAGAACGAGCAGGATTGCCTGTGGGGTTCGAGTTTACGGTCCCTCGACCCGGAAACAACGTTCCCCAGCAAGCCCGGAGGGATCGCGTTTACCACATTTCACCAGACCGAAATACTCACCAACGACTTGTCCACAAGATGCACAACACACAGTACGAAGGGGGCAGGGTCACGGCACTCACGCGTTGGAGGACCGATGGCTAGTCGGGTCCTGGCGAACAGCCTCCTCCTTCTCGTCTTCGTCGCTGTTTCTGCGGGATCCCGGCACGGATCGGGACGGCATGTGGTCGTCAAAGGTGAAGCGGGACTGCATCAGGGTCGACTGGGGCGAGGTGAGCTGCGACCCCGAACGGCCGGGGCGGTTGAAGAGGCCGGGAGGCGACGTCAAGCTCGAAGTCGAGTATCGGTTGGGGCGCGAGAACATGGTGGGGAAGCCCGACGACTCGTGATATTCGGGGGTGTCGTGGGCTCAGACTGGTGGCCGTGGCGGAGGTCGTCCTGCATCTTGGCGAGCTCCATCTCCTCGCGACGCTGCGCCTGCTCCAGCTTCTGCATCTCCATCTCAAAACGGCGCCTCTGCTCGCGGAGCCTCTCGTATTCGATCTTCTTCTTCTCGATCTGCGCCGCTAGTTAGCTTCGGGCGGGGAGCCATTCTCCTGCGAGCAGCCGTCTGTCGCAAGATCAAGGGTCGACGAGCCCACACGTACCAATTGAACTTTGTGCATAGTCTGGAAAACAGAAACGTCAGCCGCATTCAAGCAAAGACGCGCAGAGGAACAGCGGTCCAACGGACGGAGGGGGGGAACATACGTTGTTATAATCCTGACCACCGAGGTCAGGGCCGCGCTGGCTGGTAATGGAAGACAATGTTGGTACACGCCCCGAGTCGGTGGTGAAGCGACGAGGCAGGGAACCTCGGCCGTCGTGGGCAGCCTGGACAGACTGCGGGAGGCGATTGCCGTTCCGCGGGGGCGAGACAAGCGTGTTCATCGTGGAATCGTTACGGGTGGGCGGTTGAGATCGAAAACGTAGCTCGTCCATGCTTTGGCGTACTCCAACAACTCGTACACGGCGCAAGGAGCCAAGTGGCGGCGGGGTTTCTACGATACTGTTGGCATCAAGGAAGACGGGCGGTCAGCGACAAGAACAAGAAGGTGGTCAGTGTGGTCAGAACAGAAGCAGCGGCAGCACCCAAGGCTCTGCTGCGGTTGAGTAGGCTAAAAGGGGGGAGACGGCCGTGACGACGACAAGAAACACGGAGCAGAGAGCGAGAGTTTGGCGGGTTTGGTGTAAACAAGGAAAGCCGGAGGCGGGGTGTTTGATCTGGCAAAGTCGGGCGGTGCTGGCCCCTACCACCCCAGCTGGACCCCCAACTGGGAGAGGGGGGTAACGCAACGCGAGGTAGCGTCCCTCATGGCCCGTCGTCTCCAAATGCGGGCGGCGGCCGGTGAAGCACTGAAGAGACAAGGAGAGATAGAGAGAGAGAGAGAGAGAGCGCAACGATGGCGGCCGGGGCGGGACCACGCGTGGCAACAGCGGATGGAGCTGGACCGCGTAGCGTGAGACCTGAATGTCTCGCCTTGTAACTCTTTCTCTCCTCCTGGCTCTCCTCGGTGTCCCTTGGAAAAGCGCAAGCCGAAACCGTCTCGTCGTCGTTGCTTTCCCCAGCTTCCGCCGCAAGCGCCCCCCAACCTCTTGCCCCCCCCTCTTTTCTTTTAATGGTGTATGATGTTTGATGTTTCTGGCAGTCCAGCTCCGTAGTATTGTGGTTGATGTCGGTGACCGTTGGGCGCGCATCGAAGGTTGGCGGAATGGTGGACTTTGCCGAGTCGGCGGCGCAGCGCGCAGGAATAGGGTACCGTTTTTGTTTATTCTCTCTCTTTTCCGCTCTCTCTCTCTCTCGCTACCTTCTCGGCGGGTATGTTTCTTGTCGGCACGGCGCAGTTGCTGTCTCTTGTCTCTCTCTCTCTCTGGAGAAAGCTCTACAACACAAGTCGATGCAGATGCGCGAGACATCCAACCCCCACACACCCATAGCATCGGGGCCGTAAAAGAAAACACCAGAAAAAGAGAACAAGGGGGGAAAATAAGGGACCGGAACTGTACACTTACCTACGGCGGGGTTTCCTCTCTCTCTCTATATCCTCGGTTTCGTGTTTCTTCCCCGGGTCCAGTACAGAGTAGTACAATCGAAAAAGAAGAACAAAAGTCTCTCACACACAGACACACACACAGAGACACACAGACACACGTCGCGCCCTGGAGAGCCAGGGAGCGGCAGGCTGGGTGAGAGAGAGAAGGGCGGTTTGTTTTTTTGGAATACACGGACACAAGGATGGTGTACAGGAAGAGAAAACTTAAGAAGAGGGAGGGGAGGCAAAAGGGAAAACCGATCAACGTAAGGGAAAAGGCAAAAAGGGTAGCGGTTTTTAGGGTGGTGCGTGTGTGTGGTGGGCAGAGCAAAGCACGGTTGAAGTGGGCGCCGGCAGGCCAGACGGCGGCCTAAGATACCCCTGCGCCGTCGACGGGGGAGCCCAGTTTGACGGGGGGGAGGCGGGGGGTGCCACACACACACACACACACACACACACATGCACACAAACACCCATCGTAGTGTGCGTTACTTGGTAGAGGGGAAAGGAACCACAGACGGGGACCGCAGCATCCTCTCTCAATCGCTGGCCTGCGCGGCTTCTCAAGTTGGGGCGTTTTGGTACCCAAGAGACCTTGCAAGTACGGATACAGTTATATGATATATCCGTACATGGAGACACTGCACCGCTCACGTACATGCATACACACACACACATACATGCATACATACATACATACATTCATACGCACATACAGGTACATCTACTCTGGAGAGAAAAGACTTACCAGAGAGCCAATGTGGGCAAAGTACCTCGCGTCGTAAGCGTACAGTATCTAGGTGTGCTCTGCGTTACCGTCTCCCGACCCTGTCCTGGTCGGGGTAGCGTCTAAGATGTATCTGTAGTCCTGCGCGCGCCGTGCTTGGCCAGGTCGGGGAGGAGAGTTGCGGGTCTGCGTTTATGGTGTGTGTATGTACAATCTACAGGTGTACCTTAGGTACGGGTGCGCAGAGCAGGTACAAAGTGGAATGGCGTCAACGTCAACCGTGCACTGTAACCGCGATGCATGTGGGTGAGAGCTGGCTTGATTAGGTGTGTGAGTGGGTGGGTGAGTAAGTGAGTTGGGTGGGTGGATGGGTGCCCCGACTGAGTGGGAATGACAGTGAGTGTGAGAGTGTGAATGAGAAGAACAGAGAGAGTGAGTGAGAGAGGGCGAGAAAGAGAGAGTCTGACACAGCGCAGCACAGCTGTCGGGCTCGTCATCTTCCCTTTCCCAGTCCCAGAAAGGCAAAAGAAGGGCCGCCGCTCCTGGCAACCTTGTCCAAAACCCTTTCCCGCGCGCGCCACAGCAGCAACGGGCAGCTCAAGGATGAGCCCGCAGATGTGGTTGCACTCGATCGTCGGGTACTTCTCAGGTACACGCAACTACTCGAGAGCCTGTCGCCCGCGTCAGCCAAGTCACCGTCCGTTGTCGTTACGAGCCGTTGCCAGTACCGGTTGGTGTCCGTAGCGGTGGGAAATTGAAAAAAACCATGTGTCCTTCTCGATCCGTCAAAATCCCCGCGTCTCGTTTCCCTGTCTGACTTCCAGTCGTCTTCTCCTCGTGACGTGCAAGTAGCGAGGCAATCTAGGTAGACAAATCATCCTCACCCCTCCTTCTCCTTCTCCTCCACCTGTCTTTTTTTATTGCCTCGCTCTTGAACCACCCCTCTCGTTCCCCTCCTACAGTGAGGGGCTGGCACACTGACAACCCAGTCTAGTCTAACAGGTCGGAGGTCGGAGGTCGTCCGGACTAGTCCCAGTTGTTGTCTTGTTCCGTTTTTCCTGTCAGGGGCTACTTTCCCCTGAGCGCAGTGCAGAGTGGTTGGTCCACGGCGCCCCATGTGGCCATGCCTGTCAAGCTTGTTCGAGCGATGAATACAGCCGTTGACAGAAATGGCGTCTGTCAGTGTCAGTGCATTGGACGCTCTGTCTCGGTCCGACAGGAAGCCCAAGTTTCTCCCCCCCCCCCCCCCCCCCCCTTTTTGGTGCAAAGTTTGTTAGGTTTGGACGCTTAGACAGGGCTGTCACCGCTTCCTCAACTTCGTGCTTGAACCTGGGTCGCATTGGCAATCTGCTCAAGAGGGCTTCGATGCTATGGGGATCGCTCTGTAGCCTGTGCGTGTACGTGGTTTGCTCTCCTGGTGGCTGCACGAGAAACTCCCAATCAAGGACTTGCCTGTCTCGTCAGGCGGTGAAGCGGCAGTCTGTGTGGGTTGTCATCATCATGTACTATGTATGTAGGCAGCCTGTTCATGTCAGCACGTTTAGCCACAGCCCGCCTCTGCCTCGCATGGCTTTTCGGGACTTGGATGGCCCTGCGCGCCGGCGACGCACTTTCCCCGGACCAAGCGAGAACACATCGCAGAGAGTTAAGACTTTGTGCCCTCGACCACAACGCTGCGTTGGTGCTTGCTGGCCATGCTCCATCCCGCAATCCATCTTTGCTCGCAGCGGCCGTGGCCAAGTGCTTGTTAAACCTGACTTGAAGGAGGAGGCAAGGGTTGATGAGCTCACGTCTGTGCCATGGCCGTCGATGATCTGCTCTAAACGGGCCGCCCGACCAGGGCTGTTCGCCCGCCAGCGAGATGTGCGCATGGGGGGCAGAATATCAGGTTTCGTTTGGCACTTTGGCCCCTGTCATTGGGCTGTCCTGTCCTGTCCATCCGACGATGAACGCCTGATGGTAGAGGCGCGTTTGCTGCCATTTCAAAACCTTGAGCCATCCATCCTCTTTCCGACGGCTGTACAGCATTTGCCGTTGGACAATCTTGGTCGAGTCTTGCGGTGAAAGGCATCTAGAGACAACGGCGGGCTCTTGAGCCCATTGGTCAACTCTGCAGCAGGTCGATTTCCGCAGCAACGATATCCCCAACACTCCCTCCGTCGCTGTCGCCTCAGTGTAAGTGCACGCCAGCCGCCAGATATGGATCGCAATCTGGCCTCGGCAAATTAACCATGCATGACACAGTAGAATCAACTGTTCTCTGTGCCCCACCCCTTTCTTCCTCTTTTTTTTTTTCTTCTTCTTTTACTTTTTCGTTCGCAAAGGCGCTGGTGGGGAAAACAGGGTCCTCCCGTTCCTTGGAGGGGGGGGGGGGGTGTTGGCTGGGTTGGGTAGCTCGCCAAACATCCACCGCTTGTCAAGATGATGGTCTGGGCACAAAGCAGAGGGCGAGTATTCTACCAACTTCGGATCACGAATCCAAGCCTTGCAGCATCATGCAGGATGCAAGCCAATTTCGCCTAAATAGAGTCAGTATGTGTGTGCGTATGTGTGCGTCTTAGGGCTGCGGGTTGGCTCTGGCTGTCTGAGGCTCTACAATGAGGGGGAGAGACGAGGAGGGTGTGCTTTTGGCACGACTTGACACATCGGTACCCGGCTTGCCAGCTATGCAGCCTCGTTCTCAGCACAACTTTAATCCAATATCGAAGAGCCGTACAAAAACATACTGGTCTGCCCCGCGATTTGGACGCAAATAGGCGCGAGCAGGTAGGCAGGCTTGTCGGTACCGCAGCTCGTACCGTTACTAGTGGGCTAGCGAGGGTATCGAAGTGACTTGCATCTTCCCACTGCCCACTTCCCACACGCCATATGGTATGCGAGGGGTCCTTGTTCGGGGGGGCAGAAGTTCGCTCCAGGCCTTCGTCTGGGCTGGCCAAATGCGAAAAGGCGCCAAAATAGCAGTCAGAGAAGGTGATTTATTGGGCGGCAAGCATGGGCTTCTGTAGGCTGGTAGTGGCTCGGCTCTACACCGACTTTTTAGAAGGCCCGCATCGAGTGGATTATCTGCGAGCCTGCGACAAAGCAGGCGTGGGCGGCGGCATTGGCGTCGAAAGCGATCAGACTCCAGAACTCGGACCGTGGCGACTTCTCTTGTCAAGCTTGGAGGCGTCCTCCTGTAGGTACCGGCTTTGTACCTTGGCGGTGGGCAGGGTGGAGGGCGGCAGAGAGCGTCTCTGACTCTGGCTGTCGTCCCATGTCACTTGCAGGATGCTTGTTGACAGAATCCTAGTAAACTGACGGCGGGCTCCTAGAATGCTGAATGGTCTTCCATGCCATGTTCTGCGCTAGCCTGATGGATGTCTGCTCGGCGATCAGTTAGTTGGAATATTCCCTCGCCACCCCTTTTGTTTTATTTTATTTTAAATCGCCATTCTGGGACCAACCCCTTGTCGTTGATTAAAGGTTCCATCAGGCAAAGGCGGCAAAGCCCTTGGCTCTGACTCCGCCGTTGTCGCGATACCCCCGCAAAGAGGGGTCGCTCCGATAACAGAGTGGTTGGGTCCTCGATACGCCGCAGAGGTCGGGGCCACACAGGTCGTGACTCGCGGGGTCGACCTGTTGCATCATAGTCGACAGGCCGCTCCCTAAAGTCGAGGTTCAAAGGCATGTGCAACCAGGTCAACGGCGCGATTGGCGAAGCTCGGACTACGCCACGTTTGAACGGTCTCAGGGGCTTCTCAACCGGGTAGGAAGGGGCCGGCGAGGAGAGCGTTTTCTCAAACTCGCCTCTGGGCCTCCCATTGAGTGTGGTCTCAACCATCGAGGGTGGTGTGCTGCCGCAGATGTCTCGTTGTGCTGCATCGTGGGGCAGCTTGATTACCTAGCGGATCTGGATCCGATATCTGGTGTCGGAGAGGGGCCATTGTAGTTGATGGGACGCGACTCGACTCGCTACAAAATCTCCTCTGCCAACACAACATGCAGACGCCGCCACTTCTGCTGCGGGTCACACAGAGGGAGACCCTGCGGGGAGGAATCCGATGCTATGCAGGTGGTGACGTGACGATAGACGAGACGTGGACCACGGAGCGTAAGCAGCGAAACACATGGTCGCAGGCAGCCTTTTGGAGACGACTCTGGCGATGTCTGGACGACACAGCCGTCTCTGCAGACGGCCTTGGCAAAGCATTGGTACTCGGCCGATGGGCTCAAAGCAAGCAGCGTCTCTGTGTTAAGGCAGTGTGTAGGCTGTTGCTGTTATCGTGTTCCGGATAAGGCAGAGAGGTGTTTGGTCCGTCGCGAGGAGGGGTAGGTAATGGTATGAGGAGGTATGAGGTCGAGAGGAAAGATGGTGGATGGCGGGGCTCGCAGGAAACTACCAGGCATACGAGTACCGAGGTACCTAAATGGATACTGCACCTACATTACCTACCTAGGTACTCCGTACATTACTAACCTAGGAAGGTACATCACCTTAGGTGTCTATCAACCTACCTAGGCTAGGTAGGTACTACGTAGGAAGGTAGGTGGGAAGGTAGGTAGGGGTAGGTAGGTCGATATTAATTACCCTTTGCCGAATTGCGCAGCCGCAGTT